CTGATTTTGGTGCTATTTAACACATCAGAATACTGGGGGCTTCCTCTTGAAGAGTAAATGTGCATGATTGTATATGGAACAAGTACTGGGGTACCAGGGTTTGGGGGGTGATGGAGTTATTACTTGACTTGAATGTGCACCCTAGGGTGCTTTGTGTAACATATTGTACACTACAGCATCTTATATTTTTTGAGTTATGAGTTTCAATAAATTACAGTTTTTCACCCATTTGTTTACTGTACAGTAAATCTTTAATGTGCTTTAGTTGTAATTGAGTTTGGGACCATTCTGAGTGCATTGGAAAATGTTGCTTAAGTTTTATGCATTTGTAGATAATTTATCAGACTGATGAAATAGATACGGAAAAGTAAAGTATTACATTTTATTTTACAACATTCTCTGTGCTTTTTTCACATTTGAAAGATTTATAGTTAGTACAGGCAGAAAGCACTTGCCAATTAGGGACAAGAAAATCCGTGTTCCTTTAAAGGCAGAAGGTGCTTCTGAGACTGTATGGCACCACCTGAGTGTGTGACGAGTGTTGCCAGACTTCCAAGGAAGTTGTGTCATATGAAAGTATCAGTGCACATTTTGGGTTCCCCGGTTAGCTTTTTTGGCAGTGAATAAAACCTAGTTTGTCAGTTCTTTTTATAATTGGAAAGATTCTGGGACCACAGAAGTTGTCCAAAAATAAGGAACACAAAAGTTTTTGCCTGGCATGGTGGAAGCTTTTCTGCTTCATTTTAATTCTGTGACTGAGTTTGCATTTCCTGTGTGCTCTTCATGTAAGCTCTGCTGCAAACTTGCCACCAAAGAACGGTACAAAATCATACAAAATTACACTTATACAATCCTACTGTGCTTAAACTGTATATTAAACTTCTTCAGCGTTCCAGCTTTTCTATTAAAAATTTAGTCCTGCCACTTGATACATAAACAATTTTGCATAATACACATGAATTCTGTGACATTTCCATAATCCCATGGAACAAGTTGTGTGTGAAACTTTCATTTCCTCAGAGATAATTCTGCTCTTGCCAAATGAGTTACCGCATGCATGTAAATCACCACCACTGCACACAGGGCAGGCTGGTACCTGTTGCACATGTGGTGTTACAGAGCCCATTAAGTAGGTTGCTGCTGTTCAGTTACTGCTATTTCCATAGGCTGGGATATACCACAGGAGTAGACGGAGACAAACATCATTTCTGTCTGCTAGATGTGGAGACAAGTCATGCGACACTCCTCAGTCCAAGAGTTGCATTTAGAAAGTGGTGAGTGGGTTTTCCTCAGGGGCTGCACAAAAGCATCTTGGAGGCATTTTCCTGAGGTGATGTGGCACCCCATGCACTGCCAGGACTTTTAATGAGTGGGCTCAAGGTGTTCATATTTTTGTTGAAAGATACCAGTGCAGCACTTGTCAGTCAGATCCTTCCTTGTTACAGAAATTATATCTTGCCCAGTTCAGAGACTGACAGTGTATTTCAGATTTTGAACTCCACTTGTTTATCGTCTAGGTAATAGGTGTCACAGCATCAAAACTGTACAGCTTGAATCCACATCTTTTTCCCAATTTCTTCTTGGGCTTGTCTGATCTAATTGCCTGTCATGGGTGGGCACCAGGAAAGGAGACCACAAAAGGGTAATGGTCTGAAGAGTTTTTAACTGTCTGTTTCTGTTTTCATGCCACGAGGTAGGCCATCATTTTCCTTTCCAAGGGCTACCAGAACTTGTCTTACAGTGAAGATGTAACATTTCCAGCTTCTTGCTTTCAAACATACCAGAGAAATGTTTTGTTCCACAGTAAAGGAACACCTTCACATTGACTTTCTAAAAAAAAGAATTACTGTGAACAGCAGATAACTCAGGAAACACAGATGCAAGTTCATAATCAGGGAATGTTGCTTCCATTTTTAAAATTACTGTGTGGATTTTTTTGGACCACAACATGTTTATTGGTTGTACATGCTGAAATTCCCCAAGGCTATGGGGCTACCCTGCCATGTTCTCATGGTTAGTAAAAAACTGTAAATACCTTTAAAAAGAGAGACCTTCCAGGCTGACTTCTGTCCCGGTAGGGCTCAGCAGAGCCAACGGGTTAGTTCCGTGGTTTTTCTTGCCTGTTGTTTTCTGTTTACCTTTGCTCGTGCAAGATCTTTAAATTTTACGATGCTGGTAAGGCCTTGTGACATTATTTCGCAAATTCTGCATCTTGACTACCTTGAATTCTTCAAGAGAAATTCACTTCCCAGTTAAGTCCTCCAATGTCTTGTCAAGAATCTGAACAGGGTTATGACAGAGAGCAGGGGAGTCTGAAATTAAACCACCTTGTCTTTGTCTGGCCCTGTGAGGTGCTAAACCTGGTCTCCCCCCTAAAGTTTACAACTGCTGCCTTTGAGCCCTTCTGCTCTCCTGACTTCCCACAACAGTATTCCCTGAGTTTGGAGGGGGTGAGGTGGGACAGGAGAACTGTTTGCTCTTCTTGAAATTATCTTAAGATTTACAAGTGTAGAGAAGGAAGGTAGGTGAGGGATTATTTGGGATGCAGTGCAGTGCCGGGGAGGGCTCTGACGTGGCCATCTTGGATGAATTTCTAGAGCTTCCTCTATGGAAGGAGAAAAGTGGTAGCCAGTAGCAGGCCTGACTAGGAGTAGCACTGCCTCATCTGCCCTGGCAGTATTTCTTCTGCGGGGACATACTAACTTGAGAAAAACGCTAGGCTTCAGTATGTTTTACAGGTCATTCTGCTAAATAGTAACAAAGGTAACTGGTAGAAAATGAGAAAATTAAGTTGGCATTATTTTATTAAAAGTTAATGATAAAAATACACAAACAGGTTCTGTTATACTTTGAACTGATAGACACTAGATGAATGACTGATACTAAAATGCCATATCAAGAACTGGCTAAACAGGAGCATTCATTAATGCCCCTTGTAATGTGTCTCTCTGTGTTACAGTCGCTGTGCTCTGCGTGGCACATGTGTCCTCAGTGCTGCTGGGTGAACTCTGGATTTCAGCAGCACTGTGCTGTCTTCATAGAGCATTACAGAGACCAAATATGAAGCAGGTGGTTTGGCTCTAAATAAACCCTTGATTCCTTGTAGGTCTGTAGCTTTTTATTTCCCAAAACATTTTTGGTTTATTCTGACTCAGGAAAAGAGGTGTGCTTACCTTCAGAATGAACTGAGTTAGGCAAAAGCCATGACAAGAAATGCTTAAAGTGTTGTAAAACACTGAGGAGTCACCCTTCCCTCATATCACAGATGTTCCAGTCCCTTTGTTACCTTCATAGCCCTTCACTCCAGTAGCTCCATGTCTCTCTTGTACTGGGAAGCCCAGTTCATCGTCCTTCACGTCAGTCAGTCACTACTATGTGCCAAGTTAACTGCTACCTCAGCTCATCCCCAGGGATGGTCCGTAGCAGCTGCTTGCCTCTGTGGCAGATCCCTGGTGGCATGACCAGGAGCAGCAAATCCCTTGAATTCTTCCCTGTTTCTTAAAAAGGAAGGAGCCCACATTATGGGAATTTCTTTGCAGCAGTATCTCTCTGCAATGGGAGAGCAAGCAGCCAAACAAATGACTTTATGGAAGATGTGGTATGCCAGCCTGCTTTATTTTAGGAAGGACTTAACAGAGCTTACTATAGGAGGATTAGAATCGATGATACTGCATTGCACAGAGATAAAAAACAGCTGTTGAGAGACAGCCAAGGGGCTGCCTGCAATAGGCACAGGAGAGAAAATCAGTGAGTACTAGAGCAGTCAGTGTTAATTTTTGTACTTCTCTTAGTGTTGCTGTAAAAGGATTTGGACAAGTACTAGCAAGCTTTTATATGCATTATTGTGCGTAGTCTGGGTAACTTGAGAAAAATAATTTAAATATCTGGTGCATTGACACTCAGATTTTCGCCAGGCTGACCTCCATGTGCCTTGACCCAGCCCTGTGGGCTCCTGACTGGGGTGGACAAGCCGAGCCGAGCCGTGCCGAGTTGACCGGCCCGGCCCCGGCCGGCCCAGCCCGGCCCGGCCCGGCCCAGCCCAGCCCAGCCCACCAGCCCAGTCAAGGCCGCTCAGGCCGCCCGCCCCCCGCTCGCCCCCCTCCCGCGGCTCTCGGCCGCCAGGCGGCGCCGCAGCGCACGGCGCGGAGCGGCGATGCGCTGCCCGGGGAGCTGTGGCAGAGCTGCCGGCCGAGCGCCGCATCTTCTGCTCCGTGCTGCTCTTCTCTTGGGCCGTCTACCTTTGGGAGGCCTTCCTGGTTCCGGCAGGTCGGCAGGGCTCGGTGGGGATGGGAGCCGGCGGGCCGGGGCGTGCCGGGCCGGCCCAGCCTCACGTGCGGGGGCCGGGGCTGGGGCCGAGCGACGCGAGGCCTGTCGCCTGCCTGGGGAGGGCTTGGCCCTGTCCCGGGGTGCGGCCTCAGCGGGTGGTGAGGATGCTCACAACGATGAGTTGTGTGAGTGCGGTGGGGTCACTGGCGGCCCAGCACCCCCAGAAGCTCGATTCTCCTCCCCGGGACAGCTGAGAGAGCGGGAAGAGTAAAAATGAGGAAACGCGTGGGTTGAAGTAACGACAGGTGAAGGACAGAGCGGGGGGAACCCCGCAAGCGCTGCACAGGCCGTCACTCGCCTCCTCCAGGAGGCTACCGAGTGATAACCACCCTGGAAGGCACGTCCCACACCCCTTTTCGTATGGCAGAGTATATCATTGCAACACGGAGTGTCCCTTCTGTCAGGTCTTGGCTGTCTCCTGCCAGCAGGTTCTCCACCCCCATCCTGCCCGTGGGGCAGAGCAGGGTCAGCCGTGGCAGGTTCAGCAGCAGCCGCACACCGGGGTGTCTCCAGCGCCCAGAACGCGGGGCCATACCCGCGCACCTGCCTGTGCCAGGCCCTCGTGGGCAGCGCTGCAGAGGACAGGGAGCGGTGCTGCCAGCTCCTGTGAGCCCTGTGATCGGGGACACTGCAGACTGGTGCCCCGGGCAGAGGGAGAATGTGTTTTGAAGTGACAGAGAGTACCCTTTGAGAAGGGGTAAGTATACTGAAACAAGATAAGGCATCAGAGGGAAAAGACTTTCATTCTTTAAAAATTTTCAAGTGGCAAGTTCTGTACTGAGAATGAAATAGCACCTCGTTTGTGCAGCCACGCTGTAGATCTGTGTTCTGGTGAAGTCTCATGGTTTGCATTGGAGGATCTGGTGTTTGGTTTCAAATTCTGCTTAGTCTTTACTGTGGTGCAGTAAGTCACATCCTGTGGAAAAATCAGTTTGTGTGATCTGTATTTGAACTATTAAATAAGTTAATAAGTCAGCAACTCAGTTCCTGGTTGTAACGTTAATAATTATGCTTCAGTTTTGTATTTGGAACTTGATAGAAAACAGGCATTTAGGAATATTTGTTGCTTTGTGTGTTGGTTGATTTTTTTTTGGTTTTTTTTAAACTTTCCGTGGTGGCCCATTGTATCATGTTAGATGTTACTTTTAAATCTTGTCTCCTTAAAAATATTAGATGTAGACTTTAGTTTCTTCGATTTTTCAGAGACGGGTGTATAGAACAACAACACATGTACCACAAGAATTGGGACAGATCATGGATTCAGAAACATTTGAAAAATCTCGTCTCTATCAGCTGGACAAAAGTACTTTCAGCTTTTGGTCAGGCCTCTATTCAGAGATTGAGGGCACCGTAAGTACCTTGCATGTGATATTTTTCATGTACTTGAACTGTGAAACACTTTGGTTCTTAATGATCCCGTGTAGCTGCACCATTGGCATTCTGGCGTCTTATGGCAAACACTGACGTTTTTGTGTTCCTTATTTGTGGCTGTATTTGCTATATAAGAAATAATTATTCAGAGAGCACGTAATTTCTCTCTGCAGTGCTGAGTCATACTGCACAACTACAACATTACCTTACATTTTATTATTTTATTATATTTAATATATTATGGTTTCCGTTGCCAAATAATGAAGCAGCATGAGAGCTATTTTAAATTGTTAAAATGCAGACCTTTCCCTGTGTTTGGAAGGATGCAAGTACTTTCATTTCTAGATAAAATTTAAGTAGAAGATAAAAAGAGAAGCTTGTGAGAACAAGGAGAGTACCAATTGATACTTCTGAAATATAAGAATTAGATTGGGCAAGTAACATTCACATGTATGAAAAAAACAGAACCACTGAGTTAGAAGTCTCTAAGACTCTTAAGACTGTTTGAAGATCACATACATATATACTTTGTTCCAACTTGCTGCTGAAATGCATTGCTCATCAGTAGCACAACTGGGTCAAAAAGGAATCCTCAAGTGCTTGGCATTGCCAAGAAAAATTGAAGTATGATCCTATTTCATGATAAACTTAAGGAAGCAAAAACGACAGTCATAAAAGCTAATGAAAATAGGATTGTAAAATAGCCAGTCATGTAACTGTAGAATGATGATGCAAACCCAGTACTTAAGACTTGTGACACCTCTTACCTTCCACATTTCCTGATCTCCTTTGTGCAGCCCAACCTGTACTTTGTTTCCTTTTGTATGTATTTGTAAGGATGTTGTGTCAGTGCAGTATGTTATTTTCTTTTTGTTGGGATTTTTGGTATGCTGAGTAAAACTTGAGGCAATTCTTATGTGAATTTGAAAAGCTTCTGTGTTTCTGAGCAACTTTAGAGGCAGTGTTTAATTTGTAAATCGAAGCTGCTCTCCAGCAGTGGTTTGGTGGGCACAGTAAGGTGGTACCGCTTAGCAAATGCAATGAGTCAAAAAGTTCTGAAGCTTTATCTTGATTTCAAGAGCTCTAGGCAAAACAGGTTCCCTTGTTGTTTTTAAGGAAAATATACATGATTGAAATGCAGTTCTTTTCCACTGCTATTCAAAGAGCCAAATCTGTAGTCTGTGCTTATCTTCATTCAGGCCTATTGTTATGGTCCTCCACAACGCTGTAGCCACTAAATTGGATTTGCCAGATGGACTATTAGATTAATAAAGAACTGGCTGGATGGCTGCATCCAAGGAGATAAAGCTCAGTTTCCAAGTGGAAACCAGTGGTGGTTCTCGAGGGTCCATACTAGGGTGAATGCTGTATAATATCTGCAGTGGGACTGAGGACACCCTCGGCAGGTTTGCAGCTAACACCAGGGTCAGCAGGGCGGCTGATGGGCAGGAGGGATGGACGCTGTCCAGGATGACCTTGACAGGCTCATGGAGTTCAGCGAGGCTAAGTGCAAGGTGCTGCACATGGGTCAGGGCATGCACCAGCACAGACTGGGGGATGAGTGGATTGAGAGCAGCCCTGTGAACAGGGACTTCAGGGTCCTGGTGGACAAAAAATAGGGCTTAAGTTGGCAACGTGTAATTGCAGCTCAGAGAGCCAACTGCGTCCTGTGCTGATCCACAGCAGTGTGGGTAACAGGGTGATTCTGCCCCTCTGCTCCGCTCAGGTGAGATCCCACCAACGGTGCTGCCTCCTGCTCTGGGGTCTCCAGTGCATGAAAGACACAGATTTGCCAGGGTGGGTCCAGAGGATGCCACAGAAATGGCCAGAGGGCTGGAGCACCTCTCCTTCAAAGACAGGCTAAGACAGTTGGGGTTTCTGGGAGCTGGTGGTAACCCACAGAAGGCTGGCTCCTTGGTCATCAAAACTTTATGCCATTTGTACATATTGGGAAACAAAATGGAAGTTTGTTGGCTACAAGTTACATAGTTCTTTTATTAGTTAGTATTCTACTTTCTGTTGGTTAAATTACTCTCATGCTAATTCTCAGTCTTTCTCTTCTTTTGAGTCGGTGGGTTTCTTGGGTCAGTGGTCCATGAAGAAGCTGTGGCTGCCCCATCCCTGAAAGTGTTCAAGGCCAGGTTGGAGGGGGCTTGGAGCAACCTAGTCTAGTGGAAGGTGTCCCTGCTTATGGCAGGGGGGTTGGACTGAGGTCTCTTCCCACCCAAACCATTCTGTGATCTTTAAAGGTCCCTTTCGACCCAAACCATTCTGTGATTGTGCTTGCCTGTGTAGGAAAAGCACAGCTTTTGCTTTCTCTCTTGACTTTTCTTTCTGTTCTGTCCCTGTTTCTGTAATAACAGGTCTACAATGATTTTGGTAGCTGATTGATTTGTTAAGGAAATTAGTGCATCCAGCTGTCTTCCACACCTGAGCCACAAAATCCAGACTATGCTGGTGCTTTCTAAGCAGCAGCCAAAGCCAGTTACTAAGTCAACAAGCATCTTAGTGTGTATGTTGTTCTACTGTTTCAGCTGTGATGGTGATAGACAGCTGGAAAATAGGTATGTCTCAAACTGCTGCTGCCATTATTGAATTGATTGTGTCACAGTGATGCTGATGTTCAAAAGCCAAGGAAAAAAACATGGAATATGTGAGTTAAAGCTCTCAGCTAATTGAACACTGGCCTGAATGAGCAGTTTTTGAAACAGTTTTCAGCTCCCAGGTCCTGCCCTTGGGTCACAACAGCCCCAAGCAGTGCTCCAGGCTGGGGGCAGAGTGTCTGGAAAGCTGCCCTTTGGGAAAGCACCTGGGGGTGCTGGTCAACAGCAGCTGAACATGAGCCGGTGTCCTTCTCCCAGGACTGACTGGACCAGAGGAAATGGCCTGAAGTTGTGACAGGAGAGGTTTAGATTGGATATTGTATTTCTTATACTGGATATTATATATATTGGGTATTGTATTTCTTCACTAAAAGGGTGGTCAAGCATTGGAACAGAGAACAAGAGGAAACAGCCTCAAGTTAAACCCCCTCCAGAGGAGGTTTATCTGGGATAAAAGATTTCTCCATGGAAAGGGTTTTCAAGCCCTGGCACAGTCTGCCCAGGGCAGAAGTGGAGTCACTATCCCTGGAGGGATGTGTGAATGTGGGACTTGGGGACATGAGTTAGTGGTGGGCTTGGCAGTGCTGGGTAACAGCTGGACTCAATGATCTTAGAGGGCTTTTCCATGGATAGCCCTCATGTGTAGGCTATGTGCAGCTGCTTCTCTACATGTCTGTAATGATGAGTTGTTGCTCCTGTCTGTGATGCTGAGCTGTGTCTTTCGGTTTGTCAGAATCTGTTCTGGGATTATCACATTCCAGTTCAAGTGAGGTGGCCTTTACTGTCCAGGTTTGCCACTTTCTTCAAACTTAAACTGCATCCTTTATTGGCTTTTGGAACTGCCTGAACTTAAAAGAGGCTGTTGTGACCAAAGCTGATGAAACTGGATGTCAGTTTTTGCAAGCTTTTGCCTTTTTGAAGTATGATTCATTAACCCAGCAGGTTAACTGAAGGGGAGATGCTGTGTTAGAATTACTAGTATGCTTTATTTCAGCCAGATATTCCAGGCTTGCTTTATCACTGTTAAGATCAGAGGGAGACAAAAAGCCTAATTATAAAATTTGTCTTATTCACCCTTAAAAGATCCTTATCATGCTGAAATTTTAGTAGATTAAGATGACAGTCTTTCATACTGTATCTTTGCTATGTGGTTTTGTTTTCAAGATGATTCTCCTCTGTGGAGGAATTCCTTTTCTCTGGAAACTGTCTGGTCAGATCTCTGGTCATGCTGGATTTGGACAAGAATATGAGGTAAGCAGGCTTTATATTTCTGTGAGAACATTTGTTCCATGCTGCAGTAATTTTTATTTCAAAGTTAGCATTTAGTTAAAAGTGGGATTTAACTACCCTATATTATAGTAAAAATATCAGATACTTCCTGGTGTACACAATGATGGTGTGAATCTGAAAACTGGTAACAGTATATGACTTTTAAATTAGCTTACTAATTAAAATAGCCTTGTATATTAAAAACCTACGAGTCTTGTAGCTACTTGAGTCAAACCATGTGGTGGGTCAGGCTTTTGGGTGCTCTTTATTTGGGTATTGTCTTTTTACTTATCCTAGATTTGATTTTCCTGCACAGTAAAAGGGTAAGAAATTTGAGGTTACTGCTTATGTTGTCTTTGTGCTGTGGATGAGGCATGTATCCAAATTTGTGTCCCAAATCCTTAGTAAGCTATTCCAGTGAGCAGTAATCTAATCATCACAAATTATGTTTGTGAATTTATCTAGCTTCATCTTCTAACCTGTTTCAGTTAAACCACTGACCTAAAATCCATTTTTAACACCCAGAATATTTATGTTATGGGTCAGTAAATATCAGGTGGATTTATTTGTTTTTTTGTTTTAGATTGTTCAGTCATTGGTATTTCTGCTGCTTGCAACACTCTTCAGTGCCGTGACTGGTCTCCCATGGAGTTTATATAATACATTTGTCATAGAAGAGAAACATGGCTTCAATCAACAGGTATTGCAGAGAGCACTTGTACTGACCCAATGGCTTCAGGTTGGTTAGATGGACTGGTCTGTCCATATCTGTGCCGAAGATCGTTGGTTTTAGGAACATTTCTTCTACTTACACTGCATAAAAATCAGAGCAATGACAGTTTGTGGCTGTTGCAGGAGTGCCCATGCTGCAGCACCTCTGTGAGCCTGTGCCTCTGAGTGTGTGTTCTGGGGGTGGGACCAAGAATTTCATACCTCACCCATTCAGTTTTGGATGGACTGTTCTTTGCCCTTCATATGCGCACCCTTAGAAGTCTGGATCACTGCTTAGTAGGGTCAGTCCTGATTTATGGACACTGACCAGGTGAAAGAAAACTGAGGAATTATTCTCCTCCTCATTTTGTTTTGCCTGCTGATTTCTTATATCAGCCTTTACTAAACTGGAGAATTCAGCTCTTCATTTGGTACCTCTGGCTTTCTTAATTTCTTTCAACAACTTGGTTTAACCTGTGTCAGTATCAGTTTCTCGTGAGATCAGATATTCTTTCTGGGAGAAGAACCTCAATGTGGGACACATCATTAGCCATTTCATGCAAGAGCATAAGATACGCTTTCTGCTTTGGACCGAGCTGGTCTTGTCTACATTACTTTCTGTTCCAAGTCTCCTAGGAAGTTGTTGATTGGTTGGGGTTTTTTTTGCAGTAGAATGAAATTTGGATGGGTAGCAGATGTGGGATAAATCTGTTTGGCTCATTTTAATATCAGTAGATATGCTCTGGTATTTGCCAATTTCATCTTCCAGTCTCTGTGGAGGCAGGAAGACTGAGCAAGGTAAGACCTAAAGAAGTGAAATTAGTTTGTTTCTAAACCCTTACGTTCCTGGTAAATTGATGAATTGATGTTTCATATTCCTTTTTATAAAAAAAAACAAAAAAAAAAGTGATAAAAAAGCTCTAAATGCAGTGATCAGTTTGCACCCTTTAAAACAGAAATGTGTAGGTCCTGACACATCCAGTATTATTTTGGTTCACATCAATTATTTAGTGGCATACTGTTAAAGTAGGGAAGCCCAACTGTGAAAATTCTCACTGCACAATTTTATGTGTGTATTCCCAGAAAGCAACAAGGCTGGTTTGGCCACGTGTCTGCCCCACCTGCGATGTCTGAATACTGGGCCAATGGCAGATCCTGCTCCAGGCTTTGGGAAGCAAATCTGAAGATTGTTCTAATTAGTCATAAACCTTGAGCTTGTGACAAACTCAGAACTCTTTTATACTCCATTTAGCACTCTAGTCTTTTGAAAAAGTCTTGTGCTTCTAAAAACCCACGTGTTAACTTTTTTCTCTTACCAGTGAGGAAATGGTTGCTGTCAGAATGACGGTGTCCATGACCATTCATGTCCCAGGTGGTTCTGAGGCAGAGTCCTGGGGATCCCCTTCTCTTCTGTAGACTTAACAGTGAGCACACTGGCAGGCTAACATCCACTCCTAGCAAGGGAGGAAGGAATGTTCCCATGTTTCCAGAGCATGAGTCAACCAATCTTTTCTTCAGAGGAAATATCTGTTTAATGTATTTGGATTATTCTCCAGCTATCACTTAAGTTCTGCAGTCCTCAAAGATTGTAAGGTCTGGCAAAGTCGTTGTTCTTGCTTCTGGCCTAGCTTAGACATCCTTTTGACATTCAGAATCCTTAAACACATCAAAAGCCATCTCTCACTCTTATCTCTCATGTCAATCCTGAGTAGTTGCATCAGGCCTGCAGCTCGGTTGCTTCTCTTACCTTAGTGAGGAATAAGTTCCATCTTGGTGCAGGGTCTGCAAGCCCTTTATGTTCAGCACACTTAAGTCCAGAGACTGGCAGTAGAATTAGAGCCAGTCGGCAGACTAGCTGATTGATGGAGAGCTTAACTTGATCAGGTCCTGCCTCTGTGCAGTAGAGGGCCAAATACTGCACTTAACAGCTTGGGCTTCTTTTAAAAGTGCCTTGAGAGCCTGCAGAATTCATGTGGTTTGTGTGCTTTAGGGAGGGTAAGCAGTATTCTGGGTGTATCTCTGAGCATTTTCTTCTTGGAGCACACAATCTGTGTACTTCACTGTTGTCAGTGCAAGCACTGCCTAATCAAATGAGAAGATTTGGCACTGACCGTGGAGATTTAAGTGCTTGACTGAGCTACCTGCATGATATCTTTTACAAGGGTTTTTTCACAGCAGTTGTGTGGGGTTACGAGTGAGTTAATACGGGATGCTTGTTGTGTAATGGTCGCGGTGTACGCTGGGAGTTGAAGTTCTGATGGAAGCCTGTGAAAAAATGACCAATTAAAAGTGTCCTGGGAAGAAGCTTTAAAGTGATTGAACAGGACTGCACTGCCCCCCCCATGTTTTGATGTTTTGTTAGCACACCTTTTTGGAATATAAGAACTTGTTCAGCCATTAATAAAGGATCCTCCATTTTCCATCATCCCAGGGGGGTCTCGTTTCTATTCACTGCCACACAGTGGTCCTCATGCTGAGAGCTGAAGGCCCAGTCCAGGTCCAGTTCAGTCTGAGGTACTAAATGTCTTACAAACACAGTCAAATTTCTGTCTCTCATTTCAGACTGAAGGGCTGGTCCTTGGTGAATGAGCCAAATTCACACACGGTACCAGCCCAGACTTGGGAATTTCTAGCATTTCTAGCATGATAATTGACTGATCTTCAGATAGACTCCTTCTCTAGGAATGGCTTGCTGAAAATGAGGATTTTTCTCAAGGTCATATTTGCCTTAGAAAGCAGGAAATATACTGGGCAAAGATGAAAGACACCATGCAATTTTCTAGTTCTACTCCTCCAAGACTGTGGAGCTGGAAGTAAAGAAAGATTTTAAATGCAAATATGAGCTAAATGGGTTGTAGTTGACCTGTTTTTATTTGCAGACAAATTCTTTAAAATAGTATATGCTTTCAGTATGGCCTTGTTGGAAAGATCTTTACATATTAAGCTTCTAGAGCTAGATGTGTGTCTGATCATGTTGCAGAGTCACTATATCAAATTCATTCAGGTAGAGGTCTTTGAAATTTCTATTGCTTCTATTAAAGTTATACTAATTTTAAAACCCAAGACAACTACTTGAGTAGTAACTCCATGTCAGTGGAAGCTTGGAGTAAAATGCCCAATGTATTGCTGAAAATCTGTAATAGGGTTTCTATATATTTTCACTTAAGACAATTAGCATAGTGGTAACTGAAAGTTAAGACGAATGGAGGCAACTGTTAAGTGGAAGACAAAACATTTTACAGTAGCTGTGTTTCTTTGAGTATTTCTTATTCTCTAAGAATGCCTTGATGTCTGGGATATAGATTGGTAAAGATAAGCTTAAATTTTTCTTTTCTCCTTTAATGAATGTGCAACACAAAATAAGGGTTTGGGTCAGACTAAAGAAGAAAGCATCTGCATGGGCTTGCATCCGTGCGCGTGTAAGGAGCTACTAGCAGAGGAGTTGAAAATGTTCTTCCACCTTTTCTGACTGACTCTCATTTCCTTACCACACTGGCATCGCTGTTTTCCCATTTGTCTTATCTGAAGGGATCAGTTCATTAACCGCAGTGACACATTAATATTTGCATTGACATATCACTGATATTCTTTATCCTTTCTTTTCAGACGCTGGGATTTTTTTTTAAGGATGCTATCAAGAAGTTTGTTGTGACTCAGTGTATTCTGTTGCCAGTGACATCTCTTCTACTTTACATTATTAAAATAGGGGGAGACTACTTCTTCATCTATGCCTGGCTCTTTACCTTAGTTGTTTCCTTGGTGAGTATGAGGATATGTTTGGGTTTCTTCCAAACACCAGCTTATTTGCATGGCTCAGCACACTGAGTAGAGCTGAAAGGAAATGGAGAAAAATCTAAATCTCATGTGAATTTTAGTGTCTACAAACTTTAACAGAGTGTCTTGCTCTCAGTGTACTTGTTCAGAAATAACAGCTCATAGTAATTGTCCACATTAATGTGATATATTTTATGTATTCAATACCGGAGTGTCTTCATCAGTTGAAAAACAAGCATTGAAAAAGCTTTAGAATAGGTAGTGGAAATACAGCACTATGTGGTGATGGGTTTTTCTTAAATATAGAAAGGCACAGGGACAACTGCTGGCAGTTTGGCAAGACAAAGCAGATCATGCTTTGATCAGTTGTATTTGCATCATGCATTTCTCTTAGGTTATTGCACACAGCCCTCAGTGCATTGCTTGGTATCGAGGTGAGTAGCAATGTTCCATTCCTGGTTCTGTTTATATAGCTGCTTTCATACTGAATTGTAACTGATGGTTTTAGGGTTTATATAAAAGGATCTTTTTATATACATCATAAGCATTTGATACTTTATGTTGTTACTCCAGGGTCTGAAGGCTGTATTTTTTGTCTCTTTCAGCATAGTGCTCTACTGTCTTTTTGCTTAATATACAAACCATTGCTCACCCAAGGCAGAAATTACACAAGTACTGTTGTATATAATCATTCATTTTTAGATTAGAAAAGCACCTTAACAATTGAAAGAATTACTACATTACAGTGATGTAATAAAGGCTGCCTTATTAGCCTAACAGTAAGTATGGGTCAACCAAGCCCTAATTCTCATCTCAAGTTCAGACTTCCAGGTTGAAGTGGAGGGCACTATCAAGAAAACTTTTAGGAATACTTGGGTAGGAATTGTGATTGTTTTCTTTCTTAAGCTTCTCTAGTCCAGGTGCCCTTATGCTCTGACATCTTCCCTTTTTTTGTCACTGAACATATTCTGAAAAATCATAATGTTAGGTGTCAAAAATGCCAGGTCATTTGTATTGAAATGGCTGTTACAGAAAGATTTGTGCAGACAACAATTCTCAAAGAATTGTTCTTTTTCTTGCAAGTTTTGATCAGCAGCATGCTCTTAAATCCTAACTCAGCATTTGAGTTACTTCTCTGTCAATTTGTGTGAGGCAGTCCATACTTGCAGACTTCTAGTGAAGCCTTATTATTTGCAAAATTGGATATTAGTTCTTTATGTGATATCCAGTTCATATGTGAAGTGTTTAGTCTTTAAGGCTTTAAAGACTTGCTTTTTCATAGAAGGATTAAGTTGAAATTTTAAAATAAATCGTAGTTTCAGGATGAAAGATACAGGATTTTCTGAAATGGCCTGCCCTCATTTGTACACTGAAAGATTTTTTTCTTTAACCTCCTTTATACCTGTCGTTGACTGTATTTATTCTTGCCATCTTTTCTTTAAAATACAGATGGTAAAAAATGTTGTATGAGCTCATATGAGAAATTTTCTGAATGCCCCTTTTATAGTCTTTATTGAGCAGGTTTATGTCATGGGTTGACCTTGGTCAGATTCTAGGCACCCACTAAAGTTGCTCTGAGCTGGGAGAGGTCACACAGGCAAAACAGACTCAATGTGGGGTTAATACTAAAATTTATTACTAACAGGATAAGATCTAAAGAGTGAGAAATAAAACAGTCTTAAACACACTTTCCACCCACCCCTCCTTTCTTCCATGTTCTCCCTCCTTCCCCCTCAGCAGTGCAGGGGGACAAGTCCACCCCTCAGGCAACAGGTCTTCCAGATCTGCTGTCCCATAGGTCACCCTTCCATGGGCTGCAGGGGGACAGCCTGCTTCACCATGGTCCTCACCACGGGTTACAGGGGGGGGTCACAGCTCTGAGACCTTCCCCTGCTCCGGGGGGTCCCTCCCACAGGTAACAGTCCTTGATGGACCTCTCCAACGTGGGTCCACCCCCCAGGCAGTAGTTCTTCCATATCTACTGTCCCGAGGGTCACTTCTCCATCCTTCCTAGGATGCAGTCCTTCATAGGGTGAGCTGTACCGATATGGATCCCCCACAGGGCCATGAGTCCTACCCAGGAATAAACTGCTCTGGTGTGGACTTTCCTCTCCACAGGCCACAAGTCTCTTGAAGGACTCCACTCCATCCTGGGCCTTCTGCAGGGGGTAATGGCCTTCTTCCATGCATCCATCTGCTCCAGCATGGGCTCGGCTGCACCGTGGCAGGCCGCCCTGGCCCAGCTTGACTCGGCCGGGGGAAAGGGAGGGTAGTGCCTGCCGGCAGGGCCCACTCTGCCGCCCTGGTCTAGCCTGTGGGGCAACACCCTCCACCACCACCTCCGCAGTGGGGGAGGTGGCGGGGCCTCCCGGGAGCTTCGGTCAGCTCTCCCCTGGCTGGAAAAAATTCTTCTGCCCAGCAAACTTGTTTTAAATATGTTATCACAGAGGCATGATTATTGGCTCTCCCTTGGCCAGCAGCAGGAAGTCCCTCCTGTAGCCAGCTATCATTGGCTTCATTGGGGGGGGGAACTTCTGGCAGCTTCTAACTGAAGCCCCCTATGTAGCCCCCCTCACTATCAAAAAACCCAGCCACCTCAACCCACGACAGTTTACTAGAAAGAAGAGGTGTAGGTGAGTAGTACCAAGCACTAAATTTCAAGGTGATAACCAGAACATACTCAGCTGACACCGTATTTCTTTCTCTCACTTTCATATCACAAACTAGTATTTTATTTTTGAGCTGCCTGTGCCTTCCCATTGAGCTATCAGTGTAGATTTTGTCTTGAGGTATTACAGATACTTTAGAACCTGATAAAACAGGGGTTGGCCTATCTTAACAAAAGCTAGAAAAAATGTCTTGGCAGAGTTACAATCTTCCTGTACTAAAAGAATATATAGCAAGACCTAGTGGCGCACTCTTCTCCCAGGCCCTCGACCCTGGCTGTCCATGCCACTGTCCCTTCAGTCCATGCCAGATTAAGTGCATGCCCAGACAATTGGTGCTCTTAGGCTTGCCACCTCACTGCGGCTTTGTAGGGTTTCAGGCCTTAATGTGTTGGTTTGACATGCAAAACCACCCTAAGAGGTGTTAGGTTTACCCTTTAGAGTTTGGTTTAGGGAAAAATTCCAGTTCCATGACTCTTTAATCAGAGTTAGAGTTGCATCCTTCTACCAGTCTGCTGATATCAAGGCATTACACAAAGATCTGAGATAAAAAAACCTTAAAATTAGTCCCTACGTGCTAGATGGTCTGAGACTGGTCTGGACTAAAGAGCTGATTTCTGCTCTATGAAATACCCTCCTACACTTGCTGCAAAATATCTGCACAGGTTTAAGCCCTTAACAGTTACAGTAATAAAACCCCCTTATTTTCTAGTGGTGCTTCATATTGATATCCTCAGTTGCTCTGACTTTGCAGAAGTCTGTTTCCCTGTTTTTTGATTTCATTGAACTTTTTCAACAGTGCACACACTGTCAAAAGTCCAGGTAGTTGTTTTTGGTGAAATAAAACGTGAAGATAACTTCAAAGTTAATGTTTATGTCCATTTGCTTCTCATGTCCTGCTCCTTTTTTGCTAACCAGAATTTAAACTTTTAAAATAAATAAATAAAAATCACTTTGTGAAGGTCCAGAGTGTGAGGAAAGGGAGTTCAGCTTTCTTTCCCAACACAGTGTTATTCTAGTTCTGGCTTGCTCAGCTGAGCTGCAGCTGATACCAGTTTGAAGCACTATGGTGATATTTTTTGAGGGGGGTCAAGGTGGACCCAGAGGCATCAGGCAGTTCCTTAGCCCTCCTGACAGCTGGGAGGAGGGAAAGAAAATAGGGGACATGAAATTTCTTACCTCTCTTTAGACTGTGGCTTTGCAAGTTAGCAGGAGTTAAAAGTGAGACTGTCTCCTGGATCCTTCAGCTCTGCAGCTCAGTATGAAACACTTCAGAGCTTTCCAGGATTGGTGAATTGTGTGGAAGTGACAGCCTGTCACCAATGACCCCCCTGCTCCCAGCTGCCCAGCGGCCTTGTCTTCTGCACTGTTCACACCAGTTCTGCTGAGGTGTGTAGTTGGTTTGTGCACCTGCCCTCGCCCTGTCCTGCTGCTGAACTGCAAAACTGCAGACCTTCCACCAGACGAAGCAGTCCGTAGAGACCCTGGCCATAGATCTTCCCTTATACAGGACTCTGCTTTATCAAGTGTTTTTTTTCTGAAATTATGCCCTCTTTTTGTACTTAGGCTCCATCTTTAATACTAAACACGTTTCCTTGCCCCATTCTTAATATCCCAATGTGTTTGCAGGTGCTTGTTACAATCTATGCAGACTATATTGCACCTTTGTTTGATAAATTCATTCCACTTCCGGAGGGAGAGCTCAAGCAACAAATTGAAACAATGGCAAAGAGCATTGACTTCCCGTTGACTAAGGTGTATGTTGTTGAAGGTGAGATTTATTCTTTTTTTTTAAAAAAAGACTTTATAATTTTGAATTTGTGGTTTTTTTTAGTTTTGATTGTGGATGCTGTAGTAGGGCAGTTGCTTGCATTGTTCAGATACTGCAGTAGTTGTCAATGTCTGTAGCATTGTTACCACCCGCCCCAGAAAAAGGGAGGGGGGTAACCCAGGTTTTTATCAATAATTCCCTTGGGGTGGATTAGAGTGAAACGACACTGAATAATCAGTGTCTGAAAACATATACTGGCAAGGTTTATTTTAACAATTCTGTATCAACAGGCATGCTAGCAGTTTGGGTGCTGTCATACAACAGTGTGAGACAGAGATAACCTTGGGGGGGTGGGGAGGGGAAGAAAATGCATAGGGGAGAGAAAGGCAGGATAAGAGCAAGGGAGAGTAAGGGAAAGAAAAGTTGAGAGTGGACAGATGAGATGTATATAGTCACCGCCCACGGGGTCCAGCAATGCTTCCATGTCTGTCAGTTGAAGTGGTGGCCTTGATCTGCTGGGGGTGAAGGAGGGAAGCCCCCACACTCCAAGAAGTTATGAGTTATTATATCCATGATTATTGTCACGGGCCATGCCTCGAGCCTCCAACATCTCCTGGGTCTGTGCTGAGGTTTTTTGTGTCTCGTCTGGTTCCTGCCTTTCAAGATTAGCAGAGGGAGGGAGGGGCCTGATTGCTCAGCGGAGGTATCAACAGTCAAAAGCTTGCGAGCTCGGCTTCTTGCCTTTTCAGGGCTTCACACCTTCAGCACTGGAGGGAGGGAGGGGCCCGACTGCTCATCAGAGGTATCATGCAAGTCAAAAGCCTGCAAAAGTCTCCTAGAATGCATAAATCATTAACCATTTCAGTCTCTGACAAGCATTTCCCTGGTTTTTGCCCTGAGGTCAGAAAAGTGAAGCTGAATGTACAGCCTGAACTCAGCCTCTGGTTGGAAGCATTGACCTGGCTCTTGTAGAATGGAAATACGTGGCTCAGTCAGGAATGGAAGCAGGAAAGTAGTCAAGATTACAGTTTTAGAACTGTAAAACAAGGGAAGACCTTTTTTTCCTAGTCTCAGTTTAGCATTAATTGTCTCAAAGTCCTTGGTGAAACAGTTGAAAAAGTCTTGAAAGTTAAAAATGCCTGTTTCTTCCAAAATTGTTCACAGGTATGGTTTCTTATGGTGTGGCTGGATGGACTTACACCTCTGACTTGAGACTAATTTTTTTCACTTTCTAGTACTGAATTTCTTATCTTTTTTTCTTAGGTCATGGAATATGGAATATGCCAGCTGCCATGTCACTTCTTCTCTGCTTCCATGTTCATGGACCGTTTTACTATCTGACATTTCCAGTATTACTCATTTTGCTCCTGTCTGAACTTGATTTCAGGGGTTTTCCAAATTTTGTTTTGGTTTTGTGCTCCACCTGTGAGGCTCAGATGTGTTGAAACTTGGTGAAACCCATATGAGATGGCATAAAGAGCTAAAATGGTAGAGTTTTTGCAGTCAGAGAGGCTGGTGAAGGCTTTATCTAGCCAGGAAGCTGTGATTTTCTAAACTTTGGACTGGTCAAATCCTGCCGATGCTCTGCCTCAGTGCTGCTGGGAACTACTGATACACTTGGGGCACAGGAAACTCTTCTCTTTTCAGGCAAAGTTGAAGCTTTTCAAGGTTGAGAGTCAGTGCAGAGGTTTTCTCAAATGTACTGCTGGTTCTGTCCCAGTTTTTAGCCATGGTGAAAGTCCTGTGAGCCAGTACTGCAGCCCCTGTGCAGTGTGCTGCATTGGCTTCTCCGGGATGTCTGCTTTAGTGGCAGGGAGGCTGCCGAAACTCCAACCCCCTCCCTGTTTTTTTTGTGTAGCATCCTTAAGAGCAATGAGCCAGCACCATTCCTTTCTGACATGGGGGACTGGATTTGTGAACATCTTTTTGCCAGTGTTTTTCTGAACTCTGTCTTGGCTCTTCACACTCTGGAACTGACTTCTTGGTAGCATGCCCAACCAAGTCCTGTAATCTCAGGGTTCATTCTGTAAGAGGGAGATTACAAAGGTTCCTTCTCTACCAACACTTAGTGGAGAATGAAGTTTTTTATGATACACAGGTGAAAGGAAACATTGCTACCCTCTGGCTGTTCTGATTTCTTCACTGAGAAGGGACTGGTTACTGAGGGTTCATACTCTGACCAGTCTCTTCCTCTGTCAATCTGTATTGGTTTGGTGCTGAAGGTCACCATGACCATCCCACAGGTTGGCTTCCAGTGGAACAGTAGATGTTTTGTTCTCTAAGGGATTTCTGTGGCTCATACATTTATAGTGTATCTTATCTTTTGCTGCAAAAAAACCCCACCTCTGCTCTCATAGAGACATCTTTCAGTCCTGATGTTGCAACAGCTTCTTTCCATAGTCAAAAAAAAGCTTTTTAATCAGCTGAAACCATGGACATTCCATGGAAAGAGATGAGTTTCTTGGCCTCAGATGTTTTGATGGTAGAAACAGTCCATGATTGACCTGATCTAGATAAAGGTAGCTGTAAAAAATGACCTATTTCAAACAAAAATAATATTACCTGTAGTTCATCTCTTCATCTTCTCCTTATCTGTTTCTAAAATCTTCATCTTTATCTGTTTCCAATCATCTTTGCTGGCACATTCTAAATTATTTAGCACAGGTTCTTTGCCAGGAGGCAATGTCAATGCAGAATGCTCTTTCCAATCTAAACCTGAAAATGCAATAGAATTTGCTTTTCTTCTTGGACATTAGTTCTTCATGACTGCTCTTACACTTTTAGTGCTTTTTGTGTTACATTTCTCTATTGGAGTCATCATTACTTAGATTTTAAAATATGCTTCTGTCTGCAAACCGATTTGCCTGAGTTTGTGTACTGTTCATTTGGGGACTTTGAGAATTCCTTTGGAGGAGTCTGGTCTGTGTCATGCTGCACAGGCTTTGGTGCAGGGGATTATTCAGATCATGATCTTTAATGTAAATTTTCTCCATCAGGTTCTAAGCGTTCTTCTCATAGCAATGCTTATTTCTACGGATTCTTCAAGAATAAGCGGATAGTGCTCTTTGACACCCTCTTGGAAGACTATTCTGCATTGAACAAAGAACCAGCAGAAGGAGAAGATGGTGAGAATGAAGAAACAAAGTCTAAAACCAAAGTGAGTTTGTCTTTGTTTTTCATCTTGTTATTTACATTAACTTCTTGGTGAGATTCCCTTGTGCTTTCTAATGTATTTTAAAGGTTCTGAGTTGCTAAAAACCAAACTCTATTGATTTCAACACCAAAATATTCCTGGTTTGCTAATTGGAATTTTTGGGGCTGTTGGAGCATCAAAGAGACTGTAAAATCCATAGAGGCTTTAGCAAAACATGTAAAAACTAGACCTTCCATGTAATTGTCTGAATAAAGGACCTGTTCAGGGTTTTAGTTCATGTTCCCTCTCTTGGAACTGCCGCACTAAAGCTTCCTTTTGCAGGAAATGCTTTTAATTCTCAGTGTGTCGTTTGTGTGCTTTTTACTGCACGCAGAATTTTTGGTGCAGGAGGAACGCACGTGAGCACACACAGACAGATTCTACATGTGCATCCTCTCCCACCCTGATCAAGAACAGAATGGTGGCCTGGCATTGGCCTCTCCATCAGGAGCCTGCTCTAACAGCTGGTGTGACCTCAGGAGAGTATGGGGATGGTTAAAGCTGATGGAATACTTTCTGAAGAACCTGAAGGAGTAATTCTGAGAAAAACAAATGACTTGTGCAGCTAAGGTTAGGCTAATGTCTAGATTATTGCTCAGACCAGCTTCTGTTTCTTGACACCATGTTGGTGGTGGAATTCTCCTTGTACAGGTTTTGGTTTGGCAAAAACTGCAGAAATGGGTGATGAGAGGAGGGGATTTTGAGCTCACCTGGTCTAGTTATAATGACTCATTTTTTCCATTTCAACAGGTTCTTCAGCCCTTCTGCTTGTTTTTGACTTGCTGATGTACCTGCAAAGGTGCAGATGTCCTTCCTAATGATAGCTTTAAGGCATTTCATAGGGTTTTTTGACTAGGGCAGGGATGTTGTCATTCCTTTTTAAAGGAACACTGGTGCCTTGGGAGGAAGGCCACATGTTGAGTGTTGAAGGAAGTAGGGAGAGGGCTTTGCTCTCAGTTCTCTCTGAAAGTCTGCAGCTCTGAATGCCTGCCTCCATCGTACTGCTTTTCTTGAGTAAAGAAACAGGATGAAATCAGGGGATAGTAGGAGAGAGTTTGGAAGGCAAATCTTCCAGTGTTCTTCCAGGTTTTCATCAACGTATCTGCATACATTGAAATAAGAGACCACCACCTCATGGTAGAAATCTTCCTGAACTTAAAAGGTTATATTTTTGTAAGTATCTTCATGAAAAAGGCTCAATATATATGTGTACCTGCTATTAGAAGGGAATGGCCTGATCTAGGGACACTTAAGTGATCAAGTTAAAAACAAACAAGTAAGAAATTTATTCAGTGGTGTTCAGTCATAGCTGATATTACTTCTGCTTTGTTATTCCCTCAGAATAAGAAACAAGGATGTAAAAATGAAGAAGTTCTAGCTGTACTTGGTCATGAATTGGGTCACTGGAAACTAGGTCACACTGTCAAAAATATTATTATCAGCCAGGTAAGTTATTTAAACTGGGGTGTTTTCTGGAGTATTTTGTAGTTATTGCTGTTTCCAAATGCCTGCTTGCTTCCAGATTTGTAAGTGTACATTCAGGTGTACACTGATATGCTCTGTGACAGAAAGTTGGTCTGGTTTTTTTTTTCCTTGTTCTACGGTGAATATGCACTCACCTTTCTGTCCCGTCCTTGCTTCATCTGGTTGGTAGGGAGCTTCTCAGAAAGCATGTCTGCTGCCATTTTAATTCATCTGTGCAGCCTTCTGAAGTTGTGTTGTGGTTTAGGAATGGTACTCCCCAATCCAGTGCCCCCATCGACACTTTCCAAACCACACACAGCTCTCTGTCACTCCCTTGTTTTTCCTCTCCTCCTTCCCGCTGCTTCGGGATTGCAGAGGAGATTTGGAAGCACAAAAGGCAAAGATCACAGGTTGAGATAAGAACAATTTATTGAAACAGCAATGAGATAAGAAAAGGAACAGTAACCAACAATACTAATGACAGAGGATACAAGAAAAGAAAGAATTCACACAGAAGAAAAACCCAAAACAATAGTAGACAATACTGGGCCGCCAGGTTCTCTTGACTAGAAGAAACCCCTTCTCCTCAGAAGAGTCTCCCCCCCATCTCCAGTGGCAATGATGTGAGGTGGTATAGAATAACCTGAGTCCTAGCCGTGCCCCTTCCTACCTACCGTAAAAATTAACCCTTTCCTGGATGATACCAGGACAAGTTGGGACACATTTTTTTTGCTCTGTAATGCTTGTCTGTTTGAATCTCAGGGCCTTCTCTGCAGTTCTGTTTCCATCCCTGTGCTAAGGATAGGCTTAGATGTGTATTGACTCCCAGCCTGAGATTTTTAGTTGTTTGTCTTTACCTCTGAGAAAGCTTCACATGTGTCTGAGAGCTTCTGTCAGCCTCGTTCCTTGTAAAGCTGAGAAGGAATGTGATTGAGGATTAGGAAATCTGACACAAGAGGGCATTCTTATTTATATTGTATTCTCATACCTTGTGCATTAATTATTGATAAATAACTTTATTGTGCCATTCTTGGTGCTTGCCAAAATGGGGGTGAACAATGAAGTAATCTCCGTAGAGATATGTAATTGCGTTGGTGTAGATCTGTGTTGTTCCAGGTATCACTCAGCCTTCTTTTCTCCAAGTTCTCAGCCTTTTCTGTTTTGTTTCTCTTAGCTGCCCTCCAAGCACCTTCTGTAAATTCCATGGTATCTTGAGATGCCTGCACCATTCCAGGAGTGCTATTCTGTTCTTTTTCTAAGGTTATTCACAAGCTTTTCAGGCTATAAACATCACAATTAAACTCCTCCGGTTTAAGCAAATCTCTCTGTTTTCGCATTGGCATTTTCTTACCTGTGCAGCTGATCACTTCAGTGAGGCTCTTCTTGCTTTCTTTAAGGTGATTACCTTCCAACTTCTGACATCAGCACTGATCCCTGCTGCCAATTGTTACAGTAATTTTGCCACATTCCTAACTCATGTAATTTGTCTTTGGATCCACTTTCTAGATACTACTATTTTGCTGTAATAGGTGGACTTTATCCTCACTTTCAGAAATTTGTCACAAATTCTTCTGCGATGTCTTACACTTTTTCTATATTGTTTGCTGTCTGTCACAGCCATCCCTCTTTTCTGTTCCCTGTGTTTCAATAACAAAAAGTATTCTTTTCACATTGCTGTAAAAAGACCAAACAGCCACTTGGATAGATTGAAAAGGTACCGACTGCCCTCTCTGGAAAACTTGGTAAGGCATGGTCCTGCCGCTTGGCTCTGAAAAGCCAGGCAAACTGTACACAGTGCTGCACGGCTTAGATAGAAGCGGAGATTGTTTCCAGGAAAGGAAGTGCAACACAGCACAGACACATTTTGTTTACCTTTAAACTTTTAGAACTATGCTTAATTCCAAGGAGATGGGTTCTATCTTCTACTCCCTCCTCACTTGTCTTCTTATCTTTTCATCTTCCTTCATTACTTAGCCTACTTTTTTGCTCTCTGTCTGAAAATAATGGTTCTTTATTGCATGCATTTTCAGAAAGTAGGTAAAGACCAGCTGTTTGTTCCTCTTTGTATATTAGTTCAAAAGTGATTTACAGTGGCATTCCTATGCAAATCTGTAATGTGATATTATGTAGTGTTTAGACTCATCTTAATCAAGAATGTTGTTTCCTTTCTCTAGATGAATTCCTTCCTCTGCTTCTTCTTGTTTGCTGTGCTAATTGGTCGAAAAGAACTCTTTACTGCATTTGGTTTCTATGACACCCAGCCTACCCTGATAGGCTTGATGATTATTTTCCAGTTCATTTTTTCACCTTACAATGAGGTAAATTGTTTTCAAGACATAGACGCTGAAGTATCATCTTATTTAAATAATGATTTTGTTTTGACTGGGAAAGTTTGAAGCTTCTAGCGGCCGTATTGGGTGTCTCATTTTAATAATCAGGGCTAGCGCTGCATGTTGAGTAAGACTCTTGGTTTAAGGTGTGGCGTGGATAAACCTTAGTGAGATCATTCTAAAGCCACGGCAATGTGTGGGATGTGGAAAGGTAGATATAGTAGTATTTACTGTAAGGAATTTGCAGATAGCTGAATTTTAAAATAATTTTTAATACATTTCTCTCCACAGGTTCTCTCATTTTGTTTGACTGTATTAAGCCGACGGTTTGAGTTTCAAGCAGATGCATTTGCCAAGGAACTTGGGAAGGCTAAAGACCTATATTCTGCTTTGATCAAGCTAAACAAAGATAATTTAGGTTTTCCTGTTTCTGACTGGATCTTTTCAATGTGGCATTACTCCCACCCACCCCTTTTAGAAAGACTTCAGGCCTTGAAAGATGCAAAGCAAGAGTAATAGGAATCATTGCTGGTTCAGAGACACTGCTTCCATCTCAGAAGCAAAGTTCAGAGCTGCTTTTTAATTTTTTTTAAAAAATTGATAATGCCAATTAAGTGCACTGTTAACAGCACCACAGATATGAGAATCCTGAAACAGGTGTTAAATTATAAATTACTTCTTTTTAACAAAAACAAAACTGTGGAACTTAATTTAGAAAAAGTACTGGGTGATGACCTTTCCCCTCCTCCCCAATGACTTTTATTCAAAGTATAGACTTTTAAAGGGAGGAAAACAAGAGTAGACTTCGAAGCACCTTTTTCTTCAGTTTGTGTATGCCTTGAAAATTGCTTTTGATCCTCTTTCCATTCTCTGTGTTCTGTGAACCTTCCCGGTTTTACTCTCTTCACAGTGAAGAGGCTTTGGGTGACTTGATTTCCTGTATAATGATACCTGTACTCGCCAGTCAGTGTGTTGTGTTTTAAAAAGCTGAATGCAACAGCAGCCTTTCTCCTGGATTCGTTTGTCATAATGAAAAATGCTACATAATAAAACCTTTCTCTGAAGTGTGGGAAGAAGGATGAATTACAACTGAAGAAATGTACCGTGGCTTCCTTGAAAATGAGCACTAGTTGGTATTTAGTAGCATTATAGTGGGATTAGGCTGCTCCTCTTCCCCATTGTGCTGCTGGGGATGTGGAAGGATGTTACAGGAATGGCATACACATGTTAGAGAAAGATACTAATTCTCTCTTGTTCTCTTTTTTGCTTGCAAGTGGGATGGTTAACAGCTTTCCCACACCTCAGGTCCTCCATTTCGGTTCTTCTTTGCCTAGATTTTTTGTGTATATGGAAGTGTCCAGTTGCTCAGCAAGTGTATCAGAGCCAAGCTTTCATTCTGAGAGGGTTTGTCATCCACTCCATGGAGGGTTTTCCATTAATATGAATCCAGTTCAAATAGCAGTGCTGGAATATTTGTTCTTCATCATTGTTCTTATATATAAAAATTGTTCTTATATATATAAAAAAGCCCAGGAAACAGTTTGCCCACATCAATTAGTGAAGAATGAAGTGAGTAATTGTGGAAATGGCTTCGGCATTGATTATTTCAGACTTTCCTGATGAAAGATGCAATTAAATTTACTTTTGTTGAAATAAAGATAAAAGTTAAATATAAGTTTGCATGTGCATACAAATGTTTTGGACCAGCCTGAATGCACATACTTCATATAAAAACTAGGTTTTCTATCTGCAGTAAATTAAAAAGTTTTGCTCAGCTCTGTACAGAGGTCATCAAAGCAAATTGCCGTTGTTTCAGATGTCAGAGTATTCTTAGATCCTTTATTGATAGCTTTGTTTCCTTTTCTGATCATAAGGAAAAATGCCTTTATAAAATGATGGGCATGATGATGTCTCAGATGCAACAAGATGTTGCTGCAAGTCCTTTGTATGCCTTATTCTAATTGTGTTTATACCCCAGCAAATACAGAGCTAAACTATAAATATGGATTTAGGATTTGGTTTTACAAATATGGAGAGCCTATATTTGTCATGTTAACTGCATTTAATAAATGGCCCTCAAAAATAAAAGGATTAACTTGAATCTGTCAATTCAGAAGAATAAATGTGTCAAGTTTTGAATGAGATGTTGGCTGGTCTAAAGCTATGGAAAACATGTTAAATGTGCTCTGAGAAAACCATTTGTCTCATCCATTAGGTAAAAATTATACACAAAAATCTATTTTGTGGCTATTTCAGAAATTTGGCTAAACACAAATAAAAGGGAGACTAAAATGGGTAGGTAAAGGAAATGTCAGTACCTATGGAAGCATGAAATACTTGGCTTACAGGCGAAGATAGCACTCTTGCAGCAATTGCCTGTTACTTCCTTTTCTTCCCTGTCACTATTTGGAGTTGATCTCTGCAGTTCTTGTAGCTGGATTTCATATCTACCTCCTGAACAAGAGTTTGGGTTGGTTCCGTTCTGCTCCAGTCACTTCTCAGCACTGGAACTGTCAGTGTGTGTTGCTGACCTTCTGCCTGCTCACATTACTGCTGGGCAGACATCTGGAACACGTCATCTACACCTTGCAGACATTCTACAGCCTCTAGTTGCTTCCTGGCTTCCTGAGAATGGTTGAAATCACACCTGAATCTTCCTGTGCAGCTTTTGCCTTCCCAGGTACATCAGTCCTCCTATAGTGTCTACACAGCCATGTGATCAGCCAATACAAACCAGCTTCATGATAAGGTAGGTCTGCTTGGACCAGCCACTATTCCTTCCAAGGAATGACCAGTTTTAAGGAGAGAGGCAAGAAAATTACCTGTTATCTTTAGCAAACCAAGAGCAGAACATCTCTGGCAGTACTCTCCTCAAAGGCATCTGTGGGGCTGCTGGGCATTGATCAGCAGTGTCCTGCCCAAAGGTTGGAGATCCAGTTTCCCATTCCCACCTCACCGGCATTTTCTACTTGTTTAAGTAGAAACTTGAGAGAGGACATGGTGAGGAAAATTCTCAGACCTCAGAAAGTGACAGGAAGACTAAAATTTGAATGCTTTGTGGATGTGAAGCTTGGTAGGTCTTGGCAATGTGTGCTGGCAGCCCAGAAACCCCCCGTGTTCTGGGCTGATCCCCAGCAGCCTGGGCAGCAGAGCAAGGGAGGGATTTTTGCCCCTCTGCTCTGCTCAGGTGAGACCTCGCCTGCAGTGCTGCCTCCAGCTCTTGGGTCACCAATATAAGACACGGACCTGCTGGAACGAGTTTGGAGGAGAGCACAGAGGTGTTCCAAGGGCTGGAGCCCCTCTGCTCTGGAGCCAGGCTGGGAGAGCTGGGAGTGTTCAACCTGGAGAAAAGGCAGCTCTGGAGAGAACTTAGAACCCCTTCCAGTCCCTAAAGGGGCTCCAGGAGAGCTGAAGAGGGACTTGGGATGAGGGCCTGGAGTGACAGGACAAGGGGAAATGGCTTTAAGCTGAAGGAAGGTAGATTTAGATCAGATATTAAGAAGAAATTCTTTAGTGGGGCACAGGTTTCCCAGTGAAGCTGTGGCTGCCCCATCCCTTGAAGTGTTCAAGGCCAGACTGGATGGGGCTTGGAGGAACCTGGTCTAGTGGAAGGTGTTCCTGCCCATGCTTTAAGATGAGCTTCCCTGCCGACCCAAACCAGTCTATAATTCTATGATGAAACAGGCACAAACGTCTCCCTTTCAACTGTCTTGACGTGTTTCAAGGGCCTCCATGTGTTCACACAGGACTGCTGTGGCCGCAGGGCTCCTTGCTGCTCTCAGCCGCCAGGAGGTCCTGCTGCTGTGTGCAGGCAGGGGAGCGGTGGGGGAGCTGCGTGTGCGGGGCGGGGTGTGCGGGACCGCTGAGGGCCCGTGGGGCCGCGGGGGGGGTGACGCTCGCGGCCGCAGGCCGCGCTGTGCGCGCGAGGCCCGGATGTGACGTGCAGGGGGGCGGGCGGTTGTGCCCGGCGCGGTCCTTTGTGCGGCGGGACGAGTGCTTGCGGCGGGCGGCAGAAGGCGGAGGCGGCGGCGCGCGGCGCGAGGCCGCCGAGGCCGGTCCCCCGCCCGCCGCGGGGCTCTGGGCTCCTCTTCCGATAGCGCGGGGCTGCGGAAGCGCACGCCCCGCAAGAAGGAGCCTCCGCGGCCTCGCCCCCGGGCGGTGTGTCCGAGCCGTCGGCCGCCGGGGCCGCCCCTGCGCCCGGCGGCGAAACCACCGGCATCGCCGAGACCCCCGAGGGCCGCAGGACCAGCCGCCGCAAGCGGGCTAAAGTAGGTCTGGGGTGCTCCGGCTACGGGCCCTGCTGGCACAGAGCCGCGACCGGAGGCGGGGCTCGGCCCTGCTCGGGGTATTGCTGCCCCCGGGACCGGGTCCGGCCGCGGGCTGAGCACGGGCCCGGCGCTGCCGGCGGGGGCGGGCCTGTGCCCGAGAGGGTTCGGGGGCGTGAGTTCGAAGAATAAACACACGGGCGCGCAAGAAGGCAGTGCGGGTCAAGGTCCCGTGGTGTCCCAGCTCTTCGTGGACTATGGCGTGACACGGTGCATGTCACAAAGGAGAGCATTCTGCAGCAGCCCAGGAACTTTTTGGGGTTCCCGATCTGATACCGAGCAGTAAAAATACTCCAAGTCCCTGACAGTGCATCGGAATGCTCATGAGCTTCATTTCATCAGTGCATTCTTGTCGCTGGAGTATAGAGATGCAGATTCTCCTGAGGCTCATGTTCATGGGCCTGTGCTGATTTTGCAAGGTTGTGAAGGTGATGGCCACGCTCAGTCCACTGTTCCTCACCTTCCCTCTATTGGCTTTGGTGAGCTGAGTCAATGCTGTGTTAAGGGTGAGACTTAGCACTGAAATCTAAAGGCCATAAAGAGTCTCCGGTAATTTGGGTCTGTAACATGTAATTCTCATCTATTGTTCTGAACATGTGAGAACGTTATCTTCTTTTTGTGAAACTTTTTCTTCGAAACCTTGTCTCAGAAGATATTGAAGATCTTGGCTGTGCCCAAAGCTGGGGTGTTTGGCTGGGAAGCTGAAGTTACTTTTCGGAACTGTTTTGTCCTGTGGCTGTGGCATTGAATGTCTAGCTTTTCAGAGCCCTTGTGTGATGTGATAGCTGGTCATTTGCATGCAGGAGCTGCTGGGTAGGTCAGTCTGGTGCATCTTTTAAACTGAAAGAAGGTAGATGTAGATTGGACATAAGGAAGATATTTTTTACTATGGGGGTGGTGTTGGGCAGAGAAGCTGTGGCTGCCCTACCCCTGGAAGTGTTCAAGGCCAGGTTGGACGGGGCTTGAAGCAACCTGGTCTAGTGAAAGGTGTCCTTGCACATGGCAGGGGGGTTGGAATGAGATGTTTTGAAGGTCCCTTCCATCCCAAACCATTCTGTGATCTTCAGAAGCAGCATTTCTGCTTTATAGTGGTCTGTTAACAAGTAGGAATTAGTGCTCTGTGTGGGTTGTGTGTTGATGGTGTTTCTCTGCACTGACAGTACTTATCTGCAAAGGGTTGTTCATCTCTTATGACACCCTCTGTCCCCATGAGCACTTCAGCCCAGCACGAGATTGCCTTACTGTGAATGTTTGTGGGGTGAATTTAGTTGGGGGGTACCCAGGTTAAAAATAAACCTAGGGAAAAGCTTAGGTTTTTTATTGGACTCGATTGTTCTTGGAAAGCTCTGTGAACTCAGGGGGAATGGGAGACTTCTGAGGGCACACGTGGCTTCAAATACGGTGGTAATGTACGTCGGGCTGGAGGGTCACTGTAACTTGCTTCAGAGTGGGAGTTTGCAGAATGTCCTGGTGGTGCAACATTCGCTCAAGAGTGGGAAAAACTAAATATACTGGAGATTGTGGAATGCAAATATTTAAAAGAGAGCAGATCTTGGTGTGTGTTAGTGTTTTACTGAATCCAGGATTTCCTATACAGAGGCTTCCCAGTGAAACACAGTTGTGTTTTGAATTGGTGCCTGTTACTGCCGTTTCTGAATGATTGAACTTGAGCTATGAAAGATTTTTTGTTCTTTTAATGAGAAATGCAGAGTTGCTTTTGTTATTTCATGGTGAAAGCTGACCTGTCAGATGTTGGAGGGTCACTAGCTGCTTTCTTTTTATTTTTCCCATGGCTGCATGTCGAGAAGTGCTTTTTTCCTTTCCAGTAGATAGGGCTATTCAATAGCATTGTACAAAGCTTTCTTACTTTGGAATTCGTTTTATTAAACAGTAAGGGATGCATCCCTTCCAGGCTATTCTTGAGGTTTCCGTGTTCCTTTAGGTTGGAGCAGCGTCTTTTTGGCTGGTAATATTATTTATTTTTACTGGAAAATAGTACAAAATGTGCATGGCAATAAAGATGGGTGGGAGCAGGGCATCGTTCTGGTGCTAAGCCACTAGTGTGACTGTCCTGGAAAGGAGGCAGCTGTGAGCCTCTGTACCAGGACAAGATTCCCAGGAGACTGTACGGGACACAGATGGGATTTCCTCAGGAAATCTTATGTATGGTTCTGATCACCCATGTTTGGCAGATAAAGTCAAGTTGGAACATAGGGACACAGAGGCAACTTGTTATCCCCAGGTTTGACAGGGACATGAAGGAAGGAAAGAAAACTAGACGGGGTTAAATGATGACACAACAAATACACCTAAACTGGGCTTCATATGAGTAGAGAGCTCCCACTATTGGGTGCTGGAAACCCTTTTTTTAGGTGGAGGTGAAAACATGGGGAACTTGTTAAGCTTTGTTGCATTTTATAACATTGTATCTGTAATAAGACTGCATAAGGTAACACAAGCCTTCTCTTTGAGCTGTAAGCAATTTTGTTATTTGCAATGTTTATTTTTGTAGTCCAGCTTACAGACATCTTCAGTGCGTTTATTCTCTGTTGTGCTTTTTACAGGTGGAGTATAGAGAAATGGATGAGAGTCTTGCAAACCTGTCAGAAGATGAGTATTACTCTGAAGAAGAGAGAAATGCTAAAGCTGAGAAAGAGAAAAAACTACCCCCACCACCTCCACCAGCTCCTGCAGAAGAAGAGAATGAAAGTGAGCCGGAGGAGCCATCTGGTGAGTAAAGAAAGACCTCTTTTGACACTACTTACCTAGTTTATTAACAGAAATGTAGCAGGGCCAGGTGTGGCATCATGAATTCCATGTGTGGGTTTGATCTGGTTTCAAATTATTCTACAGTGTTTTATTTACTTGCCCCATTCTCCTGAGGGGAAAAACTCAGAAGAGCAGCCTGAAAAAGTTGAGAATATGCATGAATCTAATTCCAAATGAAGCCAGACTTCTCGTGCTAGATTCTCATGATCCTTACTGACTTGTCTTTGGAAACTTATTGACCAGAGTAGCCTCTTTGGCTCTCTGCTGCCACACCTGCTCATGTAGCAACATTCACTTACTCCTCTGAGAGAGAAAAAGTTGAGTTTATGGGGGGAGATTCTGTGCAGAAGAACGAATTTAATATACTGTGATTCCTGTAGCTTTAAACTGTAGCTCTAATCTTAAGTTCTGGTTGAATACTGTTCGCTTAAACTTCAGTGTTTTCCTCGTTATCTTTGACAGAGCTTCACTTTACAATGAAAAGTTTCTTAGACAGGAGGCAGCTTTCAAAATTTGTGGTAGTAGCAGTACCTTATCCTTTACCTCTGTTGTGTTTACAGTTCCCATCATTAGCGAGGTCTAGTGGTGGGGCATCACTCAGGTGTCTACAAGATGGTGCTTTTACAAAGTTCAGAGTCCAAGATTTTATGAGATAAAATGTGTACTAGTTGTTTTGGATAAGAGCTGAAGTCTAGTAGTAGTTGAATCTTTGCTGATTCATCACCTGTGTGAATTACTGCTAGTCTTCAGTTACACTCCCTTAATTTTCTTTTTATCTGGCAGGTTTGAGAATGTAGGCAACAGGACTGATGTCAGCTTGGGGATACCTACCTTTAGTTGCAGAAAAATTATTAAAAGCCACAGTTGTGTTTTATCTCTTAGGATATTCCCTTGTAACCTTTCCTTGTTGCAGCTGTTGGCTCCTGCCTTGATACAAGAATACTATAGCTGATATGCTTGACTAAAATATTTGCAATGATAAAAAACCTCCTCCCTCAGTTGTAGCTGATGTATCAAAAATGGAATTTTAATAGATGTAATTAAGCAAGTATCTTAAGTTTACTATTTAGTTTTGCTTAGACCTTGTGTTTAATCATTGAGACCTAATATTAATACATTTTTTATTTCTCTCAGATTCCATTTTATGCTTCTAAGAATGATTATTGAAATCAGTTTGAGGCATAATCGGTGAAGTACAGTGAATCAGGTTTTATCCCATGAAGGAAGAAATGTGGAAGATAAGCAGTGATGAATCATGCCATTCTATACACACAACAGCCTGTTAAGCAGTTATTCTGCAAGCACTATATTTAGCCATCTAAATACAATCAATTTTCAAACAGGCTCTATGCAGCTGCCTAGAAATGAGTTGACTTCAGGTCATCATATAATTTCTCTATTCCTAGAAATTCTGTGATACACATGAAGCAGTAAAGTAGGAAAAGGACAAATTTTCAGTTGTCATTCCATAGCTAGTCTTGCTGTAGTTTTAAAGGCTTCTGAGACTATATACATTTGTGGATCTCTCTGTCTTTGTCTTTATTAATGCAGGTGTCAAGAGCATCAGGTGTTATGCTGGCTGTTAAAGTGCATTGAAACTTGTAATTCAGGCACCTGTTAGGAGGCATGGAGTCTGCTATATATAAAAGCAGTGTTTATAATTGAGGTTTTCTCCTTCTCTGTCGCTTTGAAGCAAAAATTGACATATGCAATAAGAAATACTAAATTGGACAGTAATACTAGAGTAGGATTGCATATTGAAAATTTAGCAAAATTTTAATTAGCCTGTGTATTACTGTTAATTTATTCTCATTGCAGACCTTAAAAATTTCCTTTCTGTGTTTAAAGCCTATAAAAACACAGGAAATGCAGTAGAGATGTTACAGGTTATGCCCTTTAGAGTTGAAAAGCCTGACTGTGCAACTTAAAAATGTCTTGGTGCCAGTGTCTGGCATTTCATTAGCCTGTTCCCACAGACAGCTTACAGTGAAGTAGGTTACTGTCACAGTTCAGGTGAGAGTGAAATGCTGGTCTTATTTGGGGTAGGTCCTGTTGATGTATTCAGCTGTCAGGAATTCCAGGTGTTTTGGCTATATACATTATTACAGTCTGGATTTGCAAGATTTACTGCCTGCTATTGCAGAGCAGTTTTAAAAGGTGTGACAGTATTTCATAGTTAAGATAATTTCCTTAGATTATCTCTTCCAAATTCCCTTTCAGTGCTGAAAGACATTTGTGTTCTTGTTTGCCAGTATCCCTTCTGAAATTAAGGAGGTTGCTTCTTTTGTTTTTCTTCTCTAAGGATCTTTTTGGTTTTCCTCACCAAATTGGATTTTTATTTTTATAACTATTGAAGATTTTCTTTGCCAGCTCATGGCCTTTTAGTGTGTTCAGTATTCTTACTTTGTGGTAATCCTAGCTGCTGTTTTCCGAGGAACTGAGTATGATCGAAATTAACATCAAGTGAATAGTCAAGCGTAGTGGTGCTCTGTCTCTGTCTGTCATCTGACTTTGTCTGTTTTTCTAAATAAATTCAGTACTCTGTGATACTCGTGTGCAGCTATTTTTTATTTTGAGACAGGGGATGATTATATGAAGTGGACTCCTTTGTGGATCTACTTCCTGATTGCTCTTCAGCTCATGGTCTGTTATTCTCTTACCTTGAGACTTTCAGCAGATTCTGCTCTTGCACATGTTCTGCTGAGCTACAATAGTGTGATGTTATCGTAGATCAGCAGTTTGCTTGCTGCTTTGTTCCTTTGCAACTAGAACCTGACTTTCTTCCAGGGAAGGAGAGCCAATCTTCACTAGCAGGCCTTGTTTCCACACTTCTGTGCTCAGACTGGGTAGGATTTAGAATTCTGTCCAAGCAAACAGTAATACTCATGAGAAGAGGAAAATACAGATTTCTTTCTGTAAGTAAGCCGAGAGCAATTTTTTCCCCTCTACTCCTTGTCAGTGCTAATTCATGGATAATGAATTCTGCAAACTGATGTCAGCATCTTTTCACTTTCTTAATTTATGGAAGGCATAAGTGAAACTTTGATTGCAAATTAATGGCCTGTGATTGAGTGTAAATATTAATGTTTGAGCAATGTTAGTCTCTGCTAGAATGGAAGCAGGTCTTGAAATGTTCCCAGCAAAATAAAATACTTGCAGTGTAGGTCAAGTAAGGAATTTTATCTTGCTGTTGCAGGTACGTTAGTTCATAGAATCCTGACTTTGGGTCTTGTAAGGCCTTTCAAAATACAATTATTTATCACAGTCTCTATGTGAGTTTTTGAACTTTCCTGCTGGCTGACTGATTATCTACAAGTACTGACTATTGCTCCTCTGCTGTAGCTGAGTGAAAATGTCTGTCTTGTTTCAATTCTTATTTTGTTTTATAGATGTGTTATGTTACGACATTCTAGATGTTAATCCAGGTTATCACAGTATGCAAACATTTGGTTCACTTTTTGCGTCTTACTGTAGGGGTTAAATTTGTAGTTCAGATGAAATTCTTCTAAGTGTATCCCCTAAGAGCCTCAAATTACATTCTGGCAAAATTGTCCACCTGGTCCCAGACTCTTTAAAAGCGCATTCAGCCACAGATTAGACCTTGCTCTTATCTGTTTGGAAATGACACCTTGAACAGTTGTGCTCTAGGAAGTGGCTGTTGCACTCCAGTGACTGTTGCAGCAGTGTGTTTCAGCGGGGGTTGGTTTGGGATTGCTGATTGTTGAAGCATGTGGTTTGAAAGAGCCTTGGTACAGCAGCAGCCAGCTGAACAGCGCTCAGCCATCTCTGGAGTGTGCCATGGCTTCCTGCTCTCTGCAGGTGACAAGACTCCAGGCAAACATCTGACTGTGGAGGAATATTGCTCATGAGCTCAACCCGGAACTAGTGTCTCCTGAGAAGTGAGCAGTGTGTGAGGTGACCTGTAGTGGCTTTGTTCCTGCAGGCACTGCAGCTGCACTTATCTCTGTTCTCAGCATGCTCTGTTCCTGCTTGTGTTGCAGTCCTGTGAAGGCTGCTGCTCAGGACTTTCGTGCAGGCTAAGGTAATTCTGAGACTTCTTCAGATCTTTCAGATGAGTGCTTAGCCTTTCCCCATGTTTCTGTCACTGGGTATGTTGAAAGACTGATGTCTTTCAGTGCTGGGTGTTGATCACATCACTGATCGATGGTCTGATGTGTACTTGGCTTCAAAGGCAGTCTTAGTGTGTTAGAACACTGATGGGTGTATCAAGGGCACTGAAGCCAAAATAAGTGGTCTGAGCCTTTAAAGAAATGTTCTGGCATCAAGCTTCAAGGAAGGGTTTATGACAAAAAGATTAAGAATAGGCTCTCCTGAATGTAAGAGGCTTTTCAGAATGGCTCAGACTATCCCCTTGCATATGAGGAGACTCGGGAGCACCAAAGGCAAGCTTATCAAATTCTTAGGGTTTGAGATCCATAGAATCTGATGGTATCTATCCATCTTAACAGTAAGAAATGTGATCTGAGTATTTAAATCCTAGCCATTAATGAAGTTGATTATAAATATTTAGTCACCAGGAATGCTACATATTGTATACTTCTTTATTTCCCATAAAATCTCATGTAAAGCTTTCCAGTAACGCGGATAACACTTTAGAAGATCACAGTTTGGTGCCCTGAATCTAGGTTCCAGAAGATGGAATTCTCAGAAAATGGGTTTAGTTAGTTGGTGAAATTTAATACCTACAACGCCAACTTGCCAGGCCTTTATGTCCAGTATGGTTTAACTTATGGAGTAAGGTCCCTGAGTTCTCCTCTTTCCTTCCACAGGGCAAGCAGGAGGACTTCAAGACGACAGTTCTGGAGGGTATGGAGACGGCCAAGCATCAGGTGAGGGTGGCGTTTGATGCTTGCCACTGAGTAGCAAGAGCCGCCAAGTTAGGGATTGATGCTTGCAAGTGCGCATGGGTGTGGTTGTCCCGAATTTAGCAAGAGATGTAGGAGTTGTGTACCCACCTGTTCAAAAAGTGTGGAGTATTTTCAAATTTCAGTTGAGGACTATAACAACTGTGGAAAAGGGCGCTAGCTAACCTGTGTTGAAATGCCTCAGGCCGATCTCTCATCCCTCCACTCCTCTCCATGTTCAGAGGAGTCCAAACGTGCAAAAAGCTGTTTCTTACCTAGCCAGTTTGTACCACCTGGACTGACAGAGAGAACCCTGGGCTTTAGAATAGTAGACCTTTTTTCTAATTTGCTGAAGAAACAGCATGGAGTACCTTTTTGCTCCTTTATTTTTGTCTTGAAAGGGTTTGTGTTTGAGCTGTGTGCCAGTGGTTAGACCAGGAGATTATCTACTGGGCAGATTCATAGTCTGCGGCTCACTGGACTTGTTTGTGAATTGCATTTGCCATTTGGCCTCAGTACTGCTGCTGGCAGTACGCACTTACTGCTTCAGTCACGGGATTGGTGTCTTTACTCTTAAGTACTTGAAGTGCTACTGAAAATCTTCTCTGCTTTTGCTCTCACTTCAGGATTAGGGTTTTAAGCAAAGGAGTCGAAGGCTCTAGAACCTGTTCTGTACCTCCAAGTTGCTCTTTTTGAAGAAAACAGAACTTCGGGATACTCATCTAAAAGTGCATCCTTTGCTGTTCTAAGTAGGGGAGCCGAGTACTGTTATGAATCTTACTACTTAAACAGAACTGCTGGCTCATGGGCTTAAGGATGCACTGCCTATTTCATTTTTAGGCAGGCATTGGCTAATTGGAAATTCTGCATATTTTGCATGTACGCTTGAGAGTATGCTTTAACAATTGTCCAATTCATTGGCCAGAAAACTTTCCTTCAGAGTGTTTTCCATCTGCAGATGTTTCAGTGAGTCTTTAAATGAGTAGCATCCCTCAGGATTTCTTCTGTGAGGAAGAAGATAATCAAAACTTCAGCGCATGAGTTCCTGATGCTGAATGTCAGGAAGTGGCAAGTGTGTGTGTGAATGTGTGTGAAGAGGAGCTAGGCAGAGCCATTCCTTCAGTTGTTAGAGTTGCCTGCCCCAAGAAGAGAAGCATGTGTAGTTCTGAACTGGTACTTCCTGTAATGTGTCACTTTCATGGAATACAAGCAATAAAGGTGTGGAACGGGTGGGATTTAAGTAGCCTGAAATCCAAATCCATTTAGCTTTCAGCTGTGTAGTTGCAGAAGCAAGTTCAAGGACATTTAGTTCTTATAAGATCTTCCAGTGCTTGGCCGAATAAAAACTATATATTTGCTATTAATAGCTATGCTTTTGCTAAATTCTTGTATCAAATGCTGTTGTGGGTTAGGTTTTTTGGTTTTTTTCTTAAATACCATGCTCATCTGGACCTATTCTGACATTTTTGTTTTAAAGTTTATGTATTCCCATGAAAGACATGTGACCTTAAAAAAAAAAACAAAAAACAAAACAACCTAACCCACTTTGGAGTTCTTTACAAAAATATTGGCAGCGCCATATTCTCTGGCTGCTCAGTTTGAAGAAATAAATCCCAAAGCTTTTCAAGAAAATACCAAGTTGCCTTAAATCCACATGTCTGAGTTCCCCGGTTATTCATGATTGCATGGCTTTTTAGCACGTACCCAGAGGAGGACACTTCTTTTAGCACAAGTCTATAAGATGGAGTCAAATTCAGCATTTCAGGTCTTTAACTGGCCATTCTCTGAAACTGTGCTGCTAAGCTTTTTGCTAGCACTTGAGGATCTAGAACCTTAGTTAAGATTTGTTAACATTAATGAAGTATCACAGAATTGGTAACTTTGGTTTGATTTCCATGCTCAGTTTTACAGAATTTATAGTTGAGCATGTGCGTTCTTATGCAGATGTTGACACAGTTGGGCCAGTGTTAGATGGAAGGACAGCAAAAGGGCTGGGGGTTGGTGTTACTGGAGAAAGTGAAGTTCTAGCAGAGCTGTAGGTTTCTATTCCATAGGTGAATATCAGCGCAAGAAGCATTGTGGGTGTGGCAATTTCTCCTATGGTTACTTTTATTTTACTCGTAGTGCTCTGTAGCTTCTGTTTCTAATTTCCTCTTGTAAAATTCCTGGATTACAGACAGTTTTCTTTACCTTGAGTCATCACACAGTTAGATCTTTTGATCTTTGCTTGTGGATGAATTTTTTTAGTTTTATAACCATTTCCTTCCTTAGTTTTTTTTCACTACCTTTGAAATGTAAAAGTGCTTGGAGTGTGTGGTGGCACCAGAATTGGAGAAAGATAATTCCTCTTCCTGATACAGTGACATGTACTGCTGCAGGGGAACTTCAAACTCTCAGAGAGTTGTCTTGGTTAGTGTAATACACTGCAAGCTTGTATTTTCTTTGATATTTATAATAATCTTTTGAACAATTCCAATTTCAGCAAATGATCTTAATCTTACTGCATTACTTGTGGGATTTTTTTCCCTTGGGATATATTGGCTTCTATCTTTCCAGACTGAATGCACTCTCCTCTGTCTCACTCCTGATCGTAAGTCACTTCCTAGGACACGGGAGATTGCTATTGTTCTTGCTATATTTCACATCTCCGTACTTCATTTTGCTCACTGTGCCTGCGGGTTGTGCTTTCTGCACTCTGCTTATGCTGTAGCACTTGGTGCACCTGTGTCTTAGTTTGTTACTTTATAGTACAACATCACAGAGACTGAGGAAAGCAGGGTACAGAATTATAGTTACTTCACTGCCAGTATGTGAATTGACAGAAGTGCAGGTGCCTGTATGAATGAAGGCTTTCCCTGGAGAAAACCTCTCCTGTGTGGGTTCAGCGTCACTCTTTTACATGTGGAGCATTTAAAAGGAAACGTAAGAAATCTGTAGTTGTAGTGTACACAGCACTTAGGGAGGCACAGGAAATGTGTGTGATTGTATTTCATTGCACTGCATGATGTGAATATGCAAAAGGAGAGGTTAAGGTGGGTTCCTCTAGCTGGAGGAGGTCAATGCAAATTAAACCTTGAGAAGCAGGTGAGAGGGGACAGTAGACATTGTGCTTGTTTCTTAAAGATATTTTGTCTTTGAATAGGTTCCAAAATGTTGTCCCAATTCTGGTAGAAACTGGAAACCACACAAATTAAGGACAACATCTAAAGTAGTTACATTTTATTGATATTATATTATATATGTGTTATGCATAACATATTGATATATGCCCCTGCCCCACTTATTTTTCAGGCTTTGGGTTTGGGGTTTTTTTTTGTTTATTTGTTTTTTGATTCCCCTCCGTAGTATAGCTTTTTCATTAACTCTAGATGATACCTGTAATTCAAAGTACTGTTGACTTGGAAACCTGTATGTCTTGCACAAATAAATAAAAGGACTGATTGAAAGCATGATGTGAAATTGGCCACCATATCACCTCATGGCTGGATGCACTGGCTAGGAAGGGTGGTGTTCCTTTTAGGGTGCCTGTAGACAACTTGTCTTTTTATTGTAGGTGTGGAGGGTGCAGCTTTCCAGAGTAGACTTCCACATGACCGTATGACATCTCAAGAAGCCGCCTGCTTCCCTGATATAATCAGTGGGCCACAGCAGACTCAGAAGGTGTTTCTGTACATCAGGAACCGCACCGTAAGTTTGTTGTAAAAGTATTGATGAAAAAAGGGTAGGACATTGCAAAGAGTTTTGGCAGTTACCATGTCTAACAGTTGGTAGATTGTTTTTTGTTCTGAGACAGTGGGGTTTAATTTCTGGCATTCTGTCATGCTCTATGTTGCTAAGGAAGTTGCTATCCAGTTCTTGATCAAAGCAGTGCTGTAAGGCAGCATAAAGAATCCGTAGTGTATTTACAATATCCAAAACAGTCATAGCAAACTACTTGATTCAGCTAATGCAGCTTTTAAAAAGGAAACAGAAAGCTGGTGCAAATGTTCTATTACTTGATTTCAGCTTAAAGTAGAAGCCTCTCTAGATTACTTAAAAATAATAATGAAACACATTATTGCTTAAGGCAAACCTCTAAGCTTTTATTTTTTACTTTGCTTAGCATTCAGTTGCTGTATTCCTGAGACATCAAGCCAATCATGTGGCTTATTCTCAGACCAGAACAGTTACTTTGCCAGCTTTGATTTCATAAAAGAAATTGTAATGTTGAAGAAATGAAACTCTATTTCTGAATGTTTGTAGCATTTCTGCCCAATTCAAAACTTCCATGCAACTTAAGAATGAAGGGGCAGTATTCAAATAATTATTCAGGAGTTCACTCACTTGAGTCCAGCCAAACGTGCCTGAAGTTTAGCCCTTAATAAAACTTCAGTATTAGTATTCTGTTTTGCAGATTGCGACAACACTTTCAGGGTCCTCAGCATACCAACAGGGATCAGGACTTTCTCCTGTATTTTGAAAAGTGTGTTTTAGAAAACTTAAGTCATGATAGAAAAAATTACAGTATGACAGCAAGAAATATTTTGAAAATTGCTGTATTGCCATAGTTAAGGGAGAAAACACCTTATGTACCACTCAGTTTTTTTCACAGACTTAAGATAATCAAGGAGCATCACGGTGTACTGACCCTGGTAGCACCCAGTGCTTAGTAACTTAAGTTATTTAAAATTTATGTGTGGTGGACATCTTCATGCTTTTCCTGTGAAATTTCCCTCTAACCCAGGTTGTAACTATTGGGAAGTTATGAGATGTGTAAAAACAGACCAAAACATGCCAAAAAGTTTGAAAAACTGTTCTCTCAAAACAAATAATGAGTAATCCTTTTACAGATGTGTTAGAAGCAGAAAAGCCTTCCACTGAAACTAAGAAATTACTGGAGAGGAGTATTTGCAGGGCAAACCAGCATTGCTGGTCTGTCGGCCTTATTCACTGTGGAGGAACTTGGAGAAGTTCCTGAGCAGGAATCCCATTTGAGGAAGGTTTGTGAGAGGATCTCCTCCAGTGAGGATAGCAGAGGTTATGGAACAGCTGATATGAACCTGGTGCTCAGCAGAGCTCTGGCAGTGCTGGGAACTGCAGTGCGCAGTCTCGTACTTTGAGCTGGAATCAAGAATTGAATGAATGATCTGATAAGTAAAAAATATAGTTTTGAAGACTTACAGTAGCTTTTACAAAGGGAAGTCAGTCATTTGATCTTTTATGTGAATCCCTCCCACCCCAAAACAACATTAAAAAAACCCACAACCAACCAACTAATGAAAAAACCAAACCCAAACCAATAAAAGCTCTTGCTAAATTACTGTGACATAAAACAGATGATGAAAATCCACAAAGCAGAATGTAGTATAAATGATCTGTCATGGCAGTGCAGGGCAGTCATGGTTTGAAGCCTTTAAAATCTTCTAAGGCCTGTGCTGTTGTGTGCTCATAGAAGGTCTAAAAATCAGAATTTGTAGAAAAAATGGAAGTAATTGTATATATGCATACAGAGAGATTTATATATAAAAATATAATTATGGGCTTTGCACTCTTCCCTCTGAGAATGGAACCTTAGCATTGTGGTACGTAGTACTGTGAAATTGTTAGTTCCGCGCTCAGAAATTGTTAGAAAAAAGGGTGTTAAAAATCACTGGGAAAATGAGTACAAGGAAGTACTGAGCTAAAGATGAAATTTGCCTCAAATAGCCTCCCAGATTATATGGAAATTATTTCTTAATCCTTCCTATTCATTATACTTGTATGATTTGTTTAATATCTGTGAGGAGCTGTAAAGTTAAGTAGTGCAACTGTAGAGAAATACCCCAAAAAATTACTAATTCTGGAAGGTAAAATGATGTGGAGATGCTATGTATGACCTAGATCTAGGCATGGAACAGTAAAATTTTGTGGCACTCTGTGCAACAAAGTGGGCGTTCTCTTGGGAAAACAGTTTTTTTCCTAGCATGAAGTGCCATTAACATTTCACAGACAGTTCTTCCTGCTCTATTTTTGAACTGTAACTGTCTTCTAAGTATGCTTTTTATGTGTGTGTGGCCAGTATACATGTGTAGTATGTGTATATGTGGTAGTGTCTTAAATTGGTGAAGATGGATTGAATGATTAAATGTCTGAGATAAATAAACCTTATAACGTGACAAATATTGCTGTAGCTTTTACAAAAACAGGAAATTTGATGCCGAAAAGGCAGTGCTGGCTGATGTTGTCAACTGCACACATCTTCATGCTACCTTTGTGTATTCCCACTTACTTGAAATGGTGTGAGAGTTTCAAGTGGTCTGTATTGCACCTTAAGGAACACTTGAAGGCAAAGTTCAGTGCAGCTTGGGTAGTCCTACCAAAGTTTAACCCATTAGAGGATTTCATCTGACAGTATTTGGTAGCAAACACCTCGAAAACACCTCTTTTGTATTGCTTAATATGACATGTCATATTTTTTGTTTAAATACAGCTGCAGCTCTGGTTGGATAACCCAAAGATTCAGCTGACATTCGAAGCAACTATCCAACAATTAGAAGCACCTTATAACAGTAAGTCAAAGCTTTCACTACCAAAACCATCCCGTGTGTACTGCTGTTCTCTTTCACTTTTATTTGGGGAAAAGCTGCTACAGATGGGTCCTTTGTTAGTGGAACTCCATGAGCGTTTGTGTGCAGACTGTGTTACTGCATTATATTCATGATTTAGGTTTGTTAGAATTCGTTTGTCTGGTAAAGAAATATCACTACCAGGATTCATAAAAGCTGCTAAAAAGATGGGTTGTTACAGAAGTTTCCTGCAGGGTTAATTCACGTGCATCTTTTAAAGTTTGCTTCAGCTTCATGTTGGTTTTCAGCTGTGAGACTTTATTAATCATATGGGTTTTGGGAGGCATTAAAAAGTTGCCTAAGACTTGAGCAGACTGGATGTGATGAAAGAAGGCAGTCAAAGAGTGAGGAGTTACTGCTTGCAAAAGGAGACTATTCTACCCGTCTCAAGATCTCAATAAACTGAAAAAAGGTGGAGAGGAGTCATAAAAAAAATTAAGATGAAAATAGTACTGAAATGAACACAGATACAACTGTCAAGGATTGCAAAATAGTGAATTATTGTGTGTGCTGGTTTAAGAGTTAACCAACAGGGGAAATGAACTCAACTCAAAGGACAGATTATAAATCAGAATAACAATTTATTAAAATAATACAGTAAGTACAATTATACAAACAAACAATTGGTTTTAACCCACAAAACCCAAATGTATAACCCAACACCCTGGGGCATGAACAAAGTGGTGTTCCTTGGGCCCCCCTTGAGTCCAAAGTAAAGGGAGAGGGGAAAAACCTGCTGGTGGGAGAGCTGTTGCAGTCTGGTCAAAAGTGGTGATTGCAGTCCAGTTGAGGGTGGTGGTCTCAGTCTTCCTCTGGATCCCACGAGTGGTGGAAAGGTTCTGAAACTCCAGGTTTATATATTCTCCAGTTCAGGCAGGAATGGTCAGTTGTTCCCTCAGCGGGGAATTCCATAAAAGGGGGTATGAGGATGCTCAGAGCGGGGAATTCCATAAAAGGGTAGGAGGACAGGAACACCCCCCCACACCTCGCAGGCCCCCCCCCAACAACAGTTTCTGGGAAATGGCATGGAGGGCCATAGAATACACAGTTTTGGGCTACACCCATCCAGTGATGAATCGGTCCCAGCTGTTCTAACTAGGACATTGTGCTTTTAAGAATAAAAATGAGAATTCAGTGCTCCAATAAGGGGTTGGCATGATATTGGTAAATCACATCACAGTTCTGTGTCAAGATCTCGGGATTTTGCAGTCAGTTTCAGAAAAGGTGTTCTTCCCCACTAGATTAAAAGAAGCACTTAATGTCCTGTACAGCTTTTCAGGCAGGACTCAGAACTGCAGTATGGCATGGAAAACAGCTTATGTTTTCTAGAACAACTAGTCTCAGGCACCTTCAGGAAGATGGATTGCTCAGTAGGGCAGCAGGGCTACAGGTGATGCGTTCAGTAGGGCTTGACTAAGTTACTGCTGTGAGTATGTCCTTAGTCCATACGTGCTGTTGAACATAAAGAATAATTTTAAAACCGTACACATTCTTTTAGGTGACACAGTGCTCGTTCACAGAGTTCACAGCTACCTGGAGCGGCATGGGCTGATCAACTTTGGGATCTACAAAAGAGTGAAGCCTCTTCCAAGTAAGAAACTTGAACATTCTTCTGATTAAAGTTTTGTTTTGTTGTTCTGTGATTTCTCAGGACAAATTTTTGACTGCTTTTTTTTTTCCAGAATTGCAGTGCTAAGAAAATAAAAAAAGTCTGGAAAGCCAGCTGTTTATAGATGTTAATGTGTTTTATTTTGATGTGGAGAAGCCACATACTTACAGAAATTACTTTGAGAGGAGAAATGTTGGCAAATCTTCTTTTGAAAATTTGGTGACTGTTGCTGTTTTATGAGTTATCTTTGCTCCTCAGTTAAATAACTAAAATCAGAAACACAATATTGTGCTTAGATCTGTTACATGCTTATGTGATGCTTGAATTTTGCAACTTCTCTGCCCTTTCTAGGCTTTATTATTCTGGGGCAGAAAGAAATAAAACTATGATACTTGTCCCATAATTAATAAGAATCAGTAAGTAATTAATAAGAATCAGTCTCTTCTTCAGACAGTTCTCCTTCAGTAGTATTTTTCCTCCTGTTTTCTTCCTTGTCCCAGATGTACTAGTGGTGCATTTTTCTTGTATGTGTCTCATTAAAAAAAATGAAGTATAATGTACAGAATTGCTTCAGTTTTCTTTTTGCTATAGTTTGTTCTGTCAGAGCTACTGATGAGAAGGAAGCTGCTTTTTGTTCTTCGTATCTCTTAAATGTAATTTTAACGTAACTGCTTGCAATCTAGTACTGCATATATAGAGCATTACTATAGCTGATTTTTCCCTTTCTTTAGCCAAGAAGACTGGAAAGGTGATCATTATCGGTTCTGGAGTCTCTGGGTTGGCAGCAGCTCGCCAGTTGCAGAGTTTTGGAATGGATGTCACAGTTCTGGAAGCCAGAGTATGAATTTCTGTGCTATTTTACTTCTATATAGCAACTTAACCAGTAACCACATGTAGTACTAGCACAAGGCTGTGTCCCAGAATTGTGCCCAGGGTGGGTAAGTGTGTGTGCTGTTCCAGGTAGCATCCATCTGGGATGGATTGCTGATTCTGAACCTGTCTCACAGTGAAACAAGTGGATCTGTTCTTACTGGGAGCTCTCTGATGCTTTCTCAGGGATGGGCTGGTGTAGTAGGGAAGAGTTCGAGACATACTGAAGCTTGAAAACCACGACACCGTTAAAAGCTTAACAAAACCCAATATTTATTACCAAGAGGTGGCCAACAAAACAAACAAACCCAAAGGGGAGGAGGGAGGAGAGAAATAAGCCCCCAGCACGACCTCCCCAGTTACCCAGCTGTTGCCCATAAAGTTATCTTACCGACCTAGCATGCCTATAATTACCCATAGCAGAAGCTGCATCCTTGGAGAGTCAGTAAGTTCACAAACTGGCAGGCGTCCCTGCCAAAAGGCAATGTTGTCCTTGGTTTGAAGTTAGCTCCCCTCCAAGAAAGTACTGTCTGCTTTTATACAATTAACTGAGTGACCACAACCCCCCAGGTGTGGCCAGCACCGCCCAGCCCGAGGCCCTCAGTCCCACCTCCCGGTTATGTAAGTGCACCTCTTCCATGCACGCGTGAGAATTTTGGAAATCCCCTCACGCACACGCAGTGTGCTTTGGGGGTCTTTTCTAATTGAGTTGGGGGTCGAGCCTTCCTCCCCTCCTCATCACTTTCTCCTTCAAGCGACCTTGGAGGACAAGTAGCCAATCACAGAACACCAACTAAAACAGTTTATACAGAAGTTCTCCCTCCAAGGACGAACTCACTGTTTTATCAGTGAACTTGGCAGGGAGAATATAAACTACTGCAGATGGCTGGGGCCTAACAGACCAAAAGTATCAGCATAAATTCACCCTGGTACAGGCTGGGTAGTCAGGTGCTAGTGTTGTGTGCTTACACCAGGAGCAGCTTAGAACCTTCTTCCTTTCGTGGTTAGAAATTGGTTTTTCACCAGAAAGCAGAATGCAAGTCTGTATTTTGAAAACTTGCTTGTTAAATAGAATCATTGCTTGGAATTGTTTTACAACATCAAGCAGAATATTTTTCTTGTAACTTTTAAGTCTACATTAATTCTTTCCTTGCTTATTACTGTGTGCTTAACAGAGACTTTAAAATTATATAGGACCGCAGTTTGTGGTATGTGAACTAACTGCTTGTTCTTTCAGGAATAAGGTATTCTTCATATCCAGCCCGAAGTGGAATATCTTTTTTCCTTTTTAAGTGAAGTTTTTTCATATAATCTAATCAAATTGAGAATAGCTTGATACACAGTTAAAATAAATCCATTGACCAATTGGACTTATATCTTATGTTTTACTTCCTGGCTTCGTTTGGTCATACATTGACTTCTGACACTTTTCTAGCACAGATGAAAATAATCTGCTCAAATTTTTATAAGATTTATGTTTCAGGCTCTTAATATTGCTACTGCTCTTCTGGCTGGGGAGCAGAGCCGCTGACTCTGTGCTTCCCAGGTGCCACACCACTGCAGAAAGTGGAGTGCAACAGTCTAATGGTTTAGGAGTCTCTTGCTCACCTGAATGTATTATGTGTGTGTGTGTTGGGGGGGGGGAGGGCTCTTATTGTTTGCTTGCTTGAGTTTTGGGGTTGGTTGGGGTTTTTTTGAAGCTGGAATTAAGAGATTCGTGATGTAACCTGGCTTTTGTTCTGTGCATCTTGGTTATACTTAGTACGAAAATCTGGCACAAAGCTATTTTAAAATAACGTGTGATATTTTTCAGCCATTTTTCTCTAGACTGCTCTTCTTGAGTAGTCTGTATCTTTTATTTTTAATGCAGTTTGGTGTTTTCATGCACTATGATTTCCATGATCTGAGTGATAGTTTCATTGTTTCTACTCATTTTCTGTTGCTTTCAGACTTAATTTACATGCTTCTGAACTGCTAACTTAATTACTAAAAATCAAACTTAACATTTTTATATTAACTGGAAGCTGTCTGGGATCTTTGCCCATTTGTAACCAATATTTTTCTCTGATACCATCCTGCTAGCTGAATGAGAATAGGGGAAGGTGACTTTTTTTCTTATGCAGTTTAAAGTGGTCGAGAAATAAGTATCATCTTTAGCAGGATGTGAAAGGATCAAAATTTTTTTTCGTACTTCCAAAGTGGGCTGCTAATTCATGATTTTCTTTTTAATTGATAGCACAGCTAAATCATTTCCTATATAGCTATTGAATTTTGTGGTAGGAAGTAAAAGGAGGAAATTTATATGTAATTTAATTTGTTCATGGACAGTGCAGGATTGGTTTTGGAATCAGAGTAGATCCTACTGTAGATACAGTTAAATCTGCCCAAATCAGATTAAGCATCTTTTTTTCTATTTCTATTTCCTTTTTTTCCTCTTCTCTTTTTTAAATGCAACTTAAACATTTTACTCCTTAACTTACACGAATTAATTGTATTCAAGTGTTCATTTTCAGAGGTTTTTGAAAAAGTGTACGTTCTGTACGTTTGATTAAGAGAACACTTGCCCCACGTTCTATAGAAGCTTCAGTGATTATATTTCAGTGAGATGTCTTGCTGAATGTAACTGGAGGTTTACTATACTGTGCTTTTAAAAGGACCGAGTGGGAGGAAGAGTTGCTACCTTTCGCAAAGGGAACTACGTTGCTGATCTAGGAGCAATGGTGGTAACAGGACTTGGTGAGTTTTTCATAATCAAAAGGAGCGGGGAGGAAAATGAGGATGTTACAATTCTGAAACTTTAATGCTATTTCCTTTCATGGCCAAAATAATTGGGTATTTTTAACTATTATAAAATACATGTTCTAGTTCAGCCTCTTTGGTGGTTAGCATTTTTCATAAGTAGCAAGACTATATGATGGGAGTGACCCCAAAGAGATGGCACGTGTTTTTTCATTTACATGAAAAAACAAGGAAGGAGGGGAAGTGCAGATTAGAGCCATTTTAAGGAGAAAGCCCTTCTTCAGAATTTAAACCCCAAAAGTACTTTCTCCAAGTGATTTAAAAAATAATTGTAAAAGTAATGGCAAAGCTGTATTTCTTCCTATTTATTACTATTTTATGATATGGCATCAGTTACTGATATGGTTACTCTTCTAAGAAGATGGGGAGGTGTTTAGTGTGGAATATCTTTCAGTAATGCAGTGAAATGATAAAATGATATAAAATCTGTACTAAACCTGAGTTTTACTGACTGCGTAAAGTTGGTGTCTGTCTTATGGTTAGTCTTATTAAATTGCATACAGAAGCTGGTTCCAGACAAAAAACTTAAGTGGCACAGTCCCAGAAAAAGAAATTTCAGGTTACCTAGTGAAAGACTACTATTTTTATGTTTAATTCTTGTAATCATAGAATGTGAAGGGGTTGGAATGGACCTTAAAGATATCTAGTTCCAACCCCCCTTGCCATGGTCGGGGGACACCTCCCACTAGACCAGGTTGCTCAAGGCTTCATCCAACCTGGCTTTGAACATTGCCACGTTTGGGACGTCCACAACCTCCTTGGGCAACCTGTTCCAGTATGTCACTACCCTCACAGTAAAGAACTTCTTCCTAATATCCAGCCTGAACTTCCCCTCAGTCGGTTTGTACCAATTACTCCTTGTCCTGTCGCTACAGTTCCTGAGGCACAGTCCCTCTCCCTGTATGACCCCTTCACATACTGGAAGGTTGCTATGAGGTCTCCACTCAACCTTCTCTTCTCCAGGCTGAACAGCTCCAACTTTCTCAGCCTGTCTTTGTAGGGGAGGTGCTCCAGTCTTCTTACCAAATTCGTGGCCTCCTCTGGACTTGCTCCAACAGTTCCATGTCCTTCTTATGCTGGGGACACCAGAACTGTACACTGTGCTCTAGCAGAGGGGGAGAATCCCCTCCTTTGACCACATTCCTTTTGATGTAGCCCAGAACATGTTTGGCTTTCTGGGCTGTGAGCGCACACTGCCAGCTCATGTTGAGTTTTTCATCCACCATTACCCACAAGTCTTTCTCCACAAGGCTGCTCTCAGTCAGTTCTCCACTCAACTCTTAGGTGTGTCTGGGATTGCCCTGACCCAGGTGTAGGACCTTGCACTTGCACTTTGCTTTGTTAAATTTCATGAGGTTTGCATCAACCCACCTCTCCAACCTGTCCAGGTCCGTCTGGATTGCATCCCTTCTCTCCAGTGCATCCACTGCCAGCTTCCTCAGGTCCCATAGACTTGTGCACCTTCAGGGTTCCTTAGATGGTCTCAAACCTCAACCATGAATGGTCACCCATTTGTGATTGGTGTTTCCTTTCTAAAACAATCTGCCCTTTTTCTTGAATGAGGCAGCATATGCTATGAAGAAAGATTCCTGTGAGGATGGAGATGGTTTGAAAGGCATCTTTCATGTTTCTGAATGTGGAAGAGAAGAGAGAAGGTTACTGAAGGGGTTGAGCTTGTGGTTTGGAAAGGTGAAAGACTTAAGTAATAGGATCTTTTCTGGTTTTGATAGTAAACTGTGGAAGAACTGTAATTTTTAGTAGGTTGTTGAACTAGAAACAGTAACTTATTTAGACCTACTTCAACTCTGTTCTGCTTGTTCGGTCACTTCTCCAAAGACAGGAGGTATTAGGGTGGCAGAGCTTCCCCCTCTATTTTGAACAAACACTCTTGGTTCGATTGAGTTGCAAATAAGAGACCATTGGGAATCTAGACCTGAAAAACTTTTCTCAAATTTGATTTTGTGGAGGAAGCCTATGTTGCTTCTGTTCTATACCATTTTCCATTTGTGTCTATTCTCTTCCTTTCTTCTGCTGCACTCAGTTTGATGTTTAGGGATTTGAGATGCTTAAAGTTGTTGCTTTCTGTCTTTCTCATTGTTCAGTTGTGGGATCTCCTCAGTTGTTTTCTAATTTGTTTAGTTAACACAGCTTCCAGGTACAGTTGGTGTTTGGGGTTCATCTTCTACAGATTGTATTCACTAGTGTCACTTGTTGGAGTTCCACTAAGTTTTTAGAGACTGGATTCTTTTGGTTCCATCTCCATGTCACCACACTTGGGCAACAACTCCTGAAGTTCCTGTGCATCTGTGAGAGCTTTCCTTGACTTTTCAAACATCATGCTTGCAGATGTGTTTGTAGCTATAAACTCTCAATCATACTAAGGTTGCTGCCACTCTAGGACTCTGCTTGTATAATCACCCTTTTTTACATCCCGTCCTTCAAGTGTTGGTCAGCAGGTTTTTTTCCATGTCCTCATTGCAGGAATTGCTGTGAAGAGCAGACCTTTGACAGTGTTACACTAGGTCACTGGAGCTGATGTTTTAATCTCTGAAATAGCTTTAGCTGTTGAGTTTTTGTTTAATTGCAGACAAATTTTGCAGGAATTTCTGTTAACTATATAAAATCTTTTCCAGGAGGAAATCCCATGGCTGTGGTCAGCAAACAAGTGAATATGGAATTGGCAAAGATCAAACAAAAATGTCCACTTTATGAAGCAAATGGACAAGCTGTAAGTCTGATACTGTTTTCATGAACCTTTTAAAAAGAAGTATATCTCAAGTGTATTTGTTACCAGGCTATTGGTCTTGCAGGAGATGGCTTCCAAGGAGAGGGAAGAACAAAAGCGTGTCTCCCTTTTTAGGCATTGTAGTAATATGCTAGCATATCTGCACATACTCTTCTAAAACCTGCTCTTTGCACATGAGTTTTTACCTTTATATTTCAGAGGTTTTGTGTAAGCCAAGTTCCTGTTTGTTCTTCCCAAATCCATTACTATTTTTCCTTAGACAGTTGTCTGTCTCACTCTTTGAAGCAATTATCTGCTGTGCTGGCACTCTAGCTTCTGTTATTGTTGCTGCTACTCCTTTTCCCTGAAATAAGCTCGTTCTTGCTGTTGTACTTTGCTGCTTTTTAAAGACTTGACTGGCCAATGCCAGCTGGTTGAATACATGCAGCAATAATAATCTAGAGCTGCGATTCACAAACTTAATTAGCTTTATTCTTCCTGCTTTAATGTCAAGGAATGCTGTTAGAGATAGAAATGATAGATCTTAGTGTAGTGCTGAATCTCACACATGTGTTTACCAGAAGTGTCTTGATGGATCTTCAATCATGGTACAAAGATTAACCTCTGAAAGAAGACAGGTGAGGATGCTGGGCATCCTGCTAGAGGCCTGGAAAAGTGATCCTTGGCTCAGACTTGTTTCTAACCTGGGATCTGCAGCTCCTCTTACTGCACGTGAGTCAATAGGATGTTGTAATAAACTCAGTGAAAGCTAGCAAAGGCATTGTAAATAGTTCTGCAGTAGACAGTCTGCTCCTGTGTTGTGAAGCCAGTCCTGTGCTGGTCTCTGCACTGCTGTGTTCCCTCTCTCCCAGCTGGTTTCAGTTTCTGCCCAAGGAATGCCTCAGTGGAGCAGATGAATGTATCCCTGTGCTACTGGGACTCCTCTGGTAAAACCACCCACCCACTTAGACACAGGTCAGCTGCTTTGAACTTCAGCCCATGCTTTGCTTGGCTCGGTACACACTGTGATGTCTGCAGCCTGACCCTGCAGCTTTTCTTTGGTGTAGCCCAATGCTTTCTGTTCCCTAGTATGCAGCAACTGGATCACTTCTATCCAGCTAAGCCCCTCAGGCATAGGCAGCCTCTGTGGACCAGAAATTTCTCTTACTCATCAGCTAGGCACTTACTCCAGTGGGAGCGGAGTGTTCTTCTGAAAAAGAATATTCTTCTTGATTACTCTCATGTTTCCTGTACTGCATTCAAGTGTTGTTGATCTCAGGAGACCCAGTCAGGATGGAAACTGGCAGTGTGGCTGCATGCTGCCAAGCCCTGGTGTAGGGAGGAATCCCTCAGCAAAGACAAGGGTCTTACTGCTGCTTTGGCTGCCCGGTGGGACAGGTAACATCACCTCCCGTGTTCAAAGGTAGTTGCTTCTCTTCAGGTGTGTGCATGTATTAGTGTGTGCTGGTTTAAAGGTAAACCAGCAGGGGAAATGAACCCAACTCAAAAGAGATTATAAGTCATAGTTACAATTTAATAAAAATAATACAATAAATACAATTATATGGACAAACAATTGGTTTTAACCCACAAAACCCAGATGTATAACCCAGCACCCTGGGGCACGAACAGAATGGTGTTTGTTAGCCCCTGTGCTGAGCCCCATGTGGTCCCCCTGAGTTCAAAGGAAAAGGAAAGAAAGGCCTGTTGGTGAGAGTGGTGATCGCAGTCCGGTCGAGGTTCTGGTCCTCCTCTGGATCCGACGAGTGGTACCAGAAGTCCCAAGACCCCAAGATTATATACCTTCAGGTTCGAGTGGGAATGCCCAGGGCGGGGAGTTCCACAATGGGTGACTGTGAGTTGTGAGATATTTTTGGAATCCTTGGTGGCCCATTAGCCAACATGACCCCTTGGGCTGGGTGTGGAGGTGCTGGTGACTCTCCAGAGGGGAGTCATCACACCTGAGTCATTGGTGTGATGACAGGAACATCCTCCTATCTCACAGGTTTCTTAACACCCAGCTTATAGCCTGAGGGGTCAGAGCACACCCAGGTGTGCTCTGGGCAGCTGCTGCAAATGATCTATTGTTAACAATTCCTGGAAAATGACATAGAGGGTGTAGAATACACAGGTTGGGTTACACCCACACAACTTTGTTTACAACTTGGGTTGCTCATTTTGTCTTTATTAGTATACTCCGTGATGCTACTGCCCTGTGGAAACTCTGTGGAGGGCCTCTGTTCAACCTTAAGGCAGTGCTTAGCAGTAGCAAGTCCTGTTTTCCACAGTCTTCTGCTGGGGACGTACACCAAGTCATGGCCCACAGAAAGAGGCTTTTACTTACGACAGAAGCTGTAGCATCATCCTGTCTATCCCCAGGGTCTTCTCTTCAGAAGTAGAATCACTTATCTATGGACTGACTGTAAGAAAGTACCCTAGAAAACAAGTCATTTAGATCAAGCCTTTTCATTTTCAGCTCTTTCTTTTTTATCATTAAAAAACTCGAAAGGTCACAGTAGTGTGGACCCACTGAGTTAAAGTAGATCCTGGTGTTCAGGTGTGGTACTAGAATGCCAAGGTTAACTCAGCAGTGGATGTATCACAGGAATGTGACAAAAAAGTTTGCATTTAGGAACTGCCATTTGAGGCTTTCCCTATGCCTCTGCTATGCTCAGTAGCCTTGTTGAAGCTTTCTGGTATGCATAGGAAAATAGTCTCATAATTATGAAATACACATTCTACCTAGAATCAAACCCAAATGGTTTTGGACAATAGTAGGTACAAGTTATATTTCTTACATAGATATGGAGTTACATAATTGTTATCAAATACTGACTGGCAGGCACTAGTAGAGAGGGTGGCATGGAGGAATCTTAAGTACAGATCTGGCTGAAGAAGTTTCAGCTTTGGTACTGAAGGGGAGCAGTATTGATCTGGGTGATCAGTATGATACAGGCTATTGGGGAAGATACTCAGTTTTTCACAAATGAGCAGAAATGTAAGCATGCATCTACATCTTGAAATTGTAGATGCAACAAGACTGAAGATAAGTATAGGGGTAGTTTGAAATACCATCATATATAGTTAAAAATATAATCTGTGCTCCAGTAATCATATAATCTGTGTCTTCCATAGTGCTGTTGCATATAATATTCCAGCTTTAGAGTTTACAGTATGACAAAACTTTTATCAAGTTTTAAAAGCACATGATCTTGAGAAATGAATAGTGGACATAGAATAGAATAGAATAGTGTAAAAAATGAGATCATTAATTTCTGAGACCTAATAACTTTAATGATAGGAGAATTAAGAAGCTAGGAGAACCTTACATGGATTGCAGAGTAGGTGAGTCACTAATCTTTGACTGCCATGGGGTGGGGGAGGCATCTTCATTCTTAAAATCCTCTCAAAAATGGAGATGCATCAGAAATAGGGAAACTCATTTCATGATACCTTAAGTCTCCAGGGATATGCCACCTGCAGATCAGTACAGGGTTTCTAAGACACTTCACCACAAAAATAGTGGGGGAATCAACATCTTAGTACAGGCGGGTGGAAAAGTTAGCTTGTGGTGCTTATGGGATGTAGGCAGAGATGAAGTATGACAATAGTGAACCTTGGTGTTTCTGTCTGGGAAAATGCCAGAGAAGAAAGACTGCAGGGCTGGAAGGTAATCACTGGCACAAGAATGAGGGGCCAGCTGCAAAGTGGGAGAGGAGTCATAATTAGAGCAATGAGATACCGATAGAACTTCCTAGTCAACATGGGGTATCCTTTGAGTTAGGGCTGAATAATTAGAAACAAGACATCCGATCGAGCCGTAGGGATAGGCTTAGCGCTGTTAACAGGACCTCTCAAGCTATTTTTGTTCTGTTTAACAGAACAGTACTGGGAGCTTTCCCAGTATTTCTGAAGTGCATACTTTTTTCTCCTCCTCGTGCTGTTCTTTCCCTTTGTCAGTGTTTTCTCTCTATGCTTTGTTTAACCCAGACTTGGTTTAACAGATGTGAGGTTTGCTCTTTCCAGCGCATGAATTCTCATCATCTAACAGATATTTCCACACTGGCAGCACACACTATTTAACTGAGTATCATCAGTATAGTCAAATACCATGATTCTGGAAGTGTCCTGCTTCCTTCATTGTCCTAGAAAAGCTGGATTGGTAGTTCTTAGTCACACTGACCACTCCAAAAGATAAATTACAGCCTATCTACTTCAGTGAGCTATGCCAAGCCTCTTAAAGACTTGTGATTGTGTAGAGCCATCCTACCATCAGGGTGGTCTTTTGGCAAGTTTTTGTATCTATGATGAACACACCTTCATTCCAATAAGGAAATCTTTGTGAACCCGTTAGTTGGTTTAGTTTCCTCTTACAAGAGAGTCTGTTGTCATGGTGGTTTGACACTGTGGTCAGACTTTTGACAAAATGACATTGTATTGTACAGACCTTGGTGTCTGACCGTTTGAGAGAGCTGAGGTTATTAAATTTCTCTTTACAATGACTGCTCTCAGCTACTGTATTATTTATGAGTAGGTTAAGAACATTTGTTCTTTTGTCTCCTAGGTTCCCAAAGAGAAAGATGAAATGGTGGAGCAAGAATTTAACCGTCTACTGGAAGCCACATCCTATCTCAGTCATCAGCTGGATTTTAATGTTCTCAATAATAAGCCTGTCTCTCTAGGTCAGGCTCTGGAGGTTGTCATACAGTAAGTGACTTCTCTCTTTGTGGTAGACTTTCCTGTTTTGTGAATGAATTTCCAAAAATGCCTGAAACAATTGTGATGTTCCTAGGATAAGGATTACCCTCTTAATACAGCTGCTTGATCTCAGCTGAGCTCTTGTTTGCATATGTGTTTCTTGTTTATTGAAGAAAAATATGCCACAGAGCAAATCTCTCTTCTTGAAAGTTTACTGAAAATCATTGCTGCAGTGATGAATAGTGGATACTTGACTCAGTGTGCATACAGCCCACTTACATTACTTGAAAGCTAATGGCAATTGTAATGGCCTTTAATAATAGCAGGTGACTTCAAACTCACATTTAGCTAGTCATGTATCCCTTATTTACAGAAACTTGTATCAATTTTCCAGTTGTCATACAAGTATTAAGTAAAATATCCCATGACAAGTACTTTTATTACATTCCGCTAATTTGATTGTGATAATGAGTTCTCATTAACACAAGGATTTTCTGCTGAACTGACTTTCACTTATCACCTTTTCCAGATTGCAGGAGAAGCACGTGAAGGATGAGCAGATAGAACACTGGAAAAAAATTGTGAAAACACAGGAAGAATTGAAAGATCTTCTTAACAAGGTCAGATGATGACATTTAGAATAAGACAATAGCATTGTGTTCCTGAAAAAGTGCCAAATTTACAAAAATGTCCAAAGAAAAATACCAGAAAGTTGCTATTAATGCTGTTCTTAAAATACCTCTTTGCTTAAGACCTGCTTAGAAGCCCTGTTAGGACAGGGCTCCTTCTTGAGGAGGAACGTAATTGATTAGGCAGAAAACCATAAAATGTAAATACAGGAAAAGAAAGGAAGAGGACAGACTTTATAAACTGTGATGTTTTGTAGCTTCCTTTAGAGATGCTGATAATGGCTGAAGCTTTTGAGAGGTTATTTAAAAATGTATACTGTCTTTACTACAAATCTGATTCATAGTACGAAACACTGGGTTAGACCTCCTTCTGATACTTTTGCTTGTGGTAGGTGACATTTTCTTCTCTGTGGAAGTTTTTCAAATGAAAAATTTTTGTAGACAACTCTAATATTAAGTTATCTGCAACATAATTAGTAATAAATCAATGTTGGGTTTAAACCATGTTGTTTGGGGGTTGGTGGTATTTATTATCGTTTCTTGGAGGTAGAATTGCATGTAAGTAACATCTGCCAAAACTAGGAAATCTCTTCAGTATAATGGCATAGCTTGAGGTGAATATGCATTTTACACAGTAACTTATTGAAATCTAACTTTCCACATATTTTTTCCCCTCTCTTTCTTCCTTTTCTCGCTCTGTCTGAAAAGATGGTGAATTTAAAAGAGAAGATTAAAGAACTTCATCAGCAGTATAAGGAAGCATCAGAGGTGAAGCCACCTCGGGATATTACAGCGGAATTCCTTGTGAAAAGCAAACACAGAGATCTGACTGCACTTTGCAAGGTAAAGGATGACATACATATGGCATATTTGTCTGCTTCCTGAGGACTTCAGCAGCCAGGTAAAATTAACCAATGTAAATGTTTCCACATCTCTCGCTCTGATCCAGTGCCTTCAAGAGAATGTGGTAGTAACTCTGGGTTGTAACACTGATAGGGCTGCATTGAGTACTTTTAGGTGGGGAGTATTAGCATGTTGAAAACTCAGTTTTGAGTAACAGTCTGCGCTGGCTTGTGTCAGACAGCACTTAATGTTTTGAAGGTGAAATTTTATGTCAGGCTTGATCTTTTGGTACAGCTGGGTCTCACAACAGTCTGGAAATAAAATCCGCATTTGAAGAGAAATACCTTTTCTCTAAGATAAAAAAGGTGGTTTACGAATAAAAGACTTCTTTCTATCCAAAGATTATTTTGTACAGAGCTCTATCTTGACAAGCAGAGTTAGTTGGCCCTCTCTGGGGGTATCTTGATGTAGAAATGTGCTTTAAAAAGGAAACCTCAAAAACTGTTCTTTCTATGATGTCTTGCTGGTTTAAAGGTAAACCTTTGGGAGAAATGAACCCAACTCAAGAGAGATTGCAAGTCAGAGTTACAATTTACTAAAAAGATTACAATACAGTGATACAGAGAAAAACTGGTTTTAACCCACAAAAACAGATGTATAACCCAGCACTCTGGGACAAGAACAGAACAGTGTTCATTAGCCCCTGTGCTGACCACCACGTGGCCCCTCTGGGTGCAAAGTAAAAGGAAAAGAAAACCTGTTGGTCCAGATGATGGTCGCAGTTCTGTCAAAGTTCTGGTCCTTCTCTGGATCCAACGAGTGGTACCAGAAGTCCCAAAACTCAAAGTTTATATATACTCAAGTTCAGATGAGAATGCCCAGTACCTCCCCCAGGGCGGAGAGTTTCACAATGAGTGATTTAACTCTCTGAGTCATGGGATATTTTTGGAATCTCTGATGGCCTAGGTGTTGCAGCTGCCCATTATGCCAGCCCATTGTGGCCCATTAGCAGAGGTGACCCCTCAGGCTGCGTGTGAAGGTGTTAATGCCTTTCCGGAGGGGAGTTATCACAACTGAGTCACTGGTTTGCAAACAAAAGAACACTCCCTTGCCTCACAGGGTTTCTTTAACATCCAACTTGTAGCCTGAGGTGTGCCCCTGGGCAGCTGCTGCAAAATATCCGGTTAATAACAGTCCATCGTAAGTGACATAGAGGATGTAGAATACAAATTTTGGTTATACCCACATAGTGATAAACTGGTCCCAGCCTCTGTAACTAGGACAGATACTGACAGACCTCTTGCTAACCCAGGTCAGGTAGAACCAAGGATCATTTTTCAGATACTGAAGATATGTACCTTTATTTGGAAGCTCAGCATGCGTGTGTATACATAAGTAGTGGCTCTCCTATTTTGTCACCAGTAACAGCTTTGTGCTCTTCTTGCTTTTGTTGGACACTCCAAGTTATTCTGCCTTGAAGGAAAATGACTGTTGCCTTTATACCCGGTTCTACTAATGTTTTTTAAAATCAGGAAGAAGCTTGAATTAGATCATGTCTTTATCTTTTATGCATGGTTACTTCTGCTTTGGAAATCTCCATATTCAATATTAGCTATAACTTTTTAGGAGAGAAAGAAAAATAGAAGAAACATCTTGTGGAATATGAAGCTTTTAGTACCACAGGAACCCTTAAAATATCAGGACTGTAAGGGACCTTCAAATCTGAGTGTCTAAATTCCTAAAATATCACCAGACTAATATTTTCTGCAGTGTGGTACAGAGTTCTGTATATTCAAACAGCAGAAGAGCAAAATATGCTGGATTAAATGTTGAAAAAAATAACAAACCTGATTTAGCTTCCACTAAATCCATGAATCTTACAGTAATTTCTTTAGAGATTAGGTCCAGTCTGATGGTACATGATGTCTTCAAATCCTTTTACGTGTAAACTGATTTTAATGTTAGCTTTTAATCTTACTAGGAGTATGATGAATTGGCAGAAACACAAGGAAAGCTGGAAGAGAAATTACAAGAACTGGAAGCCAATCCACCAAGGTAAAGATACAAACTAAAAAAAAATACTCAGGAAAGCAGTTCTTTTACTACTTTTCTATGAGTTTCAAAAATTGCTATGGTATGCTTTAATTATGGTAACTCAAGGGGTTAGGAAGGTACAAACATGGAGTTTGAGCTCCTTCAGCTTTAGAACTCAACTTCCTCTTGTTTTAGAGGTGACTCGAGCAGAGAAGGTGTTTCTGAGCTAGGGCAATTCAGTAGGAATCCTGACAGTAACCAGTGCCTGATCTCAAGAGGCCTTTGAGACCTGAAATCCCTGTCAGTAATGATAGCATACAATCCTACTTATTTTGGCAAAGAATTATTATTCTGTTCTGTGCTCTGTGTGATTTTACCAGGTTTTTTTCTCATTGTCTTTATGCATGCTGCTTAAGCCATTACTTAGGTAACCTGTTTTATTTTTAAAGTTAAGTTTGTAGCTTCCCGCTAGAGTATGAACTCTACTTTAAAAATCTGAATTTGCTGGGGTTTGATCCTCAGCTTTCATGAAGGAGGTCCAAATGTTTGAAACAGAATCTGCTTGTGTTGTTTGTTAATGTTTTTATTTCTTCACCAAGGAGGGACACAATCATTTTTGTTTGAGGAGAAATTTTCAGAAGCAATGCATTTACAACATCCTCTAGCAAACTGGATGTGTTATCTTTGTTTTTTCTAGTGATGTTTATTTGTCATCAAGAGACAGGCAAATACTTGACTGGCATTTTGCAAACCTAGAATTTGCTAATGCTACACCCCTCTCTACACTTTCACTGAAGCACTGGGACCAGGTAGGTAATCAGTGTATTTATTCAGCAATTTACTAAAAACTTCAGCTATTTTATTTCATTCTCATGAAAGTTTCTCAGTGTTAATAGTTTCTAACTGTTAGGTCCCGTCTGCTTTTGTGTAGATACTGAATTCTTACGTGATTATTATTTGCTGATGAAATTCCAGACAGCTTTTTGTTAGTGCCAAACCAATCTTTAACGGTAGTCTGCTGAAAGTTTCTATACTTGTTATCTGACTAATAACCACAAAGGATTTCACATTTATTTGACTCTTGGAAGAATTTTTCCGTTGTGTAGAGTTGTTGATTATTTTCTCTTGATTTAGGGGACTTCATTATAAATTTATGCCTCTTTATTTTAGGATGATGACTTTGAATTCACAGGCAGTCACTTGACTGTGAGGAATGGATATTCCTGTGTGCCTGTAGCCTTGGCAGAAGGGTTGGATATTAAATTAAACACAGCAGTTCGACAGGTTCGCTATACAGCATCAGGTATGTGAAACATCCATTATACATTTGGGGTTAGATAAACAGACATGGTTGTTATTGGGATTAATTGTGTAAAAAGTTGTTAGAGATTTATTTGTCTTGAATGTTTTTTTGCTTATTTCTATGACTCATTTGACATAGTCCATTTCAGTTGTATTTACTGATTGTTCACATTCATTCTTTTATTTCTTTACATCATCAATCAAAGCATTTGGAGTAAGTGGTCTGAGACTGCTTAAGGCTTGGTGCCACAGAATCTGGTATTAAAAATATAAATTAATATAATGGAAAGAATGTATCTTTTTGTTGTTTTTCAAAACATTAGGCTTGATAAACTGTGAACTGGGAGAGCAGTGCAATGAGAGGCTCACTCTCTGCTTGCTGTTTATTTATGCGTATCTTTAAATATCATTTACTGGATGAACTTTTAGGCTTATCCCAGTTAAGGCCATTTTCAGATGCTGTATTAATTACCTTTTCTGCAGTGGAACTAAGTGGTCAGTAACATTCACTTGCCTGCAAGTTAAGCAGTTGTTAGTGTAAAGCTCTCTCAATAAACAAAATATTTTCTAATGTGGTTATGGTAGTTTCTTTAATTTTTAATCCAATGCTCTTGCCTCCTGGCCTATTAAATTGTTTTTCTCTCCCCTTTCCAGGCTGTGAAGTAATAGCTGTAAATACGCGATCTACCAGCCAGACCTTCATTTATAAGTGTGATGCTGTGCTGTGCACTCTGCCCTTAGGAGTGTTGAAACAGCAACCTCCAGCAGTTCAGTTTGTGCCACCTCTTCCAGAGTGGAAAACATCTGCAGTGCAGCGTATGGGATTTGGCAACCTGAACAAGGTGAGCTGTCACTGAGGAAACTGCATTAGTTCAGGGGTTGCCATGGGTAAAATCTGAAATGTGGGTGGAATATGTGGTGGTGAAGAGGAAGAATGTCTTTCCCATGGCTATTTTGCTAGGGTTTGATGATGAAATTTGTCTGAAGAACTGTAAGGGCCTCCTCTCTATTTTCCAGGTTTTAAAGAGTTAAATTGCAGAAGTAGGTCTGCTGGATCTTATTAACCAACAAATTGGTAAACTATGAGAGCACACTAACCTGTGGGAAAGCAGTGTAGGCGCACACCTCCATATTATGTACATGCAGTATATATTCACCAGATTTCCCTTTCTTGACCTGTCCAGTGATATAAACATCAATGAATGCAGTTGTCTTTATTTCTTCTGTCCTTAGTTCTTCTCCTAACTGTTGATACTCTTTCTTTCTAGGTTGTGTTATGTTTTGATCGTGTCTTCTGGGATCCGAGTGTCAATTTGTTTGGCCATGTTGGGAGCACTACTGCAAGCAGAGGAGAACTTTTCCTCTTTTGGAACCTGTACAAAGGTATCTGTGGTGCATGTCTGCTTTTGCGAGTGTCTCATTTGTGTAGTTTCAGATCCAGAAAAGATGTTTTAAGATGCTGTCAGTGTTCACATATGGATATGATAAGAAGATAGTATTGTAGGAAGACAAATGGAAGCAGAGAGCAGCACTGACTGCAAACAGTTCTGTAGTAGATTAGGGCAGCACATAGCTGAATGTGAGTTTACTGATGCTAGATTCCAGGCTGTGCATGTTAAATTGCATTACGACTATCTACTGTAACATTTGCACTTCTATAGCTACTTTATTGTCTTAGGTGGAGTTGTCCTGTGACCTACTCAGTGTTACCTTCCATTAAGCATCTATTAGTTGCCACTGGTACTCTGGAACCACTCAACTTCCAGTGTTGTCCTAATTATCTACTTTGTCAGGAGGGTGCATTGAGTTCTCCAAGGAAAGGTGATTTGTCACTGCAGCATTTCTGAATTAAAAGCCATTTCTTAGTTCATAAGTGTATTTGAAATTGAGTTTTTTCTCTGGCCACTTGATAACTTACACTTTTTTCAGATGTAAGAGGTGCTATTGATCTGTGTATTCCTTTAAGTGGCTGAGTGCAGTACTCAGTACTTGCAAGTTATACTCCTTCCGTTTGTTGGGGAGTACAGTGCAGCCTTTGGAGTACTGAACACCTGGATTTCAGTGGAGCAGACCGGAGGCTTTGGGATAGCTCTGTTCCTCTTGCTGAGCAATGCCATTCCAGCTTGATGAGCTGCAGGCCCATCCACATGGTTAAGCTGCAGTGTGCCCCCCCAGGCAAGCTGTGGGGTCTCCAGTTTGTTGAATGGATGACCTCGGTTCCTGTTTTGAGCAGCAAACTAGTTGTGACTGTAAACTATGGGTCTCAGACTGACAGATAATTTTAGAACTCCTCTTTAGAAAATGCTTAAGTAGGCAAAAGGTATTGATTGCTCTGCCTGTTTCTACAGATGAACTTTGCCATTAGTAGTTTTGGTTTATCTGCAGCTGATGCTGCCACAATAGATTGTCAGGAGGTCTCTGCAGTAAGCATACTGGTTTTTTTATTGCCATAGACCAGACTAAAAGCAAAAGTGTATATACAGTGAGCCTATTAAATGAGATATATTTGTCTTGCAGATGACCAGGCGGTTTTCTTCCTTTCTGTCATAGGCAGGCCAGATTTTTCTTTTAACTGCAAAAAAATTACTGTGCAAGGACAGTGCCTTTCTAGGGTATTGAATTGTAAAAATGTATGATAAGACTTCACTGGAGAAATACAAGTAATGAGCCTTGGATAGCAAGGCTGTTCATGTGGCTTTTGTGGCTTTAGGATGGCTTTATTACATCCTTAACAAGTAGTGTGGAGGTTTTGGTTTAAGGTGGAAAGACCATGTCACATAGAAAGGTTTTGCTGCTAGGTTCCAACCCTTCTTTCTCATGAAAATAGGCAGAGCAGGTAAAAATAAAACAGCAATGCAGTAAAACCCCATGCTGAAGCACAAGTCAGGTGGCTGAAATTGAAAACAACAATTACCATTTATCGTGGATAGTTGGGAGGCAGTTAACGTGGTTAGACTGAAATATTGAAGTAGACCTGACTGAACTTGTGAAGCTGCTGTTTATTGCTGTCATAGTCTGTATTCCTGTAGCTGTAGTATTTTAGGCAGAAACTCTGTAAACTGACTGAAGAAGTTATTAATCCAGAAACAAGAAGTGTAGCAGAAGATAGAATTATCGCAGCATATGCTGCATGAACTCCTTGGGTTGTCAGAGACCAGTTGATCTCTGAGAAGTGTTTAAAGATATATGGGGGAATGGATCAGGTAAATAGACTACATCTGTCTGTATTGCCTGCCCTGTTATAGGTCAGACAAGAGTCCTCCCAGTGGTTTCAGTATAGCCCAGGGTAATGCCTGCTGAGAACACCTGTTGGCTCAGGAATGCTGTAGCTAGCCCAGAGCAGCTGACCCATGCTGCTGGTGCCTCTCGCTCTGCCACACTCTTGGGTTATTGTCATAGCTGTGAAGATGGAGAAACTCCATCCACAGGGCAGAGGAACGCCTGGCAGAAATGTTCAGTGTTTTCTGGAAGTCCTATAACGTTTCAGTCTCTGTTTTCTTGCCTGACTCTTCTATTTTTCCTAGAGATGAGATAGAGAAAGGACCTCATCATCATATCTCTGTGATTGCTGATCTCTGGCTAAACCGCGTTCTTGGTATTTGGTATCAAGGCTTAGTAAACATCACTGCCTCAAGGAGAGAATTTTTTGGGGAGCAGTGACACGTGCTCGTCATACAAGAAGCTTTTCTGAGCAGCACTTGGGTATTTGCATAGCAAAATAGTAATTTTTCTGCTACAGCCATCTGCCTTTCTGTTACAGTTGTGAACTTACCAGGTGGCTGAATAGCAGTATTTTCAGGTCTAGATAAATGCTTACAAAAAAGGAAGGATTTCCATAGAAATATTTTGGGGTTGTCTGGATACAAGTTTTCTGTGAAAAATTCACTGGAAGCTGCATTTTGAATACATAGTTGTTCCATCAAAAAAAATATGTTGACTGAATAGTTGCTAAGACATTCAGGATCTCATTGTGTCAGGGATGGCAAACTAGGAAAGACCTGGCTGCTGAAATGACAAAAAAAATCCCCAATGCCTATGGATGATAGGAAACCAGTTTTTTGTTCTTTCCTTCAGTTGTTTGAAAGACTGGCCTTAATCTTTCAGAAAATTGAGTTAAATTAGAGGAGCAATCCTGTATCTTTTTTCTCTAGTCCTGCATATTTAAGTGTCTTAATTGTGTCTGAAGTAGTGTAATTATCAGAATTTCAAAGGCTTTTGTTTTTAACCAGAATACTTTATTGGGTATTTCAACCTGTGTATTGAAGCTGAACTTCTCCCAGTTGTCTTTAAGGACTTGATGGGAATGTACACCAGGAGATCTTCATCTATACCAGGACAGAACAAATTCACTAATCACATTGGAAACTTGTACAAAAGTTAAAGCCAGGTTTTTAACAGGGACTTTATTTTCCATTTCAACATACTTGATGTCTGTTTCTAGTTGTAGTATTTTCTTTGCTAAATTTAAGAGTTCATAAATACCTCCAGGAGAGAAAGATCAACTGAGAGAGTTTTCATTAAGTACCTGTGCTGAGATCTGAATCACCTGTTTCTTGCCCCTGAGTTATTTTGGTGTTTCTTCAATACTTACCTAAAATTTTCTATGACTTTGTGACTACCAGAAATGTGAGCTTACTCTTACCGCAGCTGGCCAGAGGGAAAACAACATAATCTCTTTCGTGTATATCCTGGAATCACATTACTGCTCTTAACCACAGCGTCTCATGGCTGCTGAGTTATTTGATACCTGTCCATTTGACTTCTGAATTCTTCTCAGAATTGCTTCTTTTCTGGAAATTGTTCTACTGCTCATTGTTTTCACTCCATTGAGATTATTTAATGTGAATGTTCTTTGTTAAAAAGGAAATCTGAATATTTGTATGAGGGAAGTACTTACACTGGTAACTCAACTGCTCTGCTGCAGTTAATCATGCCTAAATTAGACTGTTTGGAAGGTACTGAGTTCCCTTAAATGTGGCACAGTTGCGTGTTAGATCCCAGTGGACGCTTCTATGTCAAACAAGTGATATCTTAACTGAAGAAATCCTCTCTTCTGCTTGCTGTGCTTCCTGATGTGTGTATTTATTTTGTAATACATCAGTTCTCTTGATAATTCTAAATAGCACCATGGCATATATAAATACATTTTCCTTTTGTTATTTTGACATAATACTGGAAGATTTAGGACTACTTTTGTCGGATTTGTTTAGTTTCTAACCTTGTGACTTACCTGCAGATCTTGGATAGCCAAGTCCAACTTGTCTGATTAAAATGTTCGATTTCAGTAATTGAAGTGTTTTTTTTTCTCTCCTTCCCCACCCCCCGCAGCGCCAATTTTGTTGGCCTTAGTAGCAGGAGAAGCAGCGGGGATCATGGAGAATATCAGTGATGATGTCATTGTTGGTCGGTGCCTTGCTATTCTCAAAGGCATATTTGGCAGCAGCGCTGTGCCCCAGGTCAGTACAGGCAGCGGCTTGGGCTGAAGGAGTAGGAAGGTGCATTGTCATCATGTTGATAATGGGAGAAGAAACAAAGAAAGTAGTATATACACAGTGGGTGTGAGCAGCTGTACAAGGTGTGAGTTCCAGTTGAGAAGCCATGTGCAGCAGGGTCTGGTGATATATTGGGAAGGATTAAGGAATCACCACGAAAGATTTAGTTTAGTGTGTGTTAGAATATAAACATGAAATTCCACCATTAGCGTCAACCGAAGGACTTTGTTCCTTATATTGTTGCAATTTGCACCATTTGTATTTGGCACAAACTGTAGAACTTGCACTGTCTCAACAACTGAAGTTCCTGTCTTGTCTCAGCCTAAAGAGACCGTGGTGTCCCGCTGGCGTGCCGACCCATGGGCCCGGGGGTCATACTCCTATGTAGCAGCTGGATCCTCTGGAAATGACTATGATTTGATGGCTCAGCCAATTACTCCAGGGCCAGCCATTCCAGGTGCCCCACAGGTGAGAATATGTTTCAGTTATTTTTAGAAAAAGTTCAAAATAGGATGATTTCTCTGAGTGATTTGCATGCATATCTAGACACAAGTTTAGATAACTTGCATCTTATGATGAATTATTAAAACCTGTAAAATAATTTTTCCATCCATGAGTTCTGCCATCACAGGTTTGGTGTCATTTGTTTGCTAAAAAAAAGAGCATTTTTATTCAGAAAGTCAGTGTGGTAATGTCTGAACGGAGTATTTAGTATTACAAGTGTGTTTCATCCTCTGTATTTTTATTGTCCATCACCATATTTAAGTGACTTGTAGTGATTTGAAAGAGGGTGAAGGCCAGAGTGAGATGACCGGGAATCAAAAGGTCTGTCCCAAATAGGGGGCAAACACAATGAAGGCAGGAGTTATCTCCAGTTCATGTTGAGCAGATGGAAGTTTGAAAGGATCAGCCATTCTTGAAAGCACTGCCAGAAAAGGGTGTGTAGCTTTAGCTTTATTTGGGTTCTTGTTCTAATGATACAAGTCTTTAATACACTCAGCTATGGATAAAGTGATTCCTTGCAGAATGAAATACATGATTTTCTCCTACGTTTTATGATTCTGTGGATAGTTGCTTTAGGCCTCAGTTTAAAGAGAAACCGCTGATTTTAGTGAATTGCTAAAGTTTTTGTTTGCTAACTGTGCTAGAGTTCATGTACCAGGATCAGAAACCATTCTTCCTAAATACGTTTTGACAGTTTGGCTGTAGAGTTACAGATACAACATGCAAATGCTGCTTCGATACAGCTGGGACATGACCCTCCTCTGCTTCTCTGGCTCTGCAAACATTGCTTATTGAGTAGAGCTTTATTTTCTTGGTAATTTGTACACAGGTTAAAATAGTTTAATTGGAGACTATTTTATATGCACCACCTTCATGTTAATGGAGATTGTGTTGTGATTTGAGGACTTTTAACATCTTTAAAGTATCATTTGCTGCAGGATCTGAAGGAACGTGAGCAAAGCCTAACAGTGCTCTCTGTCCCCCAGCCCGTTCCACGCCTTTTCTTCGCGGGAGAACACACCATTCGCAACTACCCCGCAACGGTGCACGGCGCGTTGCTGAGCGGGCTGCGGGAGGCCGGGCGCATCGCCGACCAGTTCCTGGGGGCCATGTACACGCTGCCGCGCCAGCCCGCGCCCGGCGTGCCCCCGCAGCAGGCTGCCAGCATGTGAGGGGAGCGGGAGGCCTCAGAAGAGGGTGCAAAGCCCACAGTGCTACTGTTGTGGACTCTGGGATGGAGATACTCATGTAGTCTCTAGCAGAGTCTGCTGAGAGGACCCGGAGTTACTGTACAACATTTGTGTGAGAATGGCCTTACAGAAGCTCACTGAACCTTTGGCTTGGCAGCCTTCTAAAAACTTTAGAGCTGTTTGAAGGGACAGTGTAAACAGAATCCTTTACTGTGAAACTGGTGAGGGACTTTGATTCTGCAGGTACTTTTTGAAAGTCAAGCTTGTAGATGGAGGTTTTTTAGGATGGGATTTTTTTCTACCTGTGTGTGTATTTACAGTTTGGTAATTGCACAAGGCCCTCTAGAAGCTGGTTGCTACAAATAGTAACTTAGTGTAGAATTTATGTAAACTTCTTTGTGGTTTTTCTATGGTTTTGTTTTGAAGACTAATATTTTTGACCTATTCCTGTGTGGTTTTGAGAATTTGGAGCAACTGTTTACCTACCAGTAACAGCAAATCACATCCCTCCAAAAATGGTCCATTGGCTGCTACACCAGCTGCATCCTGTTGTAGAGAGTAAGTTGGTATCACTGAGCATGCTAAGCATACTGTTTTATTAAATACTTTCAAACAAAAGAAATCTTCAGAATTGCATATTTGTAAGTTAAAAACTAGAAAAAATATTAGCATTTGTTTATATAGAGAGACAATTGCCTAGACAGGAAGTTAACTGAAAGACCTGAGTTCTTGACTTCTGCTTAGTGCAGGTATTCACTCTGTACCTCTTGGCTTTGTTTCTGCCAGACTGATGAGATGATGTTGCAACTGCCACTATGCTTCTGAAAATCACTTCAGTTTGGCTGCTTTTCCATGTATTCTCCTTCTTATAATTCATCACAAGCACAATAGAGCTTTCTTTTCATTGCACAGAGCAGTTTTATGTAAGCATTTAGATCTTTTTTCCCTCTCCTTTATTTCCCCATTAGCATTAGACTTTTCTTATTTCTTGAACTTTTCTCATCCTCCTTTTTCTGCAGTTTATGTCTGTCTCGCCTAGCTGCGGTCTCTGTTCACACTGGCTTTTCTGCTCTTCACTGCTCCTCTTCTCATTCTCTGACCCCATGTCTGTATATGTGCAGTCTATCCCAACTTCCTTCTGCCCTTGCACCTTCTGTTCTGATACCTTCTCTTGTTCCATGCTTATCCATCTACAATTACACTGCCCATGCTTCTTTCTGAAGAAAATACACACAGAGGCACGACTGCAGACCTTGCTTGTTTCTGACTCTGTTGTCTTTGGCCAAAGACTCTCCATCTTCTATCATAATTGCTTCTGTTTTCTTGTGTATCCTTCTTTGCAGCAGGAGATCATTCATCCTGACCATGTCTTGTGGTTGCTTTCTCCTGACATGTCTAGGTCTGTGAGCAGGTATCTCCATAGCCGGTCCTTCTGACAAGCTGTGAGAAAGGGCTCATGTGGCCAGAGTATTAGGCTGTGAAGGGGACACAGATTGGAGGTGTCAAGGACTAAGCCCATTGGAAGTTGGTTGGATTTGGTGCCATGGGAGACCCTTTATGCCAAACCTCCCGTCTAAATCAGTGTTACTTTCCTCAGGTCTCTAACTTTGCACATGTTGTTGCTACTTGAGCCCTTGGTGAAAAGGGATAGTATTGAGCAACATCACTCATTCTTGCTGTGCCTTCCAGGGACAAGAGAGACTTGTTATGGTTGGTCAGAAAACTGTCACTGAAGGGGGGCAGGACTTGAAAGTCCAGCAAGGCATGGAGGAGGAGTGTCTGAGGGTGACAGAGAGTAAATGGGGAGTAATTTGAAACTCAAGAGTCCCTGCCTTATGCTCATCAACACCAGGGAAACTTGTTCCAGGATGACAGATGTGACAGACCTTTAAAATCCACCAACAGCTGAGCTCCTTTTGGCTACTCTGACTGAAGATGGGAAGAGAATTGGGGTGCTATGCCATGTAATTGGGTCTCCATATTTGTAGGGTGGTTTGCTGTTGGGATTCATGATGGTGCCATCTCTGTCGTGACATCCTGCCTGCTCTAGCAAAGTGTCAGAAACTCTTAAAAGCACTTCAGGCCCACTAGAAAATAAAATAGTCCTGAACTGAATGTAGTCAAAGATGTCTTTTTCCAGACAAATACCAGGCCACTTCTGCATGGTCTGAGGCAAGCGTGAGTTGCTATCACTGCAGCTACACCATAAGTATCGGACTGCTGAATCTCCGCTCAGCAACAGGAGCCAGTGCTTTCTGAACTGTCAGTGGTGGAGGATGCAGTGTGGATTTGAGTGTGGCTATGGTACTCCCATGTGCTCTGTTGGCCTTCATTAAGCCTTGCACACCCCCTCTAGTGTTTCCTGTGTGCCCCTCGGCCCAGAGGGACCGGAATCTCCCGATCTCTACTACAGTGCTCTGTACTTGTTTTGGGTCAGCAGAGGGAATGTGCCTGTTGAATGGGTAAGGATTTAGAGTATCACTTACCTGGGTTTTGGGGTGGGTATGACCTGCAGGTCCTCATGGTTGAAGTGTGCAGACTCTGCCTGTTTTAAGAAGCAGCTGAGGTGCTGCAGCTTTCAAAGAAAACAAATTACCATTTATTGGCAACTCACTACAGTTCTGGAGGTAGCTGGACCATTTGAAGAGGAAGGATAGCCAAGTTGCTCCTGAAAGGAGGTCCTGGAGCCTGGCCTGGGATGGGAATGGCTGCAGCTGGTAAGATTTTGGTAAGCCCGAGGACACTTGGAAAAACTCCATCTGAAAGCATGGAGCTAGTGGAAGAGCATGAAGGAAACAGTAAGGGATGGTCTTGTCTGAGCCTCCGCCTCCTTCCAGGAGTCATGTTCAAGCCTACTTGGCTTTATCTCATTTCTTAAGAGTCATAGAATCATTAAGGTTGGAAGAGACCTACAAGGTCATCCAGTCCAACCATCCACCCAGCACCACCACTGTAACTCCTAAACCACATCATCCAGCACCAGAACCAGGTGCCTCTTGACCACCTTCAGGGATGGTGACTCCACCACCTCCCTGGGCGACTTATTCCAGTGCCCGACCACTGGAACAGTGAAACAATTTTTTCTAATATCTCATTTGAATCTCCCACCTCAGCTTAAGGCCATTTCCTCTGGTGCTCTCACTGCAGGCACGGCAGAAGAGACCGGCCCACACCTCACTCACCGCAGCCTCCTGTCAGGGGGCTGTGGAGAGCGATGAGGTCCCCCCTGAGCCTCCTCCATAGAAAACAAACTCAGCTCCCTCAGCCATTCCTCATAAGACATGTTTTTCTAGATCTTTCAGAGCCTTGTTGCCCTTCTCTGGACACACTCCAGTCTGAAAAGAATGAACAGGCCTTCCCTTCCCTGTGGAGTCAAGGCTACCACCTGATAAAAACATGACTGCTTTATTTGGCTTTTTTGAGGGGAAATAGCTGTGGCTGCTGTGCCTGACTTGGTGCTGTCTGTGAGCTTGGATGGTGTTAACAGAGTCTTTGGGGACTGAAGACTTTGCATCTCCTTAAACCTCGTTTGCATAACCTGATGACACTGCACAGAATTCTAGTTCAAGCTGAGTGCAGAGAATTGTGGCAGGTGCAGCCGCTCCAGCAGGAACCAAGTCCTCCAGGCAGTGCCTGCCACTGAGCTGCTGTGTTGTGGCTGGCATCAGGTGTGTGGTGCTGATGGCCCCTCTGCAGGCTGACCCCCATCACACCTACATGTCAGCTGTGGTGGGGCAGAAGGTCAGACCCTGGCCAGAGAAGGTTAACGTGACTGTATCTGACCACAGATGCAGATCAGAGTGGGCTATAGCTCTGCCAGTTGAGTCTGCCCTCAGAGCAGCAGGTGGGGCTGGGGCCTTCCTGTGGGTTGGGATGCCACTCAGGGTTGCTCCTCGAAGTCAGTAGCCTTCACCTTCTTAGGTGAGTGAAAGCACGTTCTAGGTTACTCTTGTAATATCTTGAGAATTCTTAACTCAGGCCATATGAATTCCACTGGACATCATGAATCTGTATTCCAGTGTTGGCAGAGCTTTAATTGGTTTATTTGGTTTCACTGGTTTATAAAATAAATCTTGCTTGAATATATTATTTGTCTTGATTTTGTAAGGCCGAGCTTACAAATTTCTTACTTGGCAAATCAGCAGGATGCCAACAGGGAATTGTTACAGAGGCAGCGCTGTGCCCCTCTTCCTCTGGGAATGGAAGGGGCAAAGTTCAACCCCCACAGCATCGTAGAGAATACATCAATGCCAAGAAAGCAAGAAAAATGGGAAAGGCAGAGGAGCTGTGTGTGCATCTCAGGGTGTGCCTTGTGCAGGCACAAGGGAGCTTGAAGAAAACAGCTGAAGATAAAGGTGTAAAAGAAGTGAAAAGAGAGCGGACATGTCTGTTAGAACAAAAAATTGAAATTGTGCTGGCACCAGTAACAAAGCCCACAACCCAGCATTGTCCAAATGCTGAAATTAATCACAGGCACAGAGCCCAAGGAGTGGGATGGGAACACGGGGAAGATCTTGGCATGTATGAGGGGGGACAACAGGGTGCCATGGCCATGCCAGTGGCCCCCAACCACCTTAAACTGAATCAGCAAACCCATCAGCTTCCACCTACACCTGCAGTGACCTGGGCAGATGCTGCACAGCCCAGTTACCTACAGGCATGGGGGGGGCTGGTATGGGCAGTGGGGCCAGCAGAATAGCAGGGTTCAACAGACCAGTGGGAAACCTCTCCCCAAGCAGCCCCCACTCCACCCCTCAACAGCCTCAACTGCCTGAGGCACAGCTGATGGAGCCCACCCAGGGGACGATAATCCCTCAGGAAAGGCCCAAGGGCTGGGAGTGCCCAAGTGAAGTTACACGTTCAGTCAGTTGCCCTCCAAGCCTACAGGCAAGGGGCAGAGCTGTTAAAAGGGATGATGAGGGGCCAGGATACTGGTGTCCTCCAGCTGTGTGCCATCAACCCTTTTGCATCTTTCCAATAAGACCTGAAGGAGTTCAAAAACTGGAAGCCAAGGTTTGGGGTTCAGGCTACCAGATCAGTGTGGTGAATTTTTGCCAATGGTCTGTTGATAAGGAAAAGCACAAGACACGTTCCTGTGGGCCCACTAATTGATACAGGGGCCCAAATTAGTGTTTTGAATAAAGGCAGGCAGAGAGTTAGGAATTACACCATCAAGGAAAGCTTTAAATATAGTGGGGGTAATGTCTGTTAGCCTGACCCAGGGAAAAATGACTCATGGCTGTGGAAGTGCTCCAAGCCCTCATATGGAGAATTTATTAGAATTTGACAGACTAGGAGGTAAGTAGTACAGTAGAGCAGGATGACGTCCTGATCAAAAGACATGCTGATGTCTCGTGCCACAGTTGAGATCTGTGTTTGAGACACAGTCATCATTGCCAGTAACTGCTGAGGAATTCATGGAAACCCAAAGATTTGCAAGTTATGTCCTACTGGGCCACTGACAGGTGCCACCTTGACGACTGAAGGGATCAGTTCCCACTGAAAACACGTGGGACAACCCATTCTGTTGAAATTGCCTTCTACTGTCATTGAGCCTGTGATCCTGCAAAACTCAGGGGCTTGTGAGTCCTGGGGAGCCCTAAAGGCTAGTGGGAAGACCCATCTCATTAGTGCCTGATGGACGACCCCTGACTTATAACTCTGAACCCATCTTCAAAGGGTTCAGAGGTCTGGATTTATTTTCTTAAAGTGCAGGACATGGAGACCTGGGTCACCCAAATTCTTGCTGGCAACAGGGTAGTGTGCAGCATCAACAACCAGAACCTGAAAGACTGTGTAATAACAAAGATACAGTAGGTTTTGCTCAAATGATGAAACTAACCTTGAAAACTCTCCTTGAAACTCTCCTTGAAGAGAGGAGCCCACACTGGAGCAGGTTTTCCTGGCAGGACTTGTGACCCTGTGGAGGACCCATATGGAAGCAGCTTGTTCCTGATGGACTGCACCCCATGGAGAAGTGACCCACGTTGCAGCAGTTTGTGAAGAACTGTTGCCTGTGGGATGGACTCACACTGGAGAAGTTGGTGAAGGACTGTGTCCCGTGGGAGGGACCCCACAGGGAGCAGGGAAAGGACTCCAACTCCTCTCTCTGAGCAGCGGCAGAAACAACAACTGACCATAACTCCCCATCTCCCTGCACCACTGGGGGGGAGGAGATACAATGTGGAAGGAGTGAGGGATGGGGGGAAGGTGTTTTTATTTTATTTCTCACTGTCCTGCTCTGATCCTGTTAGTAATAAATCTCATTATTATCCCCGCTTTGAATCTGTTTTGCCCATGATGGTGATCAGTAAGTGACCTCTCCTGGTCCTTATGTCAAATCATGAATCCTTTGTTGTATTTTCTCTCCTCTGTCCAGTTGCAGAGGGGAGTGAGAGAGTGGCTTTAGCGGGTACCTGGCCTCCAGCCAGGGTCAACCTACTGCACTGTTACCACGTACCTGGGATGCAAGTCTGGGATTCCATCTTTCTTCCTGCTGGCAGAGACGGGCTGGGGTTGGAAGGCACTGAACTGTGTTCCAACGTCCCGAGGTGAACTCTGCACCCAATGGGATATGGCTGCCTACTTACTGCAGTACATGAATGCCTCTTGGTGTGTTAAACTCCCCAAAAGAGACGGCAACAGTTGCTCCAGCGCACGTAACCAGAATGCCAGTGCTTGTCAGTTAAACTTTACATGGACCAGGAGAACAGGCTATGCTATTTGGGATGGGAAGAACGGTAGGACATCTCCAGCCTGGAAATCCCTGCTTGAAACTGCCATTAAATGTAGGCACATAGGTAAAATGCCGTCGTTAAGGTTATATCCTCCTGCCTGGAAAGCTCTGGCACAGGGCTGACTCCTGGTGCAGTAACGCTGGCTGGCTGTGATCCTCTCTGTCTTAATGTGCAGCAGAACCAGTGACACCCTTTGCCCACCTGGCATCTGTGATACCAGGCTTGTGGCAACCATCAGCTGCTCCTAGTACCTTCACCTAACTCCAACAGACACTTGTATTCCTGATTATCTCCTACTATTCTGGGATTAGCCTGTAAATTGTCTGTGCCCTCTCTATGGCCCATCTTTAAGGACAGGTCCATGTGCCACAAGTGGTGTGAATACATTCCAAGAAGCCAGCAGAGGGGGTGGCAGGAAGCTTCAGCACAAGTAGGATGGTGGTTAGAATCAGTATATGAACTGGGAATCATCTGGATGTATTACTTGTCTCAATTTTGTAAGCCTCTGTGACAAGAAACTGAAAACAATTATGTCCATCTGTGCAACTGCCAAAAGCAAGGAATGAGTCTGGGTTTCAGATCCTTGGACTGAAAAGCTTGTTACTGAAGATACTAACAAGGATGTTGGGAACAGGATGGCTGGATATAGGCAGGCAGCATGCCCTGTGCTGGTGAGAAGCAGTGTTGCATGCTAAAGGCATCAAGAGGTCAGCGGGGCTGGCTCCGGAGCCACTGGGTGTTCCCCACCTCTCTACAGGGCTGTGAGCATTGGGGCTTGTTCTTTCCATTGGGGTGGTGGTAATGATGTTGAACAGCTGTTTTACAAGGTCAGGAATCGCAGCGAAGGGGAGCTGTCGGCTGCCTCTGCAGCTTGGGTACACGCTGCTCTGGGTGTGATGCCGGAGGTAAATGTGCGACGCTGCTTTGCCTTCTGTGAACAGCTGATCAGGAACCCAGGGCAGGAGCAGGAATGACCTGGGCATGGGCAGCACACAGGATCTGGCTCAACATCTCACCATTAAATAGAGCAGCAACCTTCTCACAGGTGTGACTAAAGCAGAGAGGTTTGCGTCTGAAATAACAAGAGAGTACACCTGTTTGTAGGCAACAGGAGGATCACCTAAACCCACCAAAGCAAGCAGATGTGACTAATTAAAAAGATCAGAATAAAAAAAGGCTTTGGAAAAAGTGAAATTTCCTGGCTTTTAAGCAGCAATGCCATGGTGGGTGGCCAGTGGTCCAGTTCACGTTCCTCACTGTCCCCACGTAGCAGTGGTGAGCCTGGCCTTGAACCACAAGGCCAGATTTGGCAGCAGATTTGGCAGCTATGGAGAATAACGCTTCACTAACATGTTTACAGGTCTCTGCTGCTCTTAGCAGGCCAGACAGCAGCATTTGTGTTGTAGCTACAGTTAAACAACCACCTCTTTAATGATGCTCAGTAGCTGCCTGTGTGAACTGAGACAGAAAGGGCTCAGAGCCAAGCCAGAAGTTAGTTTTCTTAGACAAATATTTAACAGAGGGTATCTCTGTAGGACTTTACCTCGCATTAATGGGCTCTAACCAGGGAGCAGCAGCTGAAGCGACAGTTATGGATGGCCCCTAAAATGTCTGTCCATAATAACAACTCATTTCATAAAGCTGCTGGAAACATATCCTGTTTTGCAAACAGAATAATCCAGACACAAGGAAAATAGTTTTGTCTATAAAGTGTGGTACCCCCCTTACAAATCAATGTATTTCAAGTTATAGTCACAGGGGCTCATCCTGAATGTGACAGGTGCTAATTGTACCTGTATCTGTGCTAACTGTACCTGCACGAGAAACAGAAATCATGAAGGAGATTTGCCACTTGTACTGACCTCTGTATCCTCCAGTGCCTTCCAGGTGACGAACGGATCCTGGTTTCACCACAATCAATACTGACGGAGTGAAAGAGCTCTAACCAAGTGGTGGCTTCTTTCCCTCTGTAGTAACAACCTTGTTCCCCCACTCTCAGCAATGCCATGTTGAGCTCATCCAGCCACAGTGGAGAGTGGCTGTGTGCAACTGGTTGTGCTGTGTATGCACTGTCCATGCCCGAAATGCAGCCTGGAATGGGTGTTTGAGATACGCCTCAACACAGGCACAGAATGAAGCACAAGGTGCTCAGCTCCTGCACTGACCCACACACACACACACACTCTGCTGCCAACCAGGGCTGCCTCAGCGCCTCACCGAGGGGCAGCAACACCCCTGAGCAACAGGACTTGCAGAGGTTCAGCTGGAAACACCACATCACACACACGTAAAAAGAGAAGTGTTTATTGATTATATACTGTAGCGCTGACAGTGTTTGAGTCAGGAGAGACATGCAGATAAGTGTGTGTTTACATTTGGCATGCAGACTAAGAGCACTGTGTCACTTGAAGGAGGTGAGCACCATCAGTATCCACTGCATGGGCAGCGTAGGGAGGAAAGCACTGGCTTTCCTCTACTCAGCATGCTGAGACAGGCAAGTTCTGAAAGGGTGGAACAGTGCTGATAGCTCTATTTTGGACACAAAAGTTTGTTTTAGGGATAAAGGCAATACTGTTACCCTGGAAAATTTGCTTAACTTAGATGAATCTGTGATTATGAAAAGATTTCTTGCATTATTTGTCTTCTAACTAAGCTGCCCCAGCCCAAATATATGTTTGCAAATACAAAAAAATAGATTTATTCTCTTAAAAATACATTCCATGCAGCCTGGAGTGCTGCTTCCCCAAGGCAGGAGCTGGGACTGCACACGGGGCAGCCCAGGAGGATGATCCTTTGGGAGACTTGGGTTCTGACCATCAGAGGCATCTGCAAACAATGGCTTTGTGTTCTGTTGCACACAGCACAGCCCGTGGGAGGCTGGCCTGGAGCAGGGCCCTGATCACTCCAACGCTGTGCAAGGGTGGCAGAGATAAGGTCTACTATGTTAGAGATGACACCAATATGACTATTGCTTCGATCTGTAGTTAGGAAATGTGCTTGTGTCAAGTGTCTCTTGAAGCACTGAGGTGCACCACCCCACCCTGTGCTTCCTGCCCTTTTCCCTTGCTGGAGGTCCCATCTGTGGGAGGGCCACAGGGCTCCCCTCAGCCAGGCCCACTGCCCAGCACCAGTGGGCACATGACCAAGCTGTCACACCCACGCTCCCCGAGCGGCTGGAGAGGCAGCTCTGCGCGCTGCAGAGGTGTTTCTGGGTGTGAAGGAAGCCATTCTGTGAAGCAGCAAGCTGCTGCCCCTCAGGCTGGCACCAGTCCTTCTGGGGAAAGCCACTGGCTCTCCAAAAGGAACCAGCAGCTCAGGGTCCTTGGGAGCAGCGAGCACTGACACACTTCCTCTGTACAGCAAATACATTTACAACTTTGGAATTACCCAAGGGCTCGATGCGTGGCCTTGCGCATCATCAAGCCTACTGAAAAGCCGGTTATATTTATATGCTAAAATTACAAATACTTCTTCAGTGATGGCAATATTTACACATATACTCTATTTTACAGCTGTTCAAAAAAAGTGTGCAATTTGAGTAAACACATTGTGTTTCCTGAAGTCATTGCTATAAGGTTAATAATACAATCAGCTCCTATTGCACTCATTGACCAGAGGGCATGGCCCCTTTTGTTCTAGGGAGGGTTTTCTTTCTCAGATTTAATCTTGGTTGTGGTAAAAACAACCAGTGTGACATCTGTGTCCAGTATTTACAAGCAGTGAGACTGATTCTAGAGCAGGAGTTCAACGTATCTGCTGTAAAATACTGAATAAATGACTGAGGCAGCTGGAGAAAGGAGAGATGTTACCTTGTGAGAAGCACTTGAGGAGAGCAGACAGTGCCCAGCAGCTCTGCATTGCTGGGGCAGCAGCTGTGGATAAGCCAGCTGAGCAGCAAGGTGAAGCCCTCTAGTTGCTCCAGCAAAGCCTGGTCCTGGATGACAGAAGTGGAAAACCCAACAGCTATTGTTGCTGGTGGTTCTTTCCTTGCAATTTAGACACAAGGGTTCCTGGGTGAGCTGTGGGGTTGAAAAGTTGATGAATAAGCCAGTGTTTTGTGGGTAGGCACAGGGAAACCTGTGTTTATCCTGCATGTCGTGTCACAGGGATGCAGAGACTTCCTGGCCAGGACTGAAACCAGTTCCCTTGGATGGAGCTTTGGGAGCACCATGCGAAGCTGTATCTGTATCAAGAAGACGAGGAGAGGGCTGGTAGATGAGTAGGGGTGTCCCGTGGGATGTGGACCAGTGTCCTGCAGCAGGATGGGGTGGGGACTGGGAGGAAAGCCATTCAGTTGCTGCCCAAAGCAATACTTGTACAGTGCAGTACATGCTGTCCCACGGTGTGTACGACGAGCTGCAAGTCCTGGGCAGCAGTGACCCAGGGCAAGGGGAGCCCCCCAACATGCCAGCTCTCTGGAGGCACAACTGCAATGCCCACGGTGACTGTGACTGGTACAGGTTATACAGCTGGAGAGCTGCTTAGCAGCAGGTTTGGGAATGCACAGAGAGGGAAATAATCCCTGTGACAACTGAAGAGGCAGCTACATGCCAAGGTGCTTCCCAGCTGCTCCCAGGTTAAGCAAGCAGGTACTGCATGAGGCATTTGGACTGCTGAGACAGCAGGTTTAGTTTTGAGGGGAACATGAAAAGAAGGGGTAAAGAGACGCAGCACTCTGCGGTGGACAGGCTGCAGCAGCCCCATGGAGCAGTGCTGAGCTGGGCACTGCTGGGCAGGCTGCAGGGCCAGATCTGCTGTGGGGGCAGCACAGCATCGGGAGGCAAGTGCTGCTGGCAATCCATCTGATTTTGGGTGGTGGCAGTGATCCTGACATACAGTGAGTGCTGAGCAGAGCAGGGTGCTTAGGAGGGACATGGCCATTGCAGAGGATTGTTACAAAGAAACTGTGGTTTCCCATTGAACAATCTGCAAGGATTTCCAATCCTTCCTGATAAACACATGGGGAAGCAGTTCAGAAATCTGAATTTAGCTTCAGAATTTCACTTTCTTTTAGTTTGTATTTTGAATTTAAATTTTTTCCCCATTATCTTGTTCTACTAGCATTGTTACCATGTCAATGGTAACAGAGAATGGTTCATATAATTTATTTTAATATAATTTAAAGATTACTATAGAGCTGCCACTCAGTACTAATTTAGAAGCATTATCTTTGTTATGCAACTTGAGACTTATACGTCATGACATATAAAAGAACAAAACGAAGGGTTAAAAATATGAATTTGAGAAAATATCTTAAAAATTGCAAAAGGAAACACTTTTTTTCAAAAATAATTTTTCCCTTCCTCCAAACAATCTTCATAAAAAATAATCATGTCACTGAAACACATCTTTGTGTTTTCATAGATATTTTGCAGCCAGGGAGGAGCTGCAGCACAGGGATGCGCAGTACAGGCAGGCACACAGCTGTGATACCTGCTTCTCTGGAGGCGGGATATGGGAATGAGTGTGGGGTGCAACTCAGACATGGGAGCTGCTGGGGTGCAGCTCTTTCCACAGGACCTCAGAAACGGATCAGGGACCTTTTCCTTCTGGCATATTATCCCTGTCCCTCTGCAGAAAAGCACAAGCAGCAGGAAGCACTAGGGGGGGTCAGTGCTGTTTGTGTACAGGCCAGCCCAGCAGCTGGGGGGTGGAATAGAAAAGAAGGACTAGCCAAGCCCTGCCTGTGCAAGCCAGGAGCAATAACCCTGCTCAGGGCAGATGTTGCTCCAGCACCTGAACACCTCCTGGAGCTGCAGGGGCAGTGTCTGCCTGACAGTGACACCAACTGCATTCCGTGGCCTGGGGGCACTGACAGGGGGACACATCTCTGTATTTGAAGCAGTCTCTGACCACACTTGAGTCCCAGGCACAGTAGATGGCAGATAGAGCACAGATCGAGGCTGTAACCATACTGGAGATCAGCTTAGGGTTCAATCCTGCTGTCTCCACTCTGTTTTGGGAAGGAACAAGGACATTCTGCTTGTCTGTGAGGAAAAGCACTTGTTTCTTTTTCTCTTATGGCTCAACTGCTAAAAATGAGCTGCAGAGCTGTTGCCTGCAGAGTGTGACAGACATAAAGCTTCAGGTAAATGGCACTCCAGTCCCAGGCAGGAGGAACTGTTGCTGCTGCAACACTGGTTTGGCTCACTGGATGACTTCTTGGTGTGGGATCTCAACTGGTGATGAGTAGGTCATGCAAGGCTCATTGCAGAGACTGACAGCAACAGGGAACAAACTGCTTCTAAACAACATTTTCTGTTCTCCTTCCCTCTCAATGTGTAAAGCAACAAGCAACCAGTGGGGAATGGTCTCCTCCTGCCTAGAGAGAGAGGGTGCTGGGAACACTGAGGTGACCACTACCCCAGCCAAAAGGGGGTATTAGGAGAATGCAAAATGTCTCTAGGAACTGAAAGCTTTCAATTGTGGAGGACAGCTGTCATGGGTTGGATGTAGTCATAGGGACACTGCTGGGATCTTGTGTGAATGTAAGTGGTTAACAAAAAATTCTCTCTTGTCCAGGGAGTACCATTGTTCAGAGAGGCTATGTAGTCAGAGTTTCCATATGGAGACAGACTTATCATCCTACATGGAAGATTGCAGGTACAGAGATGAGAAAAGGGAGTCCCCTGAGCAAAGTCTCTGCAGCTGCCTCTTCAGCAATGAAGAAGAAGAATTCACTGGTAAAGCTCCTGTACCTTTCAAATCGCATTACAAAAGTGGTTTCAGACTAGCTGAAGCCTCTGGAGAGGTTACAAACGGGTGTGATGCCTGTGAGCTTGGTACTATTCTGCCTCTTGCTCCACTGTTTTCACTGACCAGAAGGGAATGCAGCTCATCTCCGAGATGTCCGGCAGGCCCGGGAAGTGCCCTGTAAGAGACAACCCACAGCGTCACAGACTGGCCAGGACCTGCAGCTGCCCCACAAGCATTTCTACTCTGCGGAAAAGGATTGCAAATGCCTTTGGCAACCACCCCAAATCCCACCAGGATCCCAGTCCAATGGTAGGGTGGAGAAGAGCAGTGACAGGATGGGTTTGGAAGACAGAGGTTCTGCCAGCTGGGAATAAGCCCAAAGCAAAGGGACCTGGCCCTGCCTCACATAGCTTTTTTTATGCTGTAGGATACCCCGCACCCATTTCCACATCCAGCATGTGGGTCCTGGAAGTGGGATGCAGAACACCTGACAACAGAGGCGCTGGAGTTGATTTAATGTCAGAGCACACCTTTTGTGGTGTTCAGGCTTCTGCTACAGCTGATGGAGGTCTGGGCAAGACAGCAGACCCAGATGATGGTGTGTATGTTACAGGGATGTTACCCAAGTTTATATTTGCTGTTGATCCAGTCTGTGCAGACAAAGAAAGCACAACACAGTCTCAGGTATGGGACTCTGCACCGGGCCAGGTGAATATTGCCTACGTAACACCTCTTGATGACCACATAAGAGCATTGCTGGGGTGCCGCTTTCCTCAGCTACCCACAAGGACAGTGTCAGTTCACTAACCTCTGCTGCCAACACTACCTTTCTTCAAGTGCCAGTCTGCGAAGGTCAGCTGGGACCATGGACCTCTGGGATCTTAATTCTGTCACTCACCATAAGGTATGACTCTGTAGGGCATTCAGTTGCCTTGCTGCAGTCCTGCTGCTCTCATGGCAAGACTCAGCAACTGTGCATGTCCAGTGACATACACTGGCAACGGGTTTGGGGTCTTACGTATTTCCTGCTGTAGACGATCCATAAATTGAAAGATACACTTTGCTCTCGGCAGCTGCACAGGCCAAGAGGGAATGCCAGGAGAAAAAGGAAGTCTTTTGTACAGACACAAGCATGCCTGTGCACCTGAGAATGAATGTCTGCCTGGACCTCTATATCCTCAGAAGGAAGCCCCTTGTGAAGAGGCTGTAATACATACTTTTTTCATATTTCAGACAATAGGTCATAGTCACTATAATGTGGGCCATTTTGCAATTGTGTGTCCAGAAGGATGTATTTTAGGAAGCAGAGCAGCAAGTATGTAGCAGCAGAGAAGCACTCCAGTAATACAGCAGCCAGCTGAAGCTGGGACTCTGCTTTTGTCTCTCCAAATGTTTTTTTCCATCCCTGATTGACTCGTGTACCACAGCATGACTAGATGCAGTGCCTCTTAGTCCTTGGAGAATATTTTTAGCCATAAAGCTAGCTGAAACAAGTTTACAACAGAAAATACAGCAGCCACTCCACCCCTGGGAAGTGCTAACTTCAGACTGGATTTTTTCTACAAGGTATACTTTCTTTTTGGACAAGCTCTCTAAGTTATGTTACTTGGATGTCAGTTCAGATATTGGCTTCTTGCTTTGTAACTACCTCCCCTCACATACCTGCTCCTCTGCTTGAAGACCTGGTTGTGCAGGGGAGTTGGATTCAGGGTCCTGCAGCTCCACCTTGGTGGCTGGCCTTTTCCCTGGAATGTCAGCCTGCAAGAGGTACTCAGAAGAGCTGTACTGCTTCCTCCTGGAACTGGACACAAAATCCTTGCTTTCATCCTGTGCAAAGGAAAATAAAAAGGGTTGGGACCTGGGGACTCTGAAAGGCCTGGAATAACGCTGGGCTTCTAGTCCTGGGTTTGTGGTGTGAGGTACTGTCTTGAGTCCCTTTGGCAAGGAGGGACTTGGGGCACCAGACCAGCTATGGCATGGCCTCACTTATGTACACTATTTCATAAAGATTTTTTAAAAAATCCAGTATTTTTAACCCAAGTTATGGATGCAGAATCACAAAACAGAATAGATCCCTTGGACAAGGTTACTGAGGTCCAAGGAAAGATGAAACCACTGATGTGATGTAGCTGGCTGCTTAAGTAGAAGCTTATGTGGAGTGAGCAGGAGTGAAAAGATGATGGATGCTGTGTTGGGTTTGCGTGGCCAGGTTTTGCTAGGGGGGGAGCTACTGGGCTGGCTTCTGTGAGAAGCTGCTAGAAGCTTTCCCCATGTCCATCAAAGCCAGTGCCAGCTGGCTCCAAGATAGACATGCCACTGGCCAAGGCTGAGCCAATCAGAGAAAGTAACAGCATCTCTGATAACATATTTAATAAGGAAAAAAAGTCACTGTACAGAAGTAATTGTGGCCAGGGAAGAGAGGAGTGAGAATATGTGAGAAACAGCTCTGCAGACACCAAGGTCAGTGCAGAAGGACGGGGAGGAGGTGCTCCAGGCACTGGAGCAGAGATTCCCCTGCAGCCCATGGTGAAGACTGTGGCGAAGCAGTCTTCTGCAGCCCGTGGAGGTCCACAGGGTTGTTGAGATCCACCTGCAGCCTGTGAAGGAGCCCCTAATGCAGGTGGATCCCAAAGGAAGCTGTGACCATGTGGGAAGCCCACTATGGAGTAGGGTCCTGCTGACCTATGAGGAGAGGAGCTCATATACTGGTAGGATTTGTGACCCCTTGGGGGACCTATGCTGGAGCAGCCTGTTCCTGAAGGACTGCACCTCATGGGAAAGTGACCCATGTTGGAAAAGTTCATGAAGAACTGTAGCCCAGGGCAGGGATCCCACGCTGGAGAAGGGGAAGGACTCCTCTCCTGGAGCAGTGGCAGAAACAACATGTGATGAACTGACTACAACCCCTATTACCCATCTCCTTACATTACTGGGGGTGAGGAGGTGGAGTCCTGGAAGTAGAAAGGGGAGTCCAGGAAGGAGGAAGGTGTAGGGGGAAGGTGTTTTTAAGATTTGTTTTACTTCTCATTATCCTCCTCTAATTTTGATTGGTAATAAATTCAATTAATTTCTCCAAGTCAAGTCTCTTTTTGCTTGTGACAGTAATCTGTGAGTGATCTCTCCCTGCCCTTATCTCCCCTCATGAACTTTTCATCATATTTTCTCTCCCGTGTCCAGTTACAGAGAGGAGTGATCGAGGGGCTTTGGTGGGAGCCTGGCATCCAGCCAGGGTCAACCCATCACAGATGCACTGCACATCAGTCCCCAAAGCAGGGGAGAGAAGGGGCGAGAGGCAGCACATCCCTGGACATTGTCAGGGATGAGCCACCCATCATAAGAAGGTATGAGGGCTTCCTTTGAAGACAAGCCTGCCTTTAAGGTTTTGTCTAATATGTGCAGCACACAGCCCAGCTCCAGTTCTGTTAATGTCAGAGGCATAAGAAAACTACGCATTCATCTGGCATTGCTGCTGCTCATCTGCTCACTGCCTGCCAGTGCCTTCGCACTAATTTTCATCAGTCAAACATCAGATCAGAGAAATATCTGAACCATGAAGCCCAACAGAATGACTGCTCAAGGTCTTGTGTTGCCTCAGGTCTTTAGGGAGCTTGAGGAGGTTGACTGCCAGCACCAGAGGGAGCTGGTCCCCAGGCTGCAGCACCCATCCTGCTCCCTGGAGCTCCCAAAGCAGTGTTACAGAGAACTGCTGCTTCTGCAGCACAGGTATTGCAAAGGACTGTCAGTAACTCCTGTAGCTTCATTAGGGACATTTGCCTACATCAGCAGCAAGGAAGGGAAGGCTGCAATGGAGGAGAGGCACACGGATTTTGGCAAAACCAGCACAGGTCTTGTGTTTCCCAAATCAGATTGTTAAGGGAATCTCCACTGTGGACAGCAGAGCTGGAAAGAGATGACAGCGATACCTGCACAGGACAGCTGAATGTCAGCACAGAGCAGTGCCTAGCCTTCTGCCAGAGAAACAGCTACATCTTTAAATGAAACATAAATCTCAGCAGAAACAGCCTGCTGTGATATGAGGCATATTATAAGCCTGAAGATACCCTTCAAAGGGTTCTTTTCCAAGGGCATATGCAATAATTTAAGTTGCCCAAATACATACCATTTGGTATATCTAGTACACCTATGTATCTACAGTCTTTTAGGTTAACTTCATACTCCTCATTTACAAGCTAAAAACATACTTACTTTATGACCAAGAATTCAGGTTTGTGACTATGTAGTGTCAAGGGTGAGTTTATTGCAAAGTGATGCCGAGAGAGACTGCATCAGAGAGACTGAGCTCAACTCTTAACAGCCCTGTGTGAACTAACAACGCGATTGCTCTCCTTACTGCCTGTCCCTGGAGACATGGGCAAGGCTGGAAGTCAGCTAATCCTTTGGATAACTTGGGATAACCACACAGAGGTCAGGTTGCGCTGTGAGGTACACTTCAGCTGCTGTGAATGTACACCACATAGCTGGCAAATTTGATTTGACAGTGACCTTGAGAGCACCTGCAGAACATACTGCAGAGCTACACTCAGCCCTGGGTGGGCTGTCAGGGGGAAAATGGAAAAGAAATCAGTGCCTACCGTTTACAGCTCCATGACCAACCACATGTGAACCCAGCTGCAAGTGGAGAGAGTCAAGTCAGCTGTGAGAGTTAAGGTTGTGGGTGCTGTGAATTGAAACTCCTGGGATACAGGGAGGCCCAGGAATGGATCTCCCATTTCCCAAGCACATAAGCTGTTGTTATGCAAAAGGGCAACTTCAATCATATCAGCTCTGCTTGGATTCATGAAAGAGCAGTACAGATTGCCTGTGACCCACCCTGGCCAGGGAGATGATTTATTCTCAGTGTCACAATATAGCTGGAAGGCCAGCCTGCACTTTGTAACACCAAGTGACAGGCTCTCTGCAAAGCAGAGCACAAATTCTTCTGTGCTTCTCATCATCAGAGAAGTAGAAGTTTTGAAAATGTAAAACTCCTTTCCTATCTCCACCGCCTCATCTTCGTCAATGCCAGAATCATTCAGTTAGGAATCTGTCCCCTCTGTCACCAGCACTGTTGGATAACCCAGCTGGGTTTTTCCTGCAGACTGGCAATGGCAGCAGCTGCTCAGAGCCGTGCTAAATCAATAGCAGAGGCAGGAGTTGCAGCAAGAACTAGTGTGGTGTTTAATGGCCTGGAGGGCAGTGAGCTCACTTGAAATCTGCCAGAGCCTGCAGCTCCAGTGGCAAACACAGCTCACCAGACCAGATATATCTACATGTGTCACTGCTTTGAGGGACACCCCTCATTGGTGCCAGCCAAAGGAACAGGAAAAGAGCACAGCCATCCTTGTAGAATACGGGCGCAGACCAAGGAGGGAGCAGCCTTGTGTTACCAGCCACCACTCATCTGTTTAGGAAATGCCCAGGGAGCATTTCCAGACCAGAGTCTGGTTTCACGTGAGGAAACCATGCAGCTCTTACCAAAAAGAGCTCTATCTCTACAGTTGCCTCTATCTCTATCTCTACAGAGCTACAGCTCTGCCTGAGGTACAACCCCACTCAAGTCTGCTCACTTCCAGCATTTTTTCATTGCTACTCCAAGTCAAAAATGCCATGCAAAGCCACTCTGAAAAGCATACCATGTCCTACTTAAGCTATGACTATGTCTTCTCTAATCTTGGCAAGACTAAATGCTACTATGTAGTTATTCATATGGCAGTACAAGACCCAAAAGCAGATGGATCTAATTTCAATAAGGCTAAATCTGGTAATTCACATATGAGATGCTGCACTGAAGATAGCAGGAGCTGGGAGAGGCAGCACTTAGGAAATAAGCTGTAAGAATTTCAAATCACGCATCCTACAACTACCAGGCAACGTGGAAAACCTCATCAACTGAAAGAGAAGAGTGTTGGATACAGAACACTTACAGGTAGCGCAGTCCGGTGCCAAGCAGCAGCTGCTGTAGGATCACTTGCATAGCTCCTGCGTGTCAGCAGTTCAGATGCACTTAAGTTACTTTTGGTCCTTCGGGACCCCAGTTCAGGGGCACTCCAAGAATTAGCCGTGGCACTGGTCCTTGCTGAGGCCTGCTCCAGGGAGTCTGTTCTTGCACTATTCCCTTCCACTTCGGAGAGGTCCACTGAAGACCTACACAAGTTTGTAGTACTGGAAGCTGCACTTTTCTCCACTTCAGTTTGAGAGTCCTCCAGGGAATGTAAGCCTTGTCTTGTTCTCCAGGAACTTCTCATAGCGGCATGCTTTGTTTCAGATGAAGCTGCATCTGAAGAGCCATGGCTCTTCCAGCTGATTGTCTCTGAAGGCAGTTCACTGTTCCTCTCTGTGAGTTCAGAAGTCTTTAGCATAATGCTGCTTCTGGAGACCACTGTTTCAGCTTTACTTCTCGGCACTGCCTCTCCACTTCTGTCCATCTCAGATAATTTCAGAGCACTTTTATTAATCGATATCTCAAAGGGTGTGGGGACATTGTTTGTTATTGATTGTGAAGGCTCATTTGAGGCTGCTCTGATGTTGCTGCTGGTAACATGCCTTTCCTTTGCTGGTATATCTGCAGTGGTCCTTGGAGCTGTTGGCTCAGAAGGGAAGATTGTGATGCTGCTTGTCATTTTATTTGTTACCATTTTAAAAACAGACTTCTGTTTTTCTGACTCTGCCTCCGAAACAGTCCCTCCCATGACTGCCTTCATATCCTTCTCAACAATTGCAGGTTTAATGATGGCTTTTGACCTCAGAGCTTCTCTCGGGCTGAACGACCTTCTGGATTTCAATCCTCCAGTGCTGGCATCCGATGGTTTTATACACTTGGTGGAGTCTTCATCATTTACAGTGTTTTTCTCATTTTCAAAAAGTGATGCTCTAAAAACTCCTCTAGAATTGGAGAACTGCTTGGAACTGACTTTCTTTCTTGTCTCAAAATCTGACTGAGTGGTTGTTTTTTTGCCTCTTCCTGATTCTTCATCTGAATTAAGCTTTTCCTGGTTACTCTGGATTGTCTTGGAGTCAGTTTTTAAACCCACGTTTACATGATCTGTTGCTGAACTTGAAGACTGCTCTGTCTCTTCTTTATCAAAACCTGTGAGAATCTGCAGAATGTCTTCCTGACTCCTGGAGCGATGGGAACGCTTTGTTAGTATTGAAAACTTCACACTTTCAAGAGATGTGTCTGTGACTTCTTTTTCCTGGGAGATTATTGCCCTTTTAGCCCTCCCCTCCAAGGGCTGTCTGTGTGACGCAGCAAAAGTGTTCACTGCTTCTACTTTAGAGCCAGCAGAGTCTGAGGCTGACACATGGGAGGACAGATGGTACCTGTATGCCGAAGCTGTGCCATTGGAAGAGGTGTGGTTACCCCTTGCGAGCTGCGTGTCCCCCGTGCAGTCACTAACTTCAGCCTGGCTTGTTTTCAGCTTCTCAGCCAAAGAAACCATTGATTCTTCTTTGCTTGACTTTTCATCCCGTGTGTCAGCACCATTTTGGCAGCTGCCACGGAGCACCTGAGATGGCTTTTCAGCCTTGGATCTCAGGCTTGTGTCACCAACAGATTTGGAAGGTGCTTTCCAAGACTTCTGCTCCTGTGCAGCAGGAGGATATCGGCTGAGGACAGATGGCTGCTCTTTGGATCTCCTCCCCTCATTCTGCATGACGTAGCCTTCCTTCTGACCAGGAGAAATAGTGGAAACTAAAGATTTCTCTTCCAGTCTTTTTGTATCTGTGACAGCAGCGTCCGAAAGGGCAGATGCACCAGATGTTTTTCCCGCTTTTCTGTTCATTAAGCTTGAACTGGACACCTGCTTACCACCATGGCTGTAACTGTCATTACTGACAGAGAAGTCTCTGTTCCGTGCTCTTTCCCGGCGCTGCTGTGGCGAGAGCTCCCTTGGCTTGTGCTTGGCAGCTGTCAAGTCAGCCGTGACACCTCTGTATTTAGGTCGGTCATGTTTTCCCCTGCTGGTAAAGCTTGTATCTTCATTTTCAACCTCTCCATTCTCCAGATCTTTCTGTTTTTTTATTTGCATTTTTATTTCTTCTAGCTGACCTGTTAAGAGTTTGTTTTTATTCTGTTCACTCAAGTAACTGTCTTGCAGGTCATTGTTTTTGGCTCTTACTTTTTTAAGTTCTTCTTCTAAAGATTCAAAACGTTTGATCTGAGTTTTAAGTTTCTCAATTTCTTGGGTGAGATCTTTCACTTTGTTGTCTTCCTGGTTTTTATTCTTTTGGTTTTCTGATTTATTCCTGGTTTCATTTTCTACATGTTTCAGGTAATCCACACTTCCCTTCCTCCTGGTCTCCTTAGAAGGCAGTGCAGAAGTCAAGTCATCTTCAATTCTCAAATCATTTCTGTCCAGGAGATTGTTGGATGACCTTTCTAGCAAGTTGGATGCATTTCTAGTTTGATCTGCCCTATTTAGTTTATTGTTTTGTTCTAGTTTCTGTGTTAGCTCCTGGATTATTTTTTCATTCTGCTTTTCTCTTTCATTAAAATGTTTTCTTTCTGTGATAAAGCTCATAGCTAAGGATTTCAGCTTTTCTAGCTCACCCGTTAAGCTCTGCTCAGTTTTATCTAGCCTGTCCTCAGATGCTTCCAGTTCTTTCACTTTCACTCTAAGTATTTCTAATTCTGTAGATATCTTTTTGGTCAAGTTCTTTTCTTCATTGAGGCTAAGACACAGCTGTGTACAGTCATTCTTGCTCCTCCCGAAGGCCTCCTCCAGCTTCTCCAGCTCTGCCATTCTCCTCTGAAGGTGTTCAATTTCTGACTTCAGCTCTCGAGTGAGGCTCTCCTCCTCTTCAAGTTTTTCTTTCATTAATCTGCAAAGCTCTTCAGCCTTTCTAATTTCTTCATCCTTGCCTTCAATCTTCAGTACTCTTTTCCGCAGGGCTTCGATGTCAGCCAGCATGCTGGAGTTGCTGCCTTCTGCCTGGATAACTTTGTCCTGGAGGTCAAGCAGTTCATCCTCTGCTTTCTGCAGATTTTTGGTTGCTTCCTCCAGTTCATCAAGGCGGCGACTAAGGCTCTGCAACTTGAAACGTAGGTGCCGATTTGAGGTTTCCTTGTAACCTGTAAATTCTGCCATGTTTATTTTATTTCTTTTAGGTGAAAGCTTTGCTTAGTCTGGGTGAAGGGTGTAGACCTTGTGTATTTCTGGTATGTTATCGTTCCTTTGAACAGAGGCAATCTCACTCTGAAAGAAAAAATGTTATAAATCAATATAAGAGCTCAGAATATAAAGTATTCTCACTATGTAAGCTTGACTATAAATGTTCATCTAAGTAACTTCTTAATTAAACACATTTCTGAGTGCTAAATTAGGAGAAAAGAAACTGCAGAGAAGACCCACAGTCCACTTACTTCGGTTATACAGGGTTCCCAAAAATAGCTTGCTCCCAATATCTGAGGGCAGGAAGTGCCCTCCCCTGCTGGTCTGCACAGGCGGTTTGTGCACTACCAGCAGATTCTAACCCAGGGCTCCACAGTCAGTGCAGCTGCCTGTGTGCAAGGTCCCAGGCTGTAGAGGGTCATGCAGGACTCAGGTCCCTGTACATGGACACGCCCACACAGCAGACACCTCTTTTTTCAGCACTGCACCAGCCTCCTGAAGACACACCTTAGTGAAGAAGATTTAGGATTTCAGAACCAGAAAAATGCAAGCCCCAGCCAGGTGGTAACCATTGAGGAGAGGGCAAGCCCCCCATGCTGGCTTGCAGTTGGAGGGACTGGGAGCTGCTGCCATTCAGCACTGCCCATCGCTGCCAGGATTTCTCCTGCATCCTTGGCTGCTCAGCAGAAATCTTCCCCTGGAAAGGACATTATGCTAGTGGAGTTTCAGGTTTCTCCCTCCTGTTTCAAAAGCTGTCGTTGCTCTTGCCTGCCACCCACTCACCCACCCAGGAGATGAGCAGTTGCTTACGCCTCTCCCTGCTGCTGCTGAGAGCAAGTATTGATTAAAACACACCGGCACACTCTTGATGTACTCAATATGAACTCTTCCTAGCTCAGCTCAGAGCTGGTAGGATGTTTTTTAAACAGTCCCTCTGTGCTTGGCAGGGAGTAGCAGGGAAGGGGCCCTGGCCACACCAAAATGACCGCTGGGAGGATATGAAGTTCCCCTCTGGCAATCAGCATTACCACCGTCCTGTCCTGGGCCTGAGGCACAGCCCCAGTGAGTGCCAGGGCTACTGCAAATGTGAGGAGAGGAAGGGTGACTGCAGCAGCTCTTTGACCTGTGCCCTTGCTCAGGCTGGCTGCCTTGGAGTGGGACTTGACCTCCAGAATTTTTGAGGAGCTCTCTGCAGAGGAAGCACTCAGGAGTTTCCTATTTCACAGTGCCAAGACGCAATGAGCAGGATGTGGGGAGGAGACAGGGCCAGTAAGGGAGGCAGCAGTGCCCCAACACATATCCTTGGGCTGGAGACGATCCATTTCCAGCCAGGCAGAGGGGCCCGTGCTGCAGACAGGCACCTGCCATGCACGCCATGGAGGTACTCCTGGTGCACACTGGGCACCCTTTGACCCATCTCCTGAGGGACTTCTCTCACTCCGGGGGGGTCACCAACCTATTTGGTTGATCTCACGCTCCTCAGGTACCTACCTGAAAGGAGCACTCCAAAGAGTACCCGGAGAGGAACCTTGGTGTCCTGTGTGCAGCAGTGCACAGCCTTGGCCACATGCCTGTCCCCTCCCTCACCACCACAGCCATGTCCTGCTCCTGGACAACCCTCTCTCATGCTGTCCACACACCGTGAAGGCCTCGTGGGCCACAGCCCCACTGTGCAGCTGCCTGCAGGCAGGAAAGGATGCTCAGACCCCAGCAGAACCCCACGAGAAACATCACCAGAGCGGCACAGGAAAGGCCACGGTGAGCAGCTTCGCAGTGCCCTGAAAACAAAGCAGGCCTAGGAGCTGGGAGTTAATGGTTAACCTGGCATCAGCTACCAGCTGGGAAGTGAGAGCAGTCTCCTCCCCAGGACAGTCAAGAGTGTGATGGAGGCAGAGCCGCACAGGGCTGGTACGCAGCACTGGTATGCTGTGTAGTATCAGCGCACAGTGCTGGTGTGCTGAGCAGGTGTGCAGTGCTGGTTTCCAGGCAAAGCTGGTATGCAGCACTGGCTTTCAGGCCACAGCTCCCACAGGTCATTTCTGCAGAGCTCAGAGGACAGAGCTGCATGTGGCCCACAAGAGTCCTGCCAGCTGGGACAGGGTGACTTTGGCTACCAAGCAACAGGCTCCTCACCAAAGACAGACCATGGTGGCTCAGCAAGCTCTGCCACTGGGACGAGTCCCACAGCCCATTTTATGGGAAGGGCTGGGAAATAGAGAGCTACCTCCACAGGCAGGTGGGCAAAGGGGCTGCTCTTCTCTTTCCTCCCTCTTCTACATTCCAAACAATCCTGCAGCATCAGCTGCCACCTGGATGGAGTAGGACCCCTGCTCTCACACACTTGGTGCCCTGGGGGAAGGCCCACCATGGAGGCCAGTAAAGGCTCAAGCTCAGTGAGCAACTGGGTGCAGAAGAGTGACCTTGTCATGAAAACAACAGGCTTCTGCAGATGAGAAGAAACAATCACCCTGGGAGGTGACCTGGAGTGGTCCAACACAGACTCCACCAAGAAGGAAGGGGTTATGGGCATAGATCCCTGGGATGGGACCCAGTATTGCTGGTGAACCAGCTATCTTGTAGCTCCACCAAACCATGCTCGTAAAGTTGGTTCCTACAGAGTCTGGACCATGGCTTATAACATGCTTTTGTATTTGCACAGGATAAAGCTGGCTGTGGGCCGTGGGTCAGGATTTAGACCCTCTGGCTATGTTGTCACAGCTCATGGGTCATAAGGAGGAGGAGAGGGATGTTGGGACTAAGTTACTGATTTCTGTGGATGTCAGAGGCTGCTCAGCAGAGAACCTGATTTAGGAGGAAACACTCAAATTTTCAAATTATGCAGATAATTGAACTCAACAATTACTGTATGAATGAATTACTAGAGATGGCCCTCAGGGGTTGATGAAGTTCCATGTCTTTATTAATGACAGAGATGACGGGATGGAGCATGTTCTCATCAAGTTTGTGGATGATACTAGACCAGGAAGTGAAGGGGACCACGACTGATATGCTAGAGGGCAGGTCTGCTATTCAGAGGGACCTTGACAGGCAGAAGAAAGGGATGGACAGCCACCTCAGCAAAATGCAGTCCAAGGCCAGTCCCTGTGGCACCAGGACAGGCTAGGGATTATGGCTAGCAATCCGCTTCACAGAAAGGGATCTGGGGAGTCCTGGACACTGAGGAGCTGAACAGAGGTCAACAGTGTGTTCTTCTGGCTAAGAAGGCTACCCACAGACTGGGCTGTGTCAGCACACTTACAGCCAGGTCGAGGTGATCCTCTCTGTTTGGCTCTTGTGAGGCCACCTCTAGAGTGTTGTGTCTGATTTGGGACTGCCTGGTACAACAAAGACATGGTTGTACTGGGCTGAGTCCAGAAAAGGCCACTGAGATGGCCATGAGCTGGAGCAGTAGACACACATGGAGACACTGAAGGAACTCAATTTTGCTCATCATTATCTACAGTTTTATGAAAATGTTTCTTTAGCAGCATCATTGGATATAATCTTCCCCTGGAACCACTTTATCTTGCCTGCACAAAACATACATAGTCAGTTCACAGCTATGCATGGAGGCAAAAAACCTCCAGCTAGAAACATTTGTGTTAGCTAAACACTTCATGAAATGGGAGATAAGCATCATCTAATTCAGGAGCAGCAATTAAATGACTGCTCCATGAGATCTGCATAGATCATCTATGCCAGAGCTCCTTAGGACTGTGATGATGCTGTTCCTCTGCAGAAGCACAGAAGCATCTTACCCTACACATTGTCTTCCTTGCTCTGGTTTGATTATTGGTAAAAGTCCCATGAGCACCCACAGCTCTTTGTTTCAGGATGTCCCCAACACGCTCATGTGGAAATAACTGTTGGCACCCACTCCTACTGTGCTCTCTGCTATGCCAAGATAAAAACATGGCCAGTTGCCACATATGTCTATACTAGGACACTTGTATATCTCTCCCGAGCGCATTTTGCACTTAATCTTTGGGGTTTTTAACCTTTTTGCTGTGCTTTTATTCTGACAATGCAACATCCCGCACTGTAGCTGGGCAAGCCTGAGCTCCCACTGACAGTGCTGCTGGTCTGCCATAGCACCTGTCCTCTTAAGAGTCACAGTATATGTATTTCAGCCTTACCCAATCATAAAGATAAATGAGTATTATTAACACCTTGGCCTGCAGACTCTTTTTATTAGTTTCTTTGTTTGCTCTTGAAGTTGTCAGGGTTTCCCATAGATTCTAGAAAGCAGCACTCATCATAAGCAATAGAAAAATCAATAGATTCAAGCTTAGCTATAATCAGAGAATAGAAAAGCAATTTGTCCCATTAGAGTTGGAGTCCTTGGGATTCCCTGCATTGTGAAACACCACAGGCTGAGGTTTGTATTTCTCAGCTCACAGGTGGTCCAGTTTCAGGTGAGGAGCAGAGAGGGGCTATTTTCCATGCTCTTACGGATGGTACTACGCCCTCCACTTCCCCAAATGGTGGGGTGAACTGAGATTCTCCCTGTTCTATTTTCTGTTAAATTATTATTCAGAATACCCATGGGAACTGTATTTTTGCACTGAGCACAATGCTGGGAGTGTTTGCACACATCTGGGGAAAGGGAGCCTTAGGCAATGCAGGTCTCCAAACTATGGATTCAAATTGCATTAGGCAGTTGACAGTCACTTCAGGCATGAGGACAGCTCTGGAGGTGTACATCAGCAAAACCTGGGGTAGCAAGGGGTTTCCCCTGAGCAGTTAGGGAGGAACTGGTGAAACTATGCTCCTGTTCTAACACATAGTCTTCCACCTGAAGAATAGGTTAGGTGTGTTTGTTGGATTCTCCCCCATGTGCACATACACCTGCAGTTTTATTTAAAGGGTTTCTGGTGTTGCATACATAGGCAAGGGAGAGTGAACATGCCACGCTCACATGAGGTAACGCGCTGACGAATCATGCTTCTATCACAGCTCAACGTGGTACGAGCATCAGTGGGACTTTTCTTCCCTGCCCTAGGGTGGAATGTGCTGGGAGGAGTCCAGCATGTCATTCTTCATTTGTAAAGTAAAATTTCTCTGCCGTTTATACAGAAAAAGGACATGGGCGTTACAAATTGCAGGAAAGGCAATACTGTGGC